CTTTATTTATCTATTATTATTCTAGATATTAAGAAGATTACTATATAAATAAAAAATATTATTAAGTTTATATAGAATAAGATAATATCTATCTAAGTCTATTATAAAGAATTTATAAATTAATATTATTAGTCTATCTAGAACTACTAAATTAGATAATTAATCTAGCTTAGTACTTAAAATATTAAGACTTTTTATCTATAGAAGAAATTTAATTAGAAGAACCTTAGTCTATTTAAGATTCTTAAGACTATAGGTTTATATACTTATTATCTAGAACTTCTACTTAGAATAAAGATCTATCCTATTTTTAATATAAATTTACTTTATTTTATTTTAGATAATCTTCTTCTAATATAAAGATAATCTTTTTTACTTTTAATTAAAGTTAAAGGTCTTAAGGAATAGATTATTAAAGATATCCTAGACTCTAGATAAGAATAATAAGGTTATATAAAATCTTATTTAAAGTATACTATAAAATAGTTAGATTATAATAACTTTATAGAAAAGTTTATTAAATACTTAGAGAATACTAGAGAGATTATAAATAACTTCTACTAAAGATACTTATTAAAGTTTAGTCTAATCTAAATACTATCTTAGTCTTATAGAGCTTAGCTCTAAGAAAAGAAGTAATATTATAGTATAGATCTTTATATAAGAGGATCTCTATTCCTATTATTATATAATCCTTAAGATTATTAGAACTTCCTATTCCTATTTAATGTAGCTCTTTAAGCTATATCTTGGTTAACCTTCTGTTTTATAGTCTATCTATAATATAACTACTTCTAATCCCCTACTTACTATATAAGCTAGCAGGCTGGCTCGTACGGTAAGCAGGGGATCAGAAATAGTTGTATTGCAGATGGGCTACAGGACAGAAGGTTGACCAAGACGTAGCTTAAAGAGCTACGTCAAACAGGAATAGGAAGTTCTGATAGTCTCAGGGGTCACGTGATAACAGGAACAGGGATCCTCTCGTACGAGGATCCACACCGTGACATTATATAACCTTATACTAAGTACTAGTCTATAATAGTATTCCTTCTTTAGGGTAGTTCTTCTTATATATATTATAGTTATATTTAATTATCTTTAGGCCTATAATAGGATTAAAACAAAGCTAAATTGTTTTTTAAAGATATCTAATTTAGAATAATCTTAAATATTATTAAGACTCTACTAGATCTATTCTATCTAATCTATTTATTTTACTAGGGCTTTATTATAGTATCCTTAATTAATTTTCTTATATTTTATATCTATTATCTTTTTTATTTTATACTTAAGTTCTCTATTAACTAATATTAGTAAAAGATATAAATCATCTATAATCTATAATAGAAATAGATCTAAAGTAACTAGTCTAACTAGCTTTATATAGTGTTAAATTTTTACCTTCCTATACTATATTGTTTCCTATATTGTCCTATTATATTGGTATCCCTATTATATCTGTCGCTGTAATATCTATACTACCTGATCTAACCTGATCAAGCCTGTTTATTTTGTTTGTTTTTATACCTAGTATATATTATATAGTTATTTCCCTTACTATAGTTAGATATACCTATATAAGATATTAATTTTACAATAAAGATCTTATCTAGTAGTATTATCTTCTAATAGTATCTTCTATAAGACTATTTAGACGTGATCACTATATTAGCATCTATTTATAGAAGATCTAATAGTATAGAGATCTACTAAGAGATAGAGAACCTAGAACAATACTAGTAATAGAATAATACTAAAAGTATTATATTGTAAAGATTTCTACTTAAAAGTCACTATATAGAAATAATTATTATAATTATATACTAAAGACTACCTAATATCGATCAAATATATATAAATTAAGGGATTTCTATAAAGATTATATATAATTATATATTATTTGTTGTAGAAGGTTTCTACTCTAAACTATTATAGGGTTATCTATTTATATAAGACTAAAGAATTACTATAGTAGTATATTTAAAAGGATATAAAATATTAATTAATATTAGAGATCTAGTTATCTTTAAAAGAACTTTAAATTAAAGAAAAGCTATTTAAATAATATTAAATCTTACTAGAAAGACTAGTATTTAATAATATAGAATAATAGCTATAGTAGTTACTACTAGATAGATTAATAATATCTAAACTAGATAAAGAGACTCTTTAAGTATTATAGATATTACTTACTAAACTTATTAAATATTATACTACCCTATAGAATAATAACCTAGTGAATTATATAACTATTATAATATTAATATATAATACTATCTAAATGTTTTAAAATAAATAATAGGCTTATATATTATAGTTAGTACCTATAGTACTTATACTACTATTATCTAAATATTCTATATCTATATATCTATATTAAACTAACTATCTGAAAATATATTAACTACTAAGTATATATTAATAAAAGGTATCTATCCTATTAAAGAATATAGTAGTTAGATCAAAAATAATACTATATAGAAATACCTATATAATTATAAATATTATTTTTATAAAATTACTTAGTTTACTAGATCTAAATCGGAAGAGTACAATAAGGTTATCTATTCTAATAGAGCTCTTAAGAATTATATAGCTTATATTTAGAGATACTATAATAAGTATATTAGTATATCTAACCTAATCTATACTATATATATCTTTATTATATATTATAAATAGATTAAATATAAGTTTTCTAAATATCTTAGTAAAGAGAAAAGATAGGATTATTTCTAGAAGTACTATTAGAAAGGCTATAGCTTTATTAAATATATAACAGACTTATAAGAAGCTATAATAGAATATAGAATTAATATACCTAAGCTAATATCACAGGCCAGTGCCTGGTATAAGGTCATATAGTATATATAACTATAATAATCTAATATATAGAATACCTACTTAGTAATTCTCTCTTTAAGCTTTTTATATATAGTATATGGCCTAGCTTAATTGGATATAAATTCTGCTTTAGCCTTTTATAGCTAATATTTATTTAATTCCTACGAAAGAGTATAAATATATCTCTTTAGAGATAATAGACTAAAGACTATAACTATCTAAATACTATACTTAATATTATTAAAAGATTTATATAGTATAAATAAGAAGCTTTAATTATAGATTATATTAAAAAGAAAGATAGTAATTAAGGGTATAACTATAATCCTAATACTATAGATTTAGATACTATACTATTAAATAATATTAATTAGAACTATAATTAAGGATAATCTAATTATAGAAATAGCTTATTTAGATACTATAATTATAATAAACCAGATTATATTACCTATAATTATAGTTATCCAAAGAAGAATTAAGACTTAAAAAAATAGATATAACTAATAAATATAAAGCTCTTGTTAATCGTCTAAGAAAGGCTTTAAAATTGCTAGTTAATAATAGTTCCAATCAGCTTAATCTAACTATAGAAGTTAGTACTATCCTAAAGGCTTTATAAGAGTTAAAAAAGAAGGAAAAGGATAATATTATATATATTAATATATATCTTAATATAATAGATAATTCACTATTATACTATATAGTTTTAGTATATAGTCTAAATCAAGATATAACTATTTATATTTTATTAGACTATAGTACTTTATATACCTTTATCTCTATAACTTTCTTATATTAAAATAGGTTAGACTATCTTTATAAACAAATCTATAAGAATATATATATTTATCTACTAAATAGTAATAATCTAACGATATGTAGATTAAATATAGGTTTATAGGTAAACTGAGAGTAAAAAAACCTCTTTTAACCACAGAAATGAATAAGGCTGGCTTATGCCTGAATAAGCTAATTATTGTGATATGCAGTAAAAGTGTAGAGATTCGTATGGTATGCGGAGGGGCAAGAGAGTTTGGCCTCAGGCTGTGGAGATACCAATATTACGACACGCCTGCCTCTCACTTCTTCCTTCCCTCCTCTATTTGTTATTATTCGCAATTCAAGACCTTTACATCTGATCTCCCTGCCGATTTTGTTGAAGAGATAGCGCCGATCGTTATACTATTAGTATCAAGTATATAGTGGTAAAAGCGTTTCTCGATTATGAGCATTACGCTTTCGGAACCTCCTTCTCCGCGGAATATATCTCCTATACAACAGGTATAATGGGGAAACATAAAGTAGTTATTGCTGTGTTACCTGGCGGTAAGTACGGGACATTTTCTGCAGTAAGTATGGCAAGAGACATGCTGTATAGCTTTTGGGGTTTTAAGATTGGTCTTATATTTGGTATGGGTAGCGGTGCGTTAGGCCCAAGATATTGAATCCGCCTAAGAGATATAATAGTCAGCACTACGTGTGGTGGGAAGGTTAGTGTTCCCCAATACGACTTTGGAAAAGCGAATTAAGATCAGGACTTTCAACGTAATCGCACGATAAATATCCCTTCGTTCCATGAAATCAAGAACATCATCAGTGGTGTACAGTAGGGGTCGAAAACAGTTTCCCCCCATTGCGAGCAATATGACTGCCAGCTAGTAATCACCTAATATGTCCACTTATCAGATAACTTTGGAAATTAAACTGGCCTCTTACTTGAATGAAGTCTGCTCACATGTAAAATCTCATTGCCACCAGGTAGAGTATCTGAATATAATCCTTTCCTTTCTCGATGTTAGGAGCCCGGGCAAGCTGGATGAGAATTTGGTGGCATTAAACGAAGATATCTAAGCTAAGGAGGAAGAAGGAAGGTGGGGGCAGCAAGGTGAGAGATATCACCAAGCTCGGCCTCGGGCTTTTCTGGGTCTTTTCTAAGGTACGATTGTCTGCTTACTTGACTCTGGTGTCCCTCTCGCCCTCTTCTCTCATACTGGTATTCCGTCCCTATTTGCCAACTTTCTGGTACCCTTTGAACTATTCAGTCTCAAATTTCACCGCCAGCACTACCAAGTCTCCCCCATTGTTCTCCCTTATCAACTCCTGCTCCTGACTTCTGGCTCCTAAAGTGTCACACTCAACTCTCGTGCAAGATGAATACTAGTTTTCGGATCGGTATCGAGCTGGAAGTTCTACTCAGCCACCGGAGGAAGACTACGGAGGAGTTCGAAGACCTTGAAGCTTTCGCGAATACTCTCGTTACTGATTTGGAAGCGTTCCATTCTCGCACAAGCCGTCGTCCTCGGCCTCGAGTTCATAATGATGTTAACGGAGTTTACGAAGGGGATGAAGAGAATGAGTGGTCTCTCACTGATGATGTAACAATCAAGCCAGATGACAACGATCAATGTATACCTCAATACTCACCCGTGCTTTACTGAGCTAGCTAACACAGACCAGGGCCGCTGGAACTTGTTTCTCCAATTCTCTCCTACAATAAGCAAGGTGATTGGCGAGACGATGTTCGAGAATTATTGAGATCCGTGCGAAAGATTTGTCGAATTGAAAGCAATTCCTCATGTGGTCTTCACGTGCACATCTCACCCCCAGATGGCACATCGTGGGATCTTGACAGCCTGAAGTCAATCTGCCGTAGTATCTTCTATTTTGAGGGCGCCATCAATGCTATCCTGCCGGCTAATAGACGAAACAATGAGTACGCTGCCAGCAATCTATGTGAGAACTCACGCTTGCGAGGGAATGATCTTGGAAAATGCCTAAGAACCATTGATGACTGTCAAAACAACGTTGATATCGCAGATTTGATGAATGACAATGGAAAAAGATACTTTGCTTGGAATTTCACGAATCTTTACTATGGTGGAAAATCTACCGTCGAGTTTCGCCAAGCGCCAGAAGTGTCTGATGAATCAGAATGTCTGCCATGGATCGAATTTGTGGTGTTGTTCATCAATTCTTCGCAGAGGATGTCAGATCACCAACAGCTATCTCGATTTTCTCGGAATGTTCGTGGCCTACTAGATTTCCTCATGGAGTCTGATATATCTGGATCTGATCATGCAGCCCTTCACAAGTTATTCCGAGGAAAGTCCGGCTCTATTGATCCTGCCCCTGCAAAGACACTCACCACAGAGGAAAGAGAGACTTTCAGGGCAAAGGAGAGTGAAGCAAGGGCTAGAAACTTAATCATGAAGAAGCTACAAAGGATATGATTTAGATCATGTCTTAGTAAAATTCAAGATGTTGCATTGAACTCTCCAAAAGATTTTGGCCACAAAAAAAACCTTTCACTTCATATTATTTCGATAGTGAATCCAATTCTCGAAGTCTTTTCTCTTTTTTCCACTGCTTCAGGTCAAATTTCCCTCCCTGAAGTTCATCTTGTTGGCCATTCCACATGAATGTGACCCCATTAACAGTACTAATAACACTGTTATGACGATTGAGAATATCGATTAGGCAAGGCTGGAGCTGATAATTGTCCGTCTCATAGGACACAAGTCGATCAAGTTGTGTTTTTGACAAGATTTCGAATACCATACCATCGACCGTTTGTAGTGGCTTGCCATCAATGAGGACAGGGTAGGGGCCCCAGAGCTTAACGTCATAGCCTATCACTCTGGCACGGCTCATAATAGGAAGGGAGCCTGGCGTTCTCAATACTTGAGAAAGTGTTTCTGGATCCATTAATGTCCCGTAGAAAAAGCAGTACTGTCTTTCAAAAGAATCTGCGGGTGCTGAATCCTCTTGAGAAGGAGAAGGGGATGTTGTCATGCTTTGAGTCGACTCGTGTCCTGAGGCGCTGCAGTTCAGGAACTTGCGCACCATGAGAGATGGGGGTGGGGGTGTTTTGCGCATTGTGTCGGTACATGGATCCTGCAACAAATCAGCAATGCCTCTAATGCCTCATTTGTCTGAATTTGGCATGACTCTGAGCGCAGTGACTTATATAATCACATACCAAGGTAATAAAAAGAGACGCTGTGGTGCAGTAAAGCAATACACGATTGATAGGACCTCTGATGACAAGGCTGAAGATACCGCTGGGCGGATGTTAGCTACTTGAATAGACCTGTTTGTAACTAGCTCACTTCCAGAGCATCGCAAGGTAGAGTGTGGTTCTTCTCAAGTGGACACGAGCAGTATACAGCATGGGTGCTGTCTAGGTATAAGGGAACTAAGCCTATTTCGGATTGCACCTACTATTCTTATCACATGACTGCTGAACCGAAATCACATGATTTCCCACTAATCCTACTTTGGTTAACTTTGTAGTCGTTATAGAATAATAGTACTTGGATGCTAGAGTATAGTGGAATAGGATCAGAGTACCTTAAAACGTGGCAGATCCCCACAAGCCACCAGTAGAAACTTTTATTCTTTGAGTTTCTTGCTATCACAACCCTGCGCTTAAACCATATAATGAGAGATAAGCTTTTTGAAGCGATCTCTGCGTGGTATGAGATCCGGCGTTTACTAGCAAATTATGAATACTTCGGGCCATAAAATATACTTAACGTGATGTATATGCCGATGTATAATCAGGCAGTGTTCCGGTTTACAGCGGTCTCTATTTCTGCTTTTAGAGAAATTATTAAGTACGTACCACAGAACCCTTTAGGTGTAGTACTAGGACAGTATATTCTTTATACTATATGTATCCCTAATGTCACAATTGGTGAAATGGAGAAGAGTATGATTAATGATATTGTAAAATTTCTTAGTGCAGAGTATGTGAATCTTACTATGGGTACGCTCTCTACGCAATATCTCTAGTATGTTTTGCCCTCCTAGATCGAATATGTGTATAAGTGGTCTATATCTATTCCATGCCGCTAGGGTGATGTGCTATAGACTTAGAGTTAAATGCTATATAGTTCTAGATGAATAATAATGAGTATTTCATTCACTTCGATCCTATTTTCCTATAGACTATTATAGTTATATAATATACTACCTGGCTAAAGATACACCTATTTTACTTTTATTTAATCGGTTCTTAGTCTATTTGATATTTCTCTCAATCAATACCTTAGCTGGTATAGGTGTAGGTGTTGGGGCTGGGGGATGGTATCCCGGTGGCCCGGCAATGAAAAGGCAGTTTGCTGCGGCACACGGTGTGTGCAGTATGTTACTATCGGTCTATGCTGCATTACCCAGGTCGAGTAAAATTGGTAAGAGACTATGCTGAATCATTGTCTCCCTTATTGGTGCAAGTTCATCGGCCCATCTTGTTAAATTATCACGCAGACAAGAAAGCGTGTTATGTAACGGCGTGCGGTCGTTTCCCTCCCTATTCGGAATCAGCGGTTCTAGTTCAGTAAGAGCGCATTCCATTGATGCAATAATCTGAGCTATATTTGTAGCCTGGGGCGTTAGATGTGACCCGTCGGGATTTGACTAGGATTCTTATCACATCTTTCAATCAGTATACCTCCTATATAGTGTGATGTGCAACAATAGCAGATTATCTAGACAGTCTTACTTACGTCGAGTATCCTATAACTTCCATAATCCAAACCAGCCAAATTTCTTATATGACGCTTTGATCAATCGCCGCTTCTCAAGATCGAATTGGTATACTAGGCGCCTATGGACATCTAAGAGTATCTCTTGTCGACGGCGGCTATAAACCATAATATAGTTAGCCTTATTGTAACAGTTGTGACATGACACAGTTAATAGGAAGTATATCGGGTGGAAGAAAAAGAGAGCTATATACTGCTCACGCCAAATGTAGACAGCCACAGCAATAATAAAGATCCCTGCGACAAGGATAGCGATCGGAGTCACTATTTTTGTGACATGTGTAGAGTACTTCTCGTGATGTGATACGCTGGATGAGGTGTGGACCATACTGTTTCTACAGTCCATAGTGGAATTAGTGGTGGAGTTGGTAGTGGTGTTAATTCTAGGGGATGGCTCTATGATAGGCTAGGACGGTATAAGGAGATGTTTATAATATAATAGGAACCCCGGGGGTTGATGTGTTATATATAAAGTCTTGGACTAAGCTCCTTCTGTTTTCTAGATTATTGTTGCTCGGGTGTGATTTTTTAATATAAGGTAGGTCTATAAAATGTTTGTAATTTATAGTTTGATCTGAATTGGGTACTACTTCAACAATTCTATATAACACGTATATAGTCTAGTGAAATTAGGGACTTTTGAATACTAAAACAAGCATTTGATTTGAAAATTTCAATTGTAAGGAGGTTCATCTTCCCTAGACTTTCTTGGATCAGTAGTGAAGGGGTTGGTGTTCCTTTTGGAGATATAGTAAAATTGTAATTGAACAATATTGGAACCATGGACGAAAGGTTCACTTTTACCCTATTGATTAGCAAACTAAAGATAGTATTAAGACCTAGAATCTAGATCAAAAACGGTACCTAAGTTGTTATCTTTCTAGATTTGATCTTCTTATAACCTATAATATTCTGGCTAGAGCGAGTTAGATCGAGTTCTAATCTAGTATTATTACAAACCACTCTTAAGGTTAATGTTATTTCCTCTCTAAGAATGAGCCGTTGAGCGTAAGATCATTGATCGGCAGAATAAAATCTTTGTATAGGTAGGGTGGAATTTAATTTTGTAAATACATGTCCGGTTGCGGTTGCTATTGCATCTCGAAGATAGGACCTGCATTCTTTCCTCGCTTGGCAGCGATTAAGTCACCCGTTATTTCAATCGTACAGTATACATTTTTGGATGGCTCATGATTAGGTAACTATGACCAGTCGAGCTATCAAAATGTGTTTCGGCATACGTCACGATACAAAGGCGGGTCGGTTTCGAGTGTCGGAGTTCCTGGATGAATCATATCATCTTCTGAGGAGTGTTCATTCCGGATTTCACTCATCCTTCATATTCAGTCATACTTGAGAACTATCTCCTTCAGCTTTACAAACTTAGACGACATGCAAAGCCGTACCCATGCATCGTACCTGGGCCTCCTAGAGACGTCAAAGGACTCGACAACAATTTTCAAACACACGGTAAATCGTGTGCTAATGAGTGATTATACCCTGCGTGAAACTGTTCAGTGCGCAGAGGGTATAGAGCACTGTATCACGGCATTAGTGGGACTGGTCAACATGCAGACAAAGAGTGAGAACAAGATTGAGGCACCAAAACTCTCCCTTCGGCCAACCATGTGTAAGATTCAAGGCAAAGAATATACACGTGTCAACTGTATGGTGGTTTATGAGATGCTTAATGTCGACTCAACTGAGACTGATAACAATGCCGAACTATTGAAGGCACGCGAAAATTTAGAAAGAATGCGAAAGAGAATTTCTTTTGCAGAAAACGATCTTTACTCTTGTGAATCTATGATTCCACCAGTTCTTAAGCAAGGTTATGATGAATTGCGGAGATCTCCTCAATGGTACCTGCGGCAAGAATTAGTTCAAGATTGTGTGGATAGTGGGGGCTGCTGTAGTCGGTCTTGCGGATGTTGTGATCAAAGGAGTTGGTCGGGGAGGAGAAGGGGTGCGGGCCATTGCACTTCCGAGTGCTCGTGCTGCTGTGTCTCTCGAGGCTTTGCCTTTTCAGAAAATGAAAAGATTCAAAGAAAAAACCATTGGCTACTCAATATCGATACCAGAGCATCCTCCCCGTTTCGACTGGAGATGGCAAGAGTATTCTTTTGTCCTTTGCGTCATTCTTGGTCTTTTTGGCAGCGGGTCCGGGGAAAACATCCCATCGAGCGCAAAATGAAAAGGCTATCAAAGATGTGACCGATGAATATTGCTGAATATTATGGGGTTCCTCTTTGCTTCTGGCTATAGAATGGAGCGTTTATAAACCCCAACAAGGTTTGCAGGGTACTCGGGAATGTACTGTTTCAAATGCTATCGGGTACTATAAGTAGAACCTTGGAAGATGATAATAAAAAATCGGATATTCACATATACTACTATATATGGCACCTGTTGCCCTTAATCAAGGCGATGATTTCTCACAAAGGGAATGATTCAGCCTCGAATACATAATTCTTATAAGAGCCAACTCTTTGATGGCTATTAAAAGGCTGGAAATGGGAAGAGAAGGAGGGGGACGGGAAGATAGGAATCAGTTGCTTATAAGTCTTCCTCTCAAAAGGCGCAAGTGTACATTTTATGGACTACCCGAGTATTCAGGTAAAGAATATTCAGGTGGGTGAATAGCTGCCTGAGCAGCCCTGAAGAGGGGCTGAATAGAGCCGCGAGCCGCCCACGCCCAACCCGTCGGCAGCTGTGGGCGCTAGGTGACCATCGACATACTTATGACTGTTGTATGTGTTTTTGTCTTTGTTTGTTTTTGATGGATTCGGCTTTTTCTATGGGTTGGTGCTAACTAGCCACTATGACGTTTCTACAGTAGCTTCATTATCCGCATGTTTGGCCTATACTAGCTACATCCCTCATCTGTCGCTATACCCGATACTACCTCTGAAGGATCCAGACCTCTATTGGGTTACCATCAGTCTGTGCCTGTCCTGCTGTGTTGGTGCATACTGCTGTAATATTATTGCTTGGGTCGGCGTCACTGGGATGACTAGCTTCCCCATATAACAATTCCACGGGTTAGAACTGGCTGTTATGAGTCTAGATCGTTGTGATAGCTACCTCTGACAGATATCGATCGTTCCGTCAGATATCAGATGTGGGGACTTCTCGACCGCCACCTGGAGGGCAGGTCCTGTTGCTGCGTACACCGGACCGAGATGATAGTAAGTTGGGTGCCTGAAGTGGATTTGAGACTGGCAGACAATAAAAATACCTGAATTAATACCAACCTACCTAGTGAATAATGAATTTCTGTTAAGTTCCAGACCATCATATAGCTGATTTCATTATATTTTACAATAGAACTTTCTAAAGTGTATACCTAAAACTTGGCAAGTCTTCGATAATCACCAGCCCCCGTTCAGCACGTTTGTTCTGCATAGAGAAGTACAAAACCAATACCGTGGTAAGCAGTATAATAATCCCATTCGCCCTATTCGATTGCATTAGTATTCTGAGGTATAGTCCCCCAAGCAAGGATTAACTCACGTCAAAGAGGCACAAATTCCAGGAAGATATTTGGGCCCATCCTGCGACCGGAAAACTAGGCTCCCAACGATCCCACCGGTACCCCCAAGCCCAATCATACTCGCACTGCAAAATGCCCGTTTCCACGCTCCCCGAATATTGTTCGCCTGAAATACCATCACGGTGGGCAAGTTGGCGCTGCACCCACTCGTCGTGAGAATAGCACCAAAGTACTGGACACCCGGCGCCGAAGTCCAGACCATCAAACACAGCCCAGCGATGGATACTAAGGAATTGAAGTAGAGTACGGGGTACCTGAGGTGTATCTTATCACTAATATAGCCCTGAAAGAACATGAGGATCATGGCGATAATATAGGGTGGTGTGCTGAGGCCTTGTGTTGTAGCGGAAGAGAACCCCATCTCTGTCTCAAGGATAACAGGGAGGAAGTAGCCGATCGAGTATGCTTGCATCGTTGTGCACCTGATGCCATTAGTAAACATAACACAGCAATGATAATCGAGCGAGATTCTTACAAGAATATCATTGCAAAGCCCCAGACTTTGAAATCGCGTGCAGGCCTGAGGAATTTGGCGAACGAGAAATGGTCCAATCCTGCGTCTTGGCGATCGCGATTGATCCGGCGGATGATATAGGCTCCTTCGCGCTCCGTGAGGAATCCCCATGTCTTATGTGCTTGGTCCGGGAAATCAACCATGAATATATACCCGGCTAATCCGATGAGGCAGGTGATGATGCCCTCTATAATGAAGATCCATCGCCAGCCACTGTAGCCTGCTAGCCCATCCATCTTCGAAAAACCGAGAGCAAGAACACCTGAGAGAGCAGACCCAAGAACACCAATCAGATAGAAAATTGATGTTCTCTTGTATAAATCATCTAGACATTGTAAGATACTGAGAGTCCGGTGGATATTGGGTGGAATTACACATACAGCGAGAATACCACGATGATATGAGATAGTACTGGCTTGGAAAACACCCTGCTTCAAGTGCACCGATGATCATCCGGAGGGGTATGAGAGATTTCCATGACTGAGCGAAGGCGAAGCACTATTTATACTTAATTAGAAACCAGCGACAGTGAACAAATACAAAAATGACTTACGATCATCACTATACCCCATAGAAATACAATTGTCGATAGGAAGATCCGAGGCCCAATATTTCGAACAGCAATAGAGGCAGGAAATTGTAGAACAACATATGGGGCGAAGAAGACGAGGAGGACGATAGACTGGATGCGTCACGGTTAGGAACGAATCCAGTTCAAGTGACAAATTAGATCTGAAGGTAAAACTCACATAACGCGCTCCAATGCCGAGCCCAAGCGCTTTTGTCATTCTGCAGCTGTCAGTCATACCCATACAGGACCGAATCTAAACACAAAGAGTAAATCCGATGGACCCTTACCCTGCAACAGCCGCATTGGAAATATTCGCTCTATCCAAAAATGAAACTGCCTGCATCAACCCCAGCAGAACTAGCAGGCGTCTGTCCACCTTTCGTATTATCTTCCGCTGTTCAGCAATCGTAAACTCTTCGTCTGCATCCGGATCCTGTTGAATGAATGAATCGGCCTTGTCATCATTGTTCGTCACAGACTGTGATAAAGCCGGGAATGGCTCTTTGGCGGAAGTCATTTTGATCTCATTGAAGGAGAACTTTAACACAATGCGAAAACAAACATTTTCATTCCAGGTCAACTTATAATAGAGAGTAATTTGATGTACCTGATGCTATTTTGCCGGAGTATTGCCGAGATGCGGCCCTAGTGCGCGGCTTTCGATGACGCCTTATGGCGTGCGCGCTTCGCGGGATGTCGACAAAAACGTGTCGAACTAGATAACATCAATTGAGAGGCTTCGGAAAATTGGAGAAGAGATAAATATATGTAGAAGCGAGAAACGAATTTTAAGAGAGGGTACTACTACTCCGCATTTTTGATTTTGGCCTTTTAAGGAAACCCGGGGTTAGAGTTGCCGGAAGTTTAATCGTTCGGTTGACACTTCGGTTGACACCGATCTAGAACCTCGGGCAAGACCGAGAACGTTTCGGTTATCGAAAGCCCCACATAGGACTATATTATCCACTGGACCTGCTGGAGAACTTCAATGTCCTAGACATTCTTTCGAAATCCCCAATCTCTGCTAAGAATGGTAGTGAATCCCTCTTTCGAGGATGTTGCCGACTTCGAAGCAACCGACCGCGGCTTCATCGCCGCTCTAGAGCCCGGCATCATCAAAGATAACAATGGAAAGGTAGTCTGGAATATCGATGCTTATGAATTCATGAAAGGTGAATGCCCGTCAACAGCACACCCCAACCTCTGGCGCCAGGGCCAGCTTAACTCCAAGCATGGGCTGTACGAGATCTGCCCTGGGATCTACCACATTCGCGCCTATGATTTATCAAATATGACGATCGTTGAAGGGAAAGAGGGAATCATCCTTATAGATCCACTCGTCTCTTGCGAATGCGCCGCAGCCGGGCTAGCGTTGTACCAAGAACACCGCGGCAAGGGGAAAAGAGTTACTGGAATGATATATTCGCACTCGCACGGTGACCATTATATGGGCGCCGGAGGCGTCATCTCCCACGATGCTGACATTCCCATAATCGCGCCAGAAGGCTTTCTCGAAGCTATCATGAGCGAAAGCATCCTAGCTGGCCCGGCGATGCGCAAACGCGGAGCACGCATGTACGGCAACGCATTGCCGCGGTGTGCGACGGGACAAATCGGTACAGGCCTAGGGATGGGGTCGAGTGTCGGTACAACAAGTTTGATCCCTCCAAATCTCCTCATCCAGGAAACAGGTGAGGTACATGAGATTGATGGGGTGAGAATAGTCTTCCAGATGGTCCCTGGTACAGAAGCACCGGCGGAGATCAATTTCCACTTTCCAGATTTCAAGGCTCTTTGTATACCCGAGACAGCAACAAATTGCATGCATAATATTGTGACTCTGCGCGGCGCGCAAGTTCGTGATGCAAAGGCTTGGTCTGGGTACCTCGATGAGGCAATTGTGATGTTTGGCCGGGAATCTGATGTGCTTTTTGGAAGTCATAACTGGCCAACATGGGGTCGGAAAGAGCTTACCACGCGGCTTGCAGAGCAGAGGGATATGTATGGGTATCTGCATGATCAGACGGTGCGGATGATGAATCTGGGCATGACGGGCATTGAGATTGCCGAGAAAATGCAGTTACCGCCCGCTATTTTGAGAGCATGGCATTGTAGAGGCTTCTATGGGTCTTTGAGTCATAATGTCAAGGTATGTTGATTATTGCCTGGGTGGTAGCGCGTCACTGCTTTTCAAAGCTAATTTTGGTAGGGAATATACCAAAAATATATGACGTGGTTCGATGGACGGCCAGAGAATCTGTGGAAGTACCCACCGACTGAGGAGGGTCAGCGTTATGTCGAATGCTTTGGTGGCGTTGATGACCTTTGCGATAAAGCTGAAACCTTTATCGCGAAAGGCGACAATCGATTTGCAGCAACATTGATCGCCCACGCTGTGGCTTCCAACCCCAATTCCTCAAGAACGCGTGCCAAGCTATTGCTCGCATCGGTTTATGAAGCTTTGGGATTTGGCGCAGAGAATGCGACGTGGCGCAACTTTTACTTGACGAGTGCCCAAGAGCTGCGAACGGGAACAAAAGCAGGAGTGGTTGCTGGCGGTCGGACCGCACTGGGCGAGCAATTGAGTATCGATCAGTGGTTTGAGGTCATGTCTGTTCAGATGGATGGAGAAAAGGCAGCCGAGCGATCTTTCGTCATAGATTTCGATGTGACTGATGTGAAAGAAAAATGGCGGATCATCTTGAGCAATGGCGTGTTGAACCGACGTAAATTGGAAGATGGAAATCAGTTGAAAGATGCACAAGAAAACGAAGCAGATTTCGCGATGGTGTTGACCAGAATGGAGCTTCTAGATGTTATTCGAGGGAACAAGGTTGACGTTGAGACAAAGGGGAGATCGGAAGTATTGGAATATCTTCTGGATTTTATTTTGGTTCAGCAGGGCTCTGCCCGAGGGCCTAGCCAGCTATGATATATGATATAGTGCTTAGAAACATTGAAACTCTTATGCAATCAACTATCTACACAGTCTTTGTCTTTACATTGAAATGAGTTGTGTTTTCCAGAAAAAAGGATAAGAACAATTCTGAGGGTGCGGAAGGGACAGAGATGTATACTTGGTACTGGATATTTGTTCTCTTCTAGGCTGTCCAAATATTCATATACAGCATATAAAGTAGTCGTGTTAATTCGTACCTCGGGCTGATCATATTCCCTTTTAGGTGGCGGGGTGGGATTGAGCCCCGTGGGGGCCGTTCTGAGCTTGATAAAGCGGCATCTACATCCTACGTAGCAGCAGCCTGAATTACCTTTTCATTATTCATTAACCCCTTGATTTTTGAATTCAGATTTCATCGATTTATACAATCAAAAAAAGGCATGCTATCTGCCAACTTTCCTTTGCCAGGAACAGAACATGGCAAACGTATTCTCACAGCAGTGATAGAACAACGTGCCAAGGCCAGCCCTGCTGATCCCTGGCTATCTATGCCAATCGACGATAAAGCAATATCCCGTGGCTTTAAAGACCTCACCTTTTGGGACCTGAATAATGCTGCCAATCATGCGGCGCAATGGTTGACCCAAAATCTCCCCCCTGGCGATCCATTCCAATGCTTTGCTTATGCTGGGCCGAAAGACCTCCGATATCCAATTTTGGCTATCGCGGCGGCCAAAGTTCAAAAAGTGGTAAGGGTTAACATCTTTCGGATTTCTGAGTAGAGTCGTCGTGAAATGACTGACCGTTACAGATGATACTTCCATCTCCATTAGTCACACCAGAAGCTCAGTTGCAGATCCTCAACAAGAAAAGCTGTACCCTTTATCTTAGGCCCGGTGAAACGGCCGACTCTGTGGCTGAAATTCTGAAAGGGACTTCGAATATCAGCTCGATTTGTGTTCCAACCCTGGAAGCGTTTTTGAACGATACGAAAGCTAGTCCGGTAAATTATGCAAAGTCATGGGCAGATGGAAAAGATGACCCCTGGTTGGTCTTCCATACCTCTGGGACAACAGGTATGGCTCTAATAAAATCCAAGATGACCGAAAATTGGAATAACAAGGAGATAGGCAATCCTAAGCCTATCACGTATTCACACGATATGATGGCTGGGGCCGATATAGCAGCTTCTTTGTCAAATATTGAGGAGTCGCATATTCATCAGTACGCCCAAAGAAGATGGTACACTCCCCTGCCGTCACTGCACGTAAGTTATTACAGTCTTCAAGATATGTTTACCTCAGGAATCTTTGGTGACTAATATGAGCAGTTCGTTGGAATGCTTCTGATTCTGTCTATGACCACATTCGTTGATATGGTAGCTGTTATTGGGCCTCCTGGGGTACAACCATCCCCAGAACTCATCATTGAAGTCCTGAGTAGTGGACGAGCCCAAGGTGTACTCCTTCCTCCGGTGCTTATCGATGCTATGTGCCTCTCCCCCGGTGGTCTACAGGCTCTCAGGGACATGGAGTTTATCCACTATGCCGGTGCTCCCTTGTCAGCCAAATCAGCAGAGCTTCTAAGCCAACATTCACAGGTGGTGTCATGTGTGGGTAGTACTGAAGCTGGCGGCTACTTCTCAATTATAAATCCTGACGCTTGGGATTATGTTGCTTTTCAAAAACATGCGGGTGTAGCGCTGGAGAAAAGACTTGGCGATCTGCACGAGCTCGTGTTCATTCGTGATCCCAGTTGTCGGATGCAACAAATTTTCAGCGTGTATCCAGACCAGGATCGATTTGAGACAAAAGACTTGTTGCTAGAACATCCCACTCGAAAGGATCTCTGGAAGTTCATTGGACGAATTGACGACTATGTGTGCTTATCCCATGGCGAGGGCCTGCATGCATCGCTTCTAGAGCCCGAAATCACAGCTCATCCTGGTGTCAATAATTCCATTGTTGGCGGGAACGGGAGGCAGTCGCCTGTCCTACTCGTGGAACTTATCAAGGATACGGAGGGAGATCTGCCTCGCGAGCAGCTTTTAGAGAGCCTATTGCCTTATGTTGAGAGACTCAACTCTAAGTGTCATGCTTCTGTTCAAATATCGCCGGATAAGATTATATTTGCTCCCAAAGATAAGCCTTTCGTCACGACAATCAAGGGGAGTGTAGCAAGATTGCAGACTTTACAGGCTTATGAAGATGAGATCGCAGCGTTATACACTTAGCAGTCAAAAAAAGTGATTTAAGCGCACATGCAGTGCATCCTGACATCAAACTTGAATGTTCGAAAATGAATGTTAAAAATATATTCCACTATTCCAAAATTCTTCTTATGATCCCGTGAGTGATCATACCAGTTCAAGTTCGCTTTTGGTTATTAGGTTTGTTAACTTCATCAACCCTGAGTATAAAGAGGTTTACACGGAGAGGTAGCTTTACTTTGATCACCCTGGATATGTTCATTAAGAACTCCAATTTCTCCTCAGTTTGATATATCCGCAACCCAGATTCCGCGAAATGGAATTCGTTTCTTTTGGAACTCGGCAATAAGGTCTTCCCAGAAGGGTTTATAAAACTCTTTTTGGGTACCATTTCCAGGCACTCCTATTCTGCTGATAGAATCCTCAAGGATTGATCCAGGCAATTATTCCAAGAGAATATATTGTTTTAGGGCAATGTGGAAGGGAGTTTCTTGTCTCGCGTTCTTCCTGATACTTTGCGGGTACTCTCGGGTGTGTTAACCCGGAACTATATGCTCAACTATCTGAAAGAGCCAACACTGCAACTTCCGGGGTTATGCTAAGCAACACCAAGCTCGGGTTGCTCTCCGGAACCGAAGTTTAGCTGAATATCCACCCGCAGACTGCGGCCCGGTTATAAGTATTCGTAGTATATACCGTGACTCGCCTGCGAATATCTTTCCTCTACCCGCCTCTCTCAATGATACATCAAAAGCGTGTTTCCACATTCTATATGTACCTACATTATTTCAACAACCTTTGGTTTCTTTGGCTTTGACATATTTCACGTTTGAAATATATGGGAGTTTTACGCGAGTGAATTGATGATGTCCCTACAGGGGGGGGCTGTAATCTGCCATAGGAATAATAAGAGACCAAGCGGATTATAAAAGCGTCTTTTCATTTTATATGAAAGAGAGGGAGAAAAAAACTTAGCTATGCCAAAAAAAAGTCTTGAAAAGAAAAACGCAAAATCCACAAAAAAAGACGAATCGAGCCAGCATTTTGCAAGGAAGAGCACGATTCCGTCCCGCAGTGCGCATCCCATGATAGAATGTATGGCCGCGGACCTCAAGGGAAAATCTTTTTAAAAAACCCGAGGGAATTCTCTATCTGAGCTAAGGATCCAACAGAAGGTGAAGGGCCTAGAAGCAAGTTAGCAGTTATCACATAAGAAATAAACATTCTAGTCGATCAAGGGCTGTCAAACCGAAGGTCATACGTGCCAAACTCATATGAAACTACAATTCTAGCAATAAGGACCGTTCCACGAGGGAAAGCCTCAATCACCAGGCAACTAACCACACGACCAATTCGGGTCCCCAAGATCTCCCAATATCGCGGCGTACTATAGTCAACTGTGATACCCTCATGTCCATAAAGACTCAACAGGGAAAGGGTCTGCTCATTGACTATAGCATAGACAAAGATACAGACCAAGCTATCCGTTGAGCCATGCTCACGGCGGTATAAGGCAAGACTTGTACTACTGATATGGGGAACTTGAGCCCCGAGTTGGCGATATATATAGGCCATTATGATAAATCCCTCTGCAGTATACCCGTGGAAGCTTCCAGACCCATTAGCGAAAGTGACTCTCCATCTAGTCCAAATCTGTGGGCGAGGTCCGTCCCATAAACTAAGCAGACTGTTGATAGTTAATCTATCACTGCAGAGGCTTTGGCGACGAATAACAGACATTGACTCGAGCTGGCCGTAAGTCAGAGTGTCTGGCAAAACGGGACAATCTGGCGCATTGGGGTTCTCTATGAAGCTTACCAGACGGCGACCCTGGTCAGAAAGCCACTGAAGATTTCTGGCAGGATCCCGTTCGAATACAGGTACTCCTGGCAACAAGCGTTGACGTGTAATTTCCCACAACGAAACCCTTCGGGCTGGTTCAAGTGGAGGTGAACGCCCAGGCTCCAAAGAACCAGGAAACGGGTCTTCAAATGCGACAAGGTCGATTTGAAGATCCCCGAGAGGAATTCGGTGAATGACACACGCCACATAGTTGTGAGTAACTCGCCAAAGGTATGACCCGATGGCAAGCAAAACCTGAATGTAACAATAGATAGACCAAATGGGACCGATAGACAATGCATTAATGATAGTTAGTGCTACAAATAGTAAAATATCGAGATATAGCCGCAGAAGCCAAAAAAGCCAATCGCCCACCCACCAAATAGTGCCACGCAGCATGATGTAAATTTCTGTAGATGATGTCAAGAAAGGCGAATCCGGTGAGAAAAAAAAAGAAAATCTCAATACAAGCTAAAAGTGGAAGGTTTTATACGTAAATTAACTTATTATCCGATGTAGCTATCCTTGGGCGGCTTTTATTCGAGGTCTTTGAGTCTTTGATTGAAATCCTTCAAACCTCATTCGAATAATTTACCCAGAAGTATTACATGTTGTTTCTAGTCAACGCTCTTTTAAGATGAAAGCCATTTATAAAGGTGAGGTTTTGTTTATTTAAAGTGTTTTACATTCAAGTAAAATATCTTTGGGAAGAGGGATACCTTGTCTATGTGGAGGGCATCAGTGCTTTTTTTTATTCAACGAAGTTGTGAAGATTCTTTTATACATTGCCCTAAGCATGGCGGCCCATAAAACTAAAATTACATATGCATATGCCCCAAAGGGTGATGTAGATGATATAGAACCCGTGTCGACTAATATACTAATACCACTGTCACTACTGATCATTCTTCAAATACCCATGCATTAATCAAGGCCACTCTGAATCAAGACAAAGTCAGTATTTTCTTTTTTTAGTAACGGCTTGTTCTTTGCAACTCTATTCTTCCAGCTTACTGTCTTTGTTGTACAAAAAGAAGTATATTATTTTCTACTTCTTCTTTTCACTCTAATATGCTATCTGTTGTCAGATTGGCTACATGGGGCTCTGGTAGCCATGCGCGAGAACCTTCATCACTAGTCGTTGACCTGATCATGGAGCTTTGATAGATCCGGGCTGGGCGATATCGACTGTCCGGAAGCTTCCCCAAGGTCGATGTGTAACTCGTTTGACAAATCTACAATTATTAGGAGATCTCCTATACGGAGTCCCGATGCGGCGTTTGCAGCCCTGGTCCTATATGAGGGCCAGATACCTGGCATGGGCTTCATTCCTTTATCTACTTATGCAATAGCAGCTTACAGTCTTAGCATATCATTTCCCCCAAAGGATTTACTAATTCATATACTGAACAAGACAAACAAGAACCTTAACTCGATTGCGCACACATTAGCTAGTCATGAGAGGCAGCAGTGGGCTATAACTACCTACTAATAGCCGCTAAGGCCAACAAGAAGTTCTTGCAGAGACTTTCCACGTTGATATTCGTTCTGCAGTCTGGCCTCCATATTAATCTCATTGAATAAATCTTTTTTTTTGCGCGTTGTTCATATCTGTTATATAGGTTAAGGACTTAGAGGTAGCAGAAAGACACTAGCCAGTAGACCATTAACTTAAAGTGGTCGTACACAAAGTAGCCTCCTTATATTCGTTTTTTTTTTCTCCGCCTGCTCACCAAGCAACTAGGAAGGCATCTTACCCACTGAATTTGGCTGTTCCGTCAAGCCTCCAGTATTCACTAACTCTTGAGTTTACCCTGGAAGAGGATATTAGCCTTCTTCGTCTATGCGATAGAGCAAGGAGCCTCTCATAGTGACCATATGGAGAGCTTTGTTTTCTTCATGATTAACCACATTGACGTCTGCTCCGTGGTTGATCAAAAAGTGCAACGCTTCCTTCTAGTCCATGTTACGAACCAGATAATGTAGCGGGGTACAACCACTGGAATGATTCTCGTTGACATCACTCAGCTCCAACAGACGCGCTAACATGACAACTTATTTCCAGTGGGGGTTGGCCATACCAATTGGAGATAGTATCAGACAATTGAGCCACTGCCTAAAGTAATTCAGATAATACACTCTTCTCTACGGATATAAAGTATACAGCGCAAGACACGTATTTGTCAATGGGATACGCCTCTACGGACGGTATCTCGCAGACGGATCTCACTCCTTCAAAAAGGCACCCAGAAGGCACGATATCAACTATTTAAGAATTCCGTGACCCGTCAGTTCCAAGTCCAGGGCTTCCCTACAAGATCTAGTAGGTGGAGGAGCACATTATATGGCTTTATTGAATGTCTGACTGGACTATTCTCTGCGGAACTGGATGGAAGAGCGCCTTGCTTTTGCTGGTCACATATAGCTGGATAGGCTCTGTCCTGTACTCACGAATTGCAAAGCCAAGAGTTTGAATGCTTCCGGGGTACTCCATGGACCTGACTCAGTCTCACTTTTATTTAAAGAAAACTTCGTGAAAATTGCCAGACGGCCAGGTAATCCGACCCTATACAGATGAAGTCTATATGTGCTGATCCTTGATTCATGTCACGTTACACTTCCCCATGGTATGTACTAGTATATTCAGTAAGTAAGGTATAAAAAGGTGTCTACTTCCTCTGTTTTAGCATTGAATTTCTGCAAATAACCAATTGTCTATCTTATTGAAACCTTTATCTCTTCTGCGAATACTTTTTACTAAAAAAAATTGAACTATATCATACAACATGGTGCTTCTAGCAAGGTCAATTCTTCTTTTGGCCTCTGTAGCCTACAGTTTTGCATTTCCCGGTAACAAAATTGCAAATAGTGAGGTAAGCTAGATCTGGGTTATTTTTTAATTTTTTTTTTACGAGCCTTCGCTGATGAGATCAATAAATTACTAGGCCGATTGCATTGTACGTCCAAATTGAGGAGGGTTGCTAGTGTACCATATCTTTGGAATATTACCACACTATCCACCTCCATAATATTATGAAACTTTTGACATGTTTTACGGATGAGCTGATATCTGTTGACTAAACTTCAAGGGAGCTCCAATGCACCCACCGACATGTCCCGACACAAAGTGAGTTTAGCCTTTTTTCCGAAAACGGAAATTAGTCTCTGACTTTACCTTAGATATTCAATGAGGTGCAGCTCAAGCTCTTGCTGTACACCGGTAAAGTGCATTTTTTTTTAGCTAGCGACCGACATCTAGAGTTTCCAACAACTAACCCTTTTACTTCCCTCCCATTGTAGGATACGATTTGCCCAAGATGAACAGCTAAATATCACGCACGTGGTCAGACCAATGCAGTCGTTATTTCATCTCGTTTGCATGTGCAGCGAGGAGGCCCAGTTATTTAGAATCAATATCAATATTATAACGGTGACCAATTACATCCGAGTTGCATTGTTTGAGAGGTGATTCCGTAGTTCACTTCAAGTAAATATGAGGCCTCAGTGAGGATTCCATAGACAGTATTGTCTTTTTTTGCAAGCTGATTTATACCAGTATGGACAAATTCTACCAATAATATTAGCTCAGATTGATTGACCAACCCATTGGCCAGCTTAATCTCAACATAAGTAAGAGCTCGCCTTAAAAAGTCCAATGTAAAGTGTATGAGCAAGACCAAAAGATATTTCATCTATCTGATTATACAGTTAAAAGCTAAGTACTTTTGTAGACAAAACATGCGAGGTCGCTGGACTCCATGCGTGTAAATTCCAGGTCACTACAATCTTCTAATTTGACTTCTAAGGGAGACATGATGGCGGCTCATCGTGAGCTGTCAGCCTGGCGGGTGGGATTATAGGATTCATTCTTTCTGAATCAGCAGACCTTGAGTATGTTCAGCTTATGTGGAAGATATATGCCTTAAATCATTCGCGAATACTTTGGTACCCTGTATAGGCTGGCTGGTCATTTTACAATACGCCCACCTTGGTAGGCCCAAATAAAATATTCAGAAACCTACTGAGGCATCCTGATCAAGGCTTGTTGATTGAACCACGCCGGCTCAGCGGTCGTGATCTGAATTCTCACGTTGCATCCTTCGAAAAATGATTGAATTACCATGAGGGCTTCATCGCGGGATTTCGGAAACGACCGATACTGTCCATCAGGCGCTGAGACTGGATTCGGTTCAATCTCGTAGCCAGTGATTTGTATGAGATTCAGATTTGGGTAAAGACCCTTCCGATAATCATTTGCAATATTGCAGAGCAAATCCTGAATGGGCAGATTCAAAACATTGCAATCGTTGATCGAGAGTGTCTCGAGAGACGCATTAAATTCAGGGTGATTTGGAAGGTATTCATGGCCCACGATAATGCTTTTGAGTTTGACAAACTGTCGGAATGAGCCAAATTTAATCTGATTGGAATTGAATGTCTTGAGATGGTGATCCCAGAACCCTTCCTTTCTTTCAAACTCGACTTGGAAGGAAGTTAAAGAGCTCTTATGGACTGAAAGAGCTTCGAGGGCCTGGGCGGCGTTGAACTGAATCCTGGGTCCGTATATAGGAGCACCAGGACGAAAGATTCTTGGATTGTGTTCAAAGGTACTGTATTTAAAGGCCTTTATATTCTTGTGGGCTCTTATAAACATTCGGAGGAAGTTGTTATCCATGTAACATTGATGGAGTTCTATTCGCTCTGGGTTTAGAGTTCCAGGCTCCCAAAAATGCTCACCAAAGAAGTCCTTGTGCGAGAAATAGATCCCTCTCAGCTAGGGAAAGATAGTCAGGAGATCTGCTTCGTAACGGTTGAGTTGAACGATGGGGTGCCGATGGTGGTTAATGATGTTAAGCTGTGTCACTTTGGACAAATACGCCGGGAATTGCTTTGAAGCATTGACATATGGCGTGGGAGGAGTCGATCCAGACACAAAGAGTTGAGTGACATTGGGGGTCAAGATGGCCGCTAGCGCCATGTAAAAGTTCATGAAAGGTATATATGGCAAGGCCGAAAGCCAGCCTTGATGACCATCATCCAACTGGTGATCTTCAATGAGAGCTTTTACAATAGCCTGGTCCTCAAAAGAGAATGGTTTTGGGAATAAATTCCAGGTTTTGTCACTAGGAACGACGTACAAGTTTTGCACGTGCTGTCCGAGATCCGGGCGTAGGCATAATGTCCTGATGAATGACATCGTCTTTAGTACAGTTTCCGAATTTTCAACGACGGTGCGAAAGAGAAGAGGCTGTGTCATATCTCGAAATCTTTGCGATACTAAGCAGAAATTGAGGAGGTTTCTTATCTTTTCGGGTGATGAGGGGATTCGCAGATAGTATTCGTTTTGATCAGGCTCATCATTTTCGGATTGCAGAGCAAAAGTAAAAATACTGAGGAGAATTTCGACTGGTAATTCAGCCATTTTAGTCATCTCCCCAAGCTTGCTGATTGATTGTACTAACGGAGACCAGGAGGGTTGATGTCGGAGCCAAAAGGGGACACGCCGGGCGACAACAGCCTCGCAATATCCCACATCATTCTTTTGGTGCCATATCATCCACTTTATGCAGGTAACTAGCACATACGACCACAGGGTGTGGAGAACAGGGCTTCCCGTCCGCTCAGCCGTACTTAAGCCACACGCCGGTCAGTTAGTAGTATGGTGGGTGACCACATGCGAATCCTGACTGTTGTATGTTTTTTTTTGTTGAGTAGATAGAATAAAGAGATAAAGTCAAGTTTCTTTGGTTTTTCGATTTTCTATTCCAAATTAACGAAGGGAAAGGAAACTAATAATTATAGTCATTGCTAAGCCAAGATAAGTATATACAAATTTGTAAATCGAAAAGACTGAACTTGTCCGCCTTGGTATGAAGGCGAATATAGTTTGAAAATGCCTTTTCTCACATATGAGGGGTGAGATATGGACAAATACAATAGAAGACCGTGACTTTCAACGGAAAGGATCTCTGTCTGAGGCGAGTCATGACATTACCTGAAGTAGAGATTCTTGTGCTCGAAGATCTGTTTAACCCCTTTTTTGCTCCTCTCTTCACCTTCTATGCTCGAAGAGAATAAAGAGATGACATAAATAGACAGGTACCTGCCTCTACTTGCGAATGGCACCCCTTTTGCGCATCGTCACCATAGTATCATATAGCACATCCTTGAAGGCGAAGAGGAATGCAGCTGTAATGGCACTTTGGGTCACCTTGGGACCAATTCCTGAAAAAAAGAGAAAATTAAAAGTAAGCAAATGAATTAGGAAGAAATTGAACCGTAGTAGGCCTACCCTTGTAGAGCCCCTTCCAACCTTCCTCTTGGATAATCCGCTTGAGGCTTCCATTCAGACTCTCCTTGGGACCATCCTTGCTGGCCACATGCATACGGCTCTTAATAGTGATATATGGGTATGTGATGCTGGTGGCCAAAATCTTGCCAAGGGCACCCAAGTAAAAAGCATCCTTGGGAGTCATTCGGCGACGTCGCTCCACCACATTCTTCAATTGCTCGAAAATAGTATATTGCAGAATTGGGTTGATCACCAGAATCAATGCCGGAAGAACACCAGCAAAGAGGGCCTTGGGCCCTTCCTGGCGTAGCAACTCCATCAAGGTACCGAAGGTTGAGGCCTTGGCCTTCTTCGGTGCCCCCGGGAGAGTTTGTTCCTCCGACTCCGACTTGCGGGCTGTCATGCGGGTGTTGATGACCCAGATGGGATTTGTGATGAGTACGGTAGCACTGCCCGCAATAGCTCCCGCGATCATAGACTCGACAGTTGTGAGCTTCTTGGAAGCGCGGCCAGACTGGGTGGCTGCTTTCTCAAAAGCGGACCGGGTCCACTCATACCAATAATAGTATACAAAGTTAGTGACACTGATTCCGAACAGAGCGGACTCCAGTCCCGAGTAGAGTCCAGATATTCCTTCCCGTTGGACAATCCGACGAACTGCATCGAGTGCGGTCGAGTGCGCACGCTTGGATTCGACCTGTGCTCTTGTGGAAAGGGTGATTAGAGGGTATCTGGTAGAGAACATTTAGCACTGTCACGTAAAAAGAAATCCAGACGCGATATCCTACGTCATGATCATGGACAAGACGCCTCCTCCGGCGCCAGCCAGCGCGTGGGCGATGTTATCGCTTTGCTGGATGGCAACGGAGGGGGTGGGCTTCTGTTGCGGGCGTTCGGCCATGGTTGAAGAGGTCGAAATGGGAGGTTGTAAAGAAAGATAGAGTGGAAGTCTAGCGACCAAGTCGTGAAAGGGTAATAAAAGGAGTGGAAGGGTGTTGATGTGTAAGAAATGGTTCAGGAGTGAAAAGGGCGCGATAATGAATCGGCTTTGGAAAGGGTCGTGAGTTTCATGACGTTTTGCCGAATGGTGTGCCTCGGCTCATGCCTAACTCCACTACTTTTCCGGGGGTGGATGCCACAGATGCCACCATCCACATGATGAATCTTAGATTAAGCCGAATATTCGGGCCTAGTAATTATTCGAGTTTGACTCAACTAAACTTGATGATGGGTTTTTACTCTTGACATATTAAATTGTTGCGTTGGCTTCCCTCTGTACATAAGGAACTAACGACTACTATATTAGCATGTGATCTCTACATATGTACCAGCGCATATACATGTGTAAGCACAAGCAGCATAGTTCATTAAGGTACCTGAGGTACGTAGAGGAAAAGAAAGAGTGGCAATAAAGGATATACACGATAGGGCTACGTATATAGTGGGCGTCAAAGGGAAGGGAGAACCACAAATGAAACAAAATTCTCGCCATTATTCCATTCAGAAAAGATGAATCCAACCTACAAGAGAAGAAGAAGAAAGAAGAAGAAAGAGGAAGAGAAAAAAGTGTAGAACATATCACAGCGAAGGCACGAAGACATATGCTGCCCGGAAAGGATAAGGAGGACGGATGAGAGTATGGGGAAGAAAGAAGAACGAAGAAAAGGACAACACCGGTGATCACGAAGCAAACGCAAAATGACAGAACACAAGGCCGTCTAAAGCACAAGGAAGAAGAAACTGGAAGTCATCAAGCCTAGTCGAGTCCTCGATCCATGCCAAGCTTCAGATAAACGCATTCGATTCGAGAAGGCTGTTTGTCGAATAGATGGCATATCGCTTTGAGAAACCTCGATCCATGATGTAACATTGCGCCAAATGAGAAGCATCGCATCGTGTATTTAGCAACAACCGCCTGCCGATCCGGACTGGACACCTTGGCCTTGGCCAACCTGCACAGTGGGCTTGTTGTTGACGGTAGCTGTGCCCATACGCTCCTTGATCTGACGTGCCATGGTCAAGAAAGCCTGCTCGACATTTGATGCGTTCTTGGCGGAGGTTTCAAGGAAGGGGATTCCGAGGCTGTCAGCGAACTCCTATCAAACAGACAAAGTGCCCAAAATCAGTAAACTGCCAGTATTTCAAACGGATCCGGGAAGCTCCTGTCATTTTCATGAGGGCGGGACAAAGACTTACCTTCGCAACGGTGTACTCCACGACCTTCTTGTCCTCCATATCGCTCTTGTTGCCCACCAGCAATTTGTTTACACCCTCGGTGGCGTATCGGTCAATTTCCTGAAGCCACTGCTTGACGTTGTTGAAGGAGTCCATGTCGGTCACATCGTAAACCACACAAATTCCGTGAGCGCCACGGTAGTAAGAGGAGGTGATGGTGCGGAAACGTTCCTGGCCAGCAGTGTCCCACTAATTTTGTGTCAGCTCATCGCTACGATTGCCAGCCAGACAAGAGATCACATACAATCTGAAGTTTCACGGTTTTGCCATCGAGTTCGATGGTGCGGATTTTCTGGAAAAGGATACATCAGCATGTGTTTATTGCGCTAGCCCCACCGGGGTCGAGGCCAACATACGAAGTCTACACCGATAGTGGAGATATAACTCTCAGTGTAGGTGTCGTCAGCGAAACGAAGCAGCAAGCAGGACTTTCCAACACCGGAGTCTCCGATGAGGAGGAGCTTGAAGAGATAATCGTATCTATTTTTGGAATTTGGAGGTTAGAACATGCAGATCGATCGGCGACAGGAAAGTTGGTCGCAAAGTGGTAGATATTGCGCAGGAAACTCTGAGGAAACAAAGAAAGATTAGTACATTTCTCAACGCTAGATCTATCAATAAGAAAGATGGGTTTCTGTGACCACAACAACGGCGGAGACGAAATATGGGGGGAAGGAGTACATCCCGACCGGAGAAGGCGGTTACTTACCACTCGGGGTTCATGATGAAGAGGAAGAAGTTGGTTTGGTTTTCAAGGTGCAGCTGAGTATAGGTAAAATAAAAGACGACGAAGAAGTAGAGATGGGAGGTGAAGGGGGCGGAGATTCAAGTTGGAGGGGAGTTGAATGATGAACGCCTGAAATGATAGGAGGTGCAGGTGGGCAGACGCACCTGATGCGCAGCTTTGTTTCACCGTCACCGCTTCCAAGGTTCCAAGGCTGAGCAGGTGGCTTTGATGGCAGAGACACCTTTAATCTTTGAAAAGTCAGATGGTTGAGTGGATGAATACATATTTATTTTAATTTATCTTGTTTTTCACTTTTTAATCTGGTATATAATCAACCCCTTTCTCTGTATCGTTCCTTATATAGGTGATGCTATACCGCGACATACATATACATGTACATCCATGGATTTAGTACCAGTTGACGCGTTATAGTATCCGTCTTTGTTTACTTTTATTCTTCATCTGTTGAGTGTACATTTAAAATCTGTGTGGTTTCTTCATTCATATTCTGTTTTTGCCTTCAAGAGAAACGATTGTCCAAGTGATCTTCTCACCGCACATGGTGGCTTGCGCCGCGTGAGAACCGCAGCCGCCCCCCTGGCAGGTGACCGTCTCCTTAGCTGATCTCAATTTTCCACTGCGATCTAGTGATGCCTCTACTCACCTGGGCATCATTTGCCTCTCTTCAACTAGACCCGCTTTATCGTATACCTCAGACGTAGTTGTGGGCTTTCAACCATTCAAGAGTCAGAGCCTCGTCTCGCTCCTTGTAGGAAGCGTTGGTCCGAATGTTGTCCGAGATAATAACGAGAGCACGCTCATACGCTCCAGTCTTCTTACCTTGGAAGAAAGCCGCAATATCATCACCAGTCTTGTGGTCCGCAAATTTAGAAAGACCCATGCGAATGAATCGCTCAAAGACAACGTTGTTGGACGATAGTTGCGTCTCAACAGAGGCCCAGTTTGATTTGATGTACTCCCACAGAACATGACGCATCTTGGAGTTGGCAGCCAGGGAGACGGCACCACTGTGCTTATCCTGGATAGCCACCTTGTCGGAGAACACAAAGTCCAAGTAATCGTTCACAAGAGCTGCGTCCTTGGTGCGTCCCATGGCGGCCAGACAAATCTCCTTACCATCCACCGAGTCCGTACGCAGGTACTCTTCCTTGACGGCTTCATACTGCTCCCGGCCACCCTCCGATACATTAAGGCTGAAAATCGCGGATCGGAGATTAGTGTGTACGGCACTTCTGTCTTTGCCAGTGGCCCACAGGTCAAATCGTCGTTTTGTCTCAGCAACAATGCTAGAGATATGGTGAGCATAACAGTCCAAAGAAACTGGAAGAGGCATGTATTGAAAAGCTTACCTTTCATGGCCGGCGTTACCAGCCATGGCAATCAATAATTTGCGCTTTTGAACAGTAAGGTAGTCCTCATTTGGCTGGAACTCCCAACCAATCTGCTCTGCAGCTGGCGCAGCTATTTTCTTGGTGAATTTCTTCAAGCCCTCAGCAATAGAGTCGTTTTGAGAGAAAACAGAGCGCAGGTTTGCCAATGATGAAGACACTTGCGACCAAACGCTGGTGATGACATATCATAATTAGCGAAACTTTTTGAAAGGCTTAAGTGTCAGATTAAGAATTAATACTCACAGATAGTTCTTCTCATCCTTAAATCCTTCCAGAAGAGCCAACAGAGCTGGTGTGGTACCCTCGCCAGAAACTGCAAGGGCAGATGCATCTCCCAGCAGACCGATCTTATCTTCAGTACTGAGCAGGGAAAGAGACTGACCTAATTTCTCCAGGCGAGCAGGAGGGTAATTTGTGCGGTAGAAGCCAGCGAGGTCCTTATTGATCTTGTAGAAAGCATCTTCTCCGATGCCCGCGACATTGTCTGATTTCTGGGTGAGGGCACGAGTGTCCACAGAAGCCAGCTCCGGGCCAGATTTGATTCCCAAGGGAACCCACCAGGTAGTTTCATCCTCCTCCGGCTTCGCATCACCGGTAGACAAGAATCGGTTTTGACGGATGCTAATTTGACCCGGTTCCTCGGCCACCGTAACCACGGGAAATCCAATTTTGCGAATCCAGGGGTCCTTGAAAATTCATGTCAGCATTTTATCAACAAAATCCAAGTATGGCCACCCGGGAACGGTTGGAAAGGGCTGCTATCTCACCATGAAACCATGCACGTCCTGCCCAGAAGCTTTGCTCAAAGCAGACCACAGATCGTTGGTAGTAGCGTTTCCTGAACATCAAAGTATTAGCAAGCGACATTACAAATTCTTTTGCTTTATTTGTTCATCTTTACGGACCATAAGCGTGGGACTTGAGGTAGTCGGCAACACCCCGAAGGAAAGTCTCTTGGCCAAGATGGACACTCAGCATGCGAATAACCGAACTACCCTTAAGGTAGCTAATATGATCGAAGATTTGATCCACCTCGAGAGCATTTCGGACAGGAACCTCGATGGGATGAGACGCTCGCAGCGAGTCAAGATGAAATGCTTGTTGCACACCCTCAGCCTGGGAAAATGTCAATGATGATGATTCAAATGGGGTTGAGATTACCTCGGGCGCTGCGTACGACAAACTGAGACCAGACATTCCAATCTGTCGATTAATGTTAGATTTTTGTCATTGCTTTGTTGATAGTCACCAAGAGACTCACCTGGATGGAAGTGATCCACTGCAAGCCAACCAACCCAAGTTGCGAAGCCCTCGTTAAGCCAAAGCTCGTTCCACCAATCCATGGTGACGAGATTACCGAACCACTGATGTGCCAGCTCTAAGATGTGATGGGTTAGATAAGAACGATGGTTTTCCAAAGGGCATTGGAACGACTCACCATGGGCAACAACATAAGCAATACGGTTCTTATACCTATTGTCCGATTTTCCTTCATCAAAGAGAACCGCAGTTGTTCGATATGTGACCAAGCCCCAGTTCTCCATGGCTCCCATGGCCTAGATACATCCAATCAGCTAATTGACAATTTTTGCCTTGGATCATTTGAGAACTCACAAATTCATGGACAGCCAGAAGATCAGCCTTCGGAAGAGGATACTCGATTTCAAAGATCTCAGAGAAGTAATCAACTGTCTGGTGGGCACATTCAAGCGCAAAGCGAGCCTGTTCCTTAAGACCGCGGGTGGTGTAGACACGGACAGGAATGCTCTTGCCCTTGTATTTTCGCTGTGTCATAGCTTCAACATATTCAAAATCACCCACAGCCCACGCGAGCAACTATTTCGAGACTTCATGTTAATAACTTTGGCCGAATATCTTTCAAAATCTAGTACTCACGTAAGTGCTCATCACGGGTGTTTTTTCGAAGGTGACAAATTTCAAGTCCGAGTTACTGCTTTCTCTCTCTGCCAAAACCGGCATGTTGCTGAGTGCAGTCTGGCCCTTAGGGATCTCAATCTCAAAATCAAATGTAGCCTTCAGATTCGGCTCGTCAAAGCAAGGGAACGCTCTCCGGGCATCACAAGATTCGAATTGGGTGCTGAGCATGTAGGCGAACTCTCCTTCTTTGGGTGTATCGGCACCTGGCTCACCAACAGGCTTATACTTTGACCGATAGAAACCTGACATAGCGCTGTTCATGGTACCGGTAAACTTGATCGACAGGACGACATCAGATGGGGCAATTTCCAGAGAGAACTTCAAGGTCACCCGCTCAGAAGTTGTGTCATAGCTGATATCGGATGTGCTGGCCAGGGAAGTGCCTAGAGGTAGATAGAAAACAAGCAACTGGTCAGTCTAATTCGAGTCAAACTGCTCTGTCTTTTGTAGAACGAACCGTCCTTTGCCAATACTTCAGCATTCTGCACTTCAATCTCCTTTGAGTTCAACACAATCTCCTTGGTAGCCCGAGTGACCTTAGTATCGATCTTCAGCAGACCCTTGTAGCCCCACGCATCCCCAAGTTGCAAATCGAAAAGCGAGACATGGTAATTGATCGGTTTAGCCCTGAAATCCACATATAGTAAGTATAATGCTCCGTTCTCAGTTATAACCCATCAAAGATACAAGTAAAATGTCCACTGGTATCTATACAAGTATAAAAGTGGGGGATATGTCAACTAGAATGGCGGGGAAACCATCACTCACACGTCAGGCAAGGTCTCCCGATCGGTAGAGGCCATTATGCGAGCCTCAGCAGAACAATGGCGGAAAGGGACAAGACAAAGATTAGGCGCAGGGACCGGGGTAAATCGCGGACGCTGACGAGGGGAGGTAGAGGTAGATAACAAAGAGAAAGTGGAAGAGAGGAAGGAGGGGGAGGGGCGGAAGGGCTTTGCGCGCACTGGAATGGCAACGCTGGCACGTCTTAGAGCCACTACGGATCTTCTCCCCCACATCACTTCCCAACGACCCAAGTTTTCTAACTTGGCGGCTATCGTCGGATGTCAAGTGTGTCTCGTCTCCCCAGTACACTATACGCAATCGGATATAAGCGAACTTCTCCTCCCAGTCGAGTACGCGTGGAGGAAAGAAACGGAATTTCCTCCCTGACGGAGCTCCGTCGGAGCTTGGACCATCATCAAAGGCGGCTAGCATTCCCGCGCAACGAATCCACCTTTCACTAATTTAGTCTCGGAGTTCGATCCTACCCAAAAGAACGCCATGGCTGATTCGGATGAGGAATACGTGGGAGATGTCACTGAAGATGAGGATGACCTTCAAGTGGCCGGCGGAGACAAGATTGGAACGAGGAAGAGAAAGCAGCGTGGAGGACAAGAGTGGGAGCTTTCGAGGACTTGGGAGACGCTCGTCGAAGGTGCAGATGGTACGATCAACTCAACGGTAGAAGGTCTACTGGAAGCTGGGAAGCGTAAGAGGTAAGGGGGTTTCTCTTCATTCGGGTACCTCAATATATACAAGTCACTAATTTTGTTGGGCGATTTCAGGCTGTTGAAAGATACAACTCCCCTCCAGCGCGGCATTATACGTCATTTGATCCTTGTCCTTGACCTTTCTCAATCGATGTCCGAGAAAGACCTTCGTCCTACCCGATACCTGTTGACTTTGCGATATGCGCAAGAGTTTGTGCGCGAGTTCTTTGAACAGAATCCCATCTCCCAACTGGGTGTCCTGGGTCTCCGAGATGGATTGGCCATTAGAATCAGCGACATGAGTGGAAACCCCACGGAGCATTTAACAGCCATCCAAGCGCTGAGGCCGCAAGACCCAAAGGGCCTTCCCAGTCTACAGAATGGTCTGGAAATGGCGCGGGGCGCTCTCTTGTATGTTGTCTTGTGTACTTCGCAAATGTAATGGTGCAGGGATTTTCAAACTAACTTTTTGGTTACAGTCACACCCCAAGCCACGGCACGCGCGAGGTCCTAGTTATATTTGGCTCTTTACTATCCTCTGACCCCGGAGATATTCACCAGACAATCAGCACCTTGATCAGTGACAAAGTACGAGTCCGAATTGTTGGTCTCGCTGCACAGGTTGCAATCTGTCGTGAACTTTGCACAAAAACAAATGGGGGTGACGAGACAGCTTACGGCGTAGCGCTGAATGAGCAGCATTTCCGGGAGTTGATGATGGATGTTACCACACCCCCGGCCTCATATTCCCAGAAGCAAACGGCTAGCTCATTGTTGATGATGGGCTTCCCGTCTCGGACGGTCGAATCAAACCCCTCTCTCTGTGCCTGCCATTCCAAACCTTCTCGAGGCGGATATCTATGCTCTCGCTGTGGCAGCAAAGTTTGTAGCCTGCCTGCAGAGTGTCCCTCGTGTGGTCTGACTCTCATTCTCTCTACACATCTTGCCCGTTCATATCACCATCTATTTCCCTTAATCAACTGGGTAGAGGTTCCATGGCGCCGGGCTTCGCAGTCCACCGCATGCTTTGCTTGCGGGCTTCCTTTCCCAGCTGTTCCACCTGTGGATCAATGGCAAGTGACCGAGAACCAAACTAAAGGAATGAGTGTGAGTAGTCGCTACGAATGCACTGCTTGCAAAAACCACTTCTGCATTGATTGTGATCTTTTCTCTCACGAAGTTGTTCATAATTGTCCTGGATGTCAGAGTCGGACTAACCACCAGGAATTGGATGCGCAACCCGCAAATTCGGATGGAATGGACATGGCAGCTTAAAGGAATACCCTGTATTTTCCTGGGGTTTTTTTGGATCTTTTCGTTTACATATCATAATCATAGCATTAACTGGGGCGTCATCTGGGATCTTTCATAAATAAATAATAACATTATACTTGCTAAACAAACATTCCTCAAAAGCTCAGATATTTTCACTGTCAAAGTCTTGAAATTATGTAAAGTAGTAAGTAACCTACTAAATGTGCAGTATGTAGTAGAGAACATTAAAGCTCGCTATGTCGATCTCTTCGGATTCAAGCTTCTCCAGTTTAAATCCGCCTCCGATAAGATATGATCATGCTTATCGTGTATCGCATGAGCCTCGGCAACCTCGCTCGTTCTACCCCACCACTCCGCATCATTACAAACTGCACTGCTTGAAACACCGTAACAATGGCTGAAAACTCAGATATATTCGAACGATTACGGGACTATCCTTTCAATACGGACCAAGAATTCGCAAATGGACTTGCAATTATCCTAGGCCACCCCGCCACGCCCGCCACAGAAGAGGAGATCAATCGGGACGATGACCTTGTTCTACAAGCTAAATGTTTCTTTTTTTCACGGTACTGTCTATATTCAATTGCTACTTATATTCAAGTACATCGGCTAATCGTTTTTAAGCAATGAAAATCTTACCTCGCCCATTGAATTTGCCGCCTACAAGTCATGGCTAGCTTCATCCACGCCCTCCGAGTCCCAACAACCGACACAAGCAACCGATGAATCAGACACCTCTGGCAATGAAAAGGCGGCGACTACAGAGCCTGCATACCCCTCCTCGTTTGCGCACATTGTTGATCTCATTACCACTGGACAACCTATCCCGGGAATTGAACAGATCCCAGATACAGTGTTGACGGGGCATGAGATCTCAAGCGAGAAGCCTCGGCGACGCAAACCGTGGGAAAAGGACGGGGCGGAGCAGAGCCATAATGAACCAGAAGTGCAAGCTTCTTAATTATAGGCCCTATTTGATGTGAAGTTTCAATTACTCGATGAAATACATATGGAATTGGAATTGGATGCTCTGACAAGAAGGATATATGAGATTCGGATTATAATAATACAGTTCTCTGCTAACTCGAATAATGCGCGACAAAACAACCACCATGTTGTACAGTCGGTAAGATAACGGAGAACAAACACTGCTCAAAAGTCAACATGTAAAAGACAGACAGGAAAGGTTGGCAGTAGATATCTTAGAAACGCATAACAAAGCCACTCGCAAACCAAAACTCCGACATAATGAACTCCCCATAATTGTTCCGTACTTGAGAGTGAAATATAAGTTACCATCACAAGCAGATCGACGCCTCAGAGAAGTAGTGCTTCGAGCCATGCTCGTCACTAGGGAGACACAAAAAGCCTGAGGGTGACCGAACAATGGGCGAATGGCAGACCAAGAAAATAGATCACCACACACAGTGAACGGACGAGATTGCTTCCACAGAGATAATAAAAAAAAGGGGCCATCTTGTATCTTTATTGAGTAAAGTCCGTCTATCACAAGGTTGGCAAAGGTCAAAAGACACGTAAAACGAATATGATAACTGATGCTGTAGGTAATCATTCCATCCGCAATTTCTTTGTTTTTTCCCACTTGCTTGTCTGACTCCTCACAAATGAGTAAGAGGGAAATTTAGCGTTCGCATAATCACATGAGAGTACTTAGGCAATTTAACGAAAAGGTGCATAGTTCGTATTCCATTGACTCCCGCGGCTAAAGCGGCCTCCGTTTTGGTTTGCAGAAGAAAATCTGTCTTCGTTGAAATGATTGAATCGCCCAATTTGGATGCCAGTTCCAGGCCCAGGGCGTGTAGCGTGAGATGGGTTGCAGCAAAGCATGGCGACGCGTGAGCCAAATTTCGAACCACGAAGGGATACCATGTGCTTCCTAATAGATTCATGGTCAGAAAGAAGGAAACGCGGAGAGAGGTTTAGCATTCAAAAGATACTTACCGGATGTGACTAGCAACGAGCTCGCGTTGATGTGGTGCAGCGTTCATCAAAATCCATTGGATTAAATAATTGCCATACTGATCACCGGCAGCTACAATAGTTGTGAGCTGGGAATTTGTACATCGGAGCATGAGTGCTTCTCACTTACTATCAATCAAAGGCATCCGAGGCCGATCAGTACGCCCAGTACAGACTCGAGTAAGATAGCGATCTAGAAATTCTGAGCCCCCAATCTTCAAACATTTTTCGACGATCTTTGATGCAAACTGATCCATGCTATAGTCGACTGCATAATGAATAACATGCTCAATGGCGCGACTTTTATCATGAGGGGCGCCATGTTCACAAATATGCTGAATGCACCAGTTACCGAATTGTCCATGGGCTAGAACATCGACTTTTCCCAGAACCTCTTCGATTGCCGGTCGCTAAATCATATTAAAAATTATGAGACCCAAAGAACAATGACGGGGAACTAAAGGGCTCATACCTTCTCTTCCTCAACGCAGTTTTCAAAAATATTTTGAACAACCAAGCTTCCCGTCTCCCCCAAAGCAACTTCATGCCACATCCCGCGCAAAGATTCGTTCACCTTGGTCATGACTTGAGGGGGCTCTCCGGTCCATCTCAGTTCAAAGAGCTTTTGCCAGACATGGCAGGCGTATCGATGAATAACGGTTTCTGGGATCCGTCGAAGAAGCTCATGTACCATGACAGCCTTATGCTCCTCTGGGACACAGTCGAAAGCTTTCTGAATGACATGGCAGCCGAATGGATCCATGCTCAGACTGAGAGTATTGCCTCTGATTGCATTTGCGATGGCAACAATTTGCTCAGATGTTCCGTGTTCGAAACAGCGCTGAACAAGAAAGTTTCCAAACCGATTCACCATCAATGGATAGGCTTGGCTCACGATCGCTTCAATTATCTCATATTTTTGCTCTGTTGTGCCGACTTTTAGCTTCTGCTGTAGAAAAATAGATGCTTGCTGGTCATTGTTGCAGATAATCTTGTCCACGATGTACTTCCAGTCGCACGAGACGTTCTTATCTAGGAGACGTCGGTAGTTGAGAGGCTCAAGTGGCGACACATACGTCTGTAAAGAGGTTCCTCCGGGCTATGTAGTATCCGTGTCAGTTCAATCAATCAACCAACCAACCAATCAAGGTTGCATTACTCACAGGTGAATTTGTCCAAGGGGACGAATTCGGGTTCCCAGCGGTAAACTCCGTAGCTGTTGGCGACAGAGCAGTTGGCATTGGTCGTGGAGGATAGGGCGGCATTTGGTATATTCCAATGGATTGAAATGTACTCGAGGGTCTTGAGGTAGGCGAGGAGGGAGATTTGGGAACAGGTTCCGCGGGGGATATTGGAATGACAGTGCCCCAAGCATTAGGCTGAGTAGAGATAAAAGAGCCCGGGCGGCTTCCTTGGGTAATAGAGCGACGATTTCCAGGATTTGGAGCTTGGGTATAACGAGCCTGTTCGACTACAGGCCTGGAATAGAAGCTGTACGTGCTTGCTGAGGGCCCCGATAACACTCTTTGGGCTGGCAAGGGTCCCTGGGGTGTAAAGGCAGGGTAAGCCGTCGCGCCACCCCAAAATCGATTCGTGTCCTGGGTGACTTGATTCGCACCCTGAAAGGTTTCACTGTAAGATTTATCAAAGGGGGTATCGTTCGCAGTTACTCCAAAGGGTACTTGACCTTGCTGATTCCATAGTCCTCGGGTACGATTATAGGCTCCAGCAGACAGTGCATCGGAAATGTCGGACTGAGAATCCTCCTGGGGGTTCCATGCATCCTGAAACTGACCGAATGCAGGGTTTGAAGCATTGAAAGCATTCTGTAGATGGCTTATGGTCTGCTCGGTGATCTCACGGCCACCGAAATCCGCTTCCGAGGGGGTACCCAGAGCTTGATCCAAGGTATGTTTGATCACGCGTGTCTGGGCAAGTTCCTGTTCCTGGAAAGCGATCTTGGAGTTGGCTGCAACAAGTTCTCGCTGGAGTCGAACAAGCTCCCCTGTGTTGTCAGTCTGGGTATCATGCTCGCCGACCGCTGAATTGATTGCTGGCAGGACAGTTGGAGAAATTTTTGCGAGTATTCTCTCCAAACCAGAGGAGCGTGTGTTGACAGTAGGTTCAGGTCTCGCATGTTCCAACTTCTGCTTCTAGGATTGTTAGATATCACGACCCCAGATGTTCGATGGACCAAGCAACCTCACCTTGGTAGAGGGATGATCAGAATCATCGCTGAATGAATTCTGCGAAGTCTCGTTCCTAAGCACTTCCATGGCATCTGATGACCCGAGGCGACTACTTGAGTGCCGATGAGTCTGCAAGTGAATATCGTAAGCATAGGTACCGCTTCCATCCCGTCGGACACAAAAGTCGATCACTCACCAATGACTCTCGACCGAAGGTCAGATTTTGTGAAGTTGTAGTTTCCTTGCTTAGTAGAACATCTTTGTTGATGAGGGCCAGTTGAGATGGCCTCATGAGGGCGGACACGGTGCTCATCTTTGACTTGGTTTTGTCTGACCTATTGAAGAAGAGACACGGTAAAACAGATTGACACAAGTGGCTGGGGTTGGTCGTATCTCGCAGGGGATTGAATGGAATTCAGTAGGAGTACAAAAGAGTAAGAAAGAGATGAAAGGTTGATCAAGACAAGTTCAAAACACTGCGGGAAAGACAAGAGCACTTACATCGTAGGAAAGGAAGGCACGAGTAGGAGTGAATGTTAAGGAACAGCAAGAACAACAGGAACAGCAGGGGCAAACCAGAGCATATACTGTAATGTTTAAGGGTTTTTAGTCCTTTAAGAGGATTTCTACAAGAGGGTTTTTATTATGGTGTCTTTGCTAGTGAGGCCATACTACTTGTGGAGTAAAACTAATTGCAGGCCTACTTAGTATAGGTATAGTATATTTCCTGCCCTCAGTCCTTCAGTTTATGAATATCAAGTTATTATAATTCCATAAATCCTATTGGTTAGCTCAGGCTTTATTAAATCTACTAGTGATCTTACATGACATTTATAAAATAATAAAATAAGCCAACCCCAACTTATAGCACTAGACAGCATCACAGCCACTGGCATATACATCGGTAGGCTCCGCCGACTGCACACTATGTATGTAACACCCGGCGCTAAGCCCCCCTTTTCACCCTCAATCTTACTTGGCCTTATCTTTTTTAACGTCTTTCTCTACATCCGGCTATCCCTCTATCCCTATTTCTTTCTTTTTTTCTTTTTCTTTTTCCTTTTCCTTTCCAGTTTCATGATATAAATGAAACCGGTATATCTCTTTCTGATTAAAAAAGAAAGAAAAGAGGAAAAGAAAACAACCAGATCTATTAATTTGCAGGTCAACTTTGATTACGTGGTGTCTCGGCACTTCTAAGGTGCCGTCTCAACTTTCATTGGTTCAAGCTGATTCGTCATCCAAGACCCAACCACGCTCATTGCCTATCATCATTAGTGTTAGCACCATCCTCCCTTGAGATTCCCCTCCGATTGAATCTAGGCCTCTGGCAAATCTTCTCTGGCAACTGTTAGAAGTACGTGGGAATTGACACCTACACGCGCCGACCTCTACATGTGCTAACGTGTACCGTTCAGAGTGTCTACCACGCTAGAGGCTGTGGATGATGGCGACAACCACCGTCACCGGCCACGGACGCCGGGCGTCCATGCGACAAACCGATCTACAGACACCACTTAAATCCTCCCAACCGACGAGCAGCCCAATTGATCAATTCCCTCCATATGAAGAGACTCTCGATTCCGCTATCGGGAACGGTCGCCCGAACCCAAGCCCCTCCGTGAAATACGCCGCCAACGATACGTGGGAACCACGAAAGTCGGCATTCTACTCGCGAGATTACGCCAATGGTTCCATACGAAATCCTAAACAGCGGCCACGGAAAAGCATCAGCGAGGCAATCACCACAATCCGAACCCGTAATGGCAGTATGAGTGCCAATGCTCATGAGATAGCTGAGGCCCTTCGCGCCCCAGTTTCATATCGTCTAATTGTATTTGCCTCCTGGAAGAGCATGGTACAACGAGCTCCAAGCTAACTTTCTCTCCCAAGGGTCTCTGCGTTATATGGTACTTAACGTCCGCGCTCACGAACACATCCTCAAAATCCATTTTGAATGCTCTGCCGATGCCCATCACTCTGACCATCATCCAATTCGCATTTGTATCCATCTGGTGTTTGCTGCTAGTCTACATATCCACTTTCTTCCCAAGTCTTAAAAAGAGCATCCCGGTACTGAAACATGGGATTCGCTATCCTTCTCGCGATGTCATCTCTACTGCGTTGCCGCTAGCCGTTTTCCAACTCGCAGGCCATATTCTCAGCTCTATGGCAACTTCTCAAATACCCGTATCGTTGGTTCATACCATCAAGGGTCTGTCGCCTTTATTCACTGTCCTGGCATACCGAGTTGTGTTTCGCATCCGATATGCGCGGGCCACCTACCTGTCGCTGATTCCCCTCACCCTTGGAGTCATGCTTGCTTGTTCCACAGGAGTATCAAGCAACTTCTTCGGCATTGTCTGCGCATTCTTCGCTGCCATCGTTTTCGTATCGCAGAATATATTCTCCAAAAAACTTTTCAATGAAGCTGATCGTGCGGAGACCGATGCTGTACCAAACCCAGCAAGACGGAAGCTGGACAAGCTCAACCTTCTCTGCTATTGCTCCGGCTTGGCTTTCTTCCTCACCCTACCTATCTGGTTTGTGAGTGAGGGATACCCCTTAGTCTCCGACTTCATTCATGACGGCGTGATTTCTCTGTCGGGTAAGCAAGGCTCGTTGGATCATGGAGCTTTGGCCATTGAGTTTGTCTTCAACGGCGTCTCTCACTTTGCACAGAACATTTTGGCCTTTGTGCTTCTATCTATGGTCTCCCCTGTCTCTTACTCTGTTGCCTCCTTGGTAAAACGAGTCTTCGTTATCGTTGCTGCAATTTTGTGGTTTGGAAGTTCAACCACGCCCATCCAGGCCGTTGGAATTGGTCTCACATTTCTGGGTCTCTACCTGTACGATCGCAACAGTCACGACGATGTGGCCGATAAACGTGCTAATGCGGACCACTTCCGCGCCCGTGAATCGATTCTTCCCACGAATGCTCGCCAATCAAACAAGCCCTGGGACTCGAACGGCTATTCTTTCCCCGGTCCACGTTCATTTGAGTCTTTCTCGTCAAATGCCCATGTCACACAGAGCTCCAAGAAGGAAGATGATGGACCAGGGCGAGTACGGCCTCGAGGGGCCAGTACTTCTCGAACTTGGCTTCCTGGGACCAAGCAAGAATCAACTTGGCAACCGACTGATTCAGCCCCTGCTTCTGCCATATAGCAGTGCTCTCTTACAATTCGTTGATCCGGAGATTATAGTCTTCTCATTTCCATTCTCTTCCATTCCCTGAGGGCTGGAACAAAATTAGGGAGAAAATCTCGGTGTATTATACAGGCGTTCTCGAAGCGTTGATTTTATTGATTATTTCGCTGGATATCTCTGGATGCCTAGCATAGATGAGGGCACGTGGGATGTACATGATAACAATCTATGAGTCTGGAGTATGAATTAATTGGTAGATCTAACGAAGCATGCCTGTAGCCATTTAATTTGAGGCAAACTACGATAGGCCGTCTTCCACGAATTAGCAAATGTTACTTGTTTCTGTTTGCATCCCCGTCTTATAGAACGTAAAAGGGAAAGGCGGTGTCAAGCCGATTTGCAATCTTATGAATGAATTATAGCACAAGAAGAGTAATAGAACCTCAGTTGACAATATATAAGAATTTAACCACGGCGCCTGGTCGCAGCACCACTGTCACGCCCGGTAGCACCGCCCGCAGTAGGCTCAGCATTCGCCATAGGACCAGGCGAGGTGCCAGCCATCCAGCCAGCCAAATCAAAATTGCCTCCAGCCATAGCATTGCCTGTCGCACCAGTCAACGCAGACGAACGTGACTGTTCCTCGAACTCAGCGCGCATTTCCGGATCCACTGGAGATAGTTAGTTAGCCAAGGTAGAATTTCGAAAGGAACCGTAACAAAACATACTATTTTCCATCAACTTGGGCATACCAAAGGTGAGACCCAAAGCAGCAACAGCCAACAGAAGCATAGGGTTCTTAAGCAGACTCATGGGGGAAACTATCAAGTCCATATTAGAGATCAATGCCATAAAGGATATAGTAGGCAGCGCAGCGCAGGAAGTCAAGTCAAACTCACAGCTAGCGCGTTCTTCAAAGAAGCCTCTACGACCCAGAAGCTTTGCCTCCACAACCACATCCGACTGTTTCTTGCCAGCAACAGCGACATCAACTACGTATTTCTCGGCGCCACGGTTATCCCAAGGGTTTCCGCGGAAGGTCTCCCAAACGCCCAGGACGGATCCATCGGCGGCAATATCCACCCGGTAAGGAGCAAAGATATATTCACTGGAACGGATATCCAGCAAGTATGAGCCCTGTTGTACGGGGATATCGCGGAAGGCAAAGGTGGATATGTGGGATAACGGAGCTGTCAGGAGGTGGCCGTCGTCGCCATTGCTGGCGGGGAGGGTGGTCAAGGTAGCATGGGTGGAAGCCGGAAGGGCATGTGGGTTAGGGAGGAGATTGGAGGTAGGGACGGTGATAGTCAAAGAAGCAGCAGCTAGATGGCTGAGCAGTAAAACCACCAGAGCCTTGAACATGGTGTGCGGGGAGCGACTTGAATTGATAAGTGGACAATGTACAGCCCTCAGCTTGAGGATAACATTGACTTTAGCGTATGGGTATGTTATAGTAGGCACTGGGGGCTTGGTCTTAGTAAGCGATGATATATAAAGTGTGGGCTCTTTGATGCTGTATTCGTGAGGCATCAACCAATCACACGATGAAAATGAAAATTCGGAATATTTCTTTTGGCTTTTGCAGTGACTGACATTGGCATATGTCAAGGTTACGTAGGAAAATATGTCTACATGATTCTATGTATTTGGTTGTACTCAGATCACGAAGTCCAGGACAAGTGAAAATTCAGGTACCGTGTCGCATTACTGTGCTCCGTACTAGGATATACCACCGAAAAAGACTCCAGATGTCCCCGTACCTGGTTCTCGGCAAAAGGGAACATGCAGCGGAACCCGGATGTGGATTTCTGGATTTCTTGTTGCCTCCCCTTCTCCACTTGTGGACTCGACTGGAGTGAACTGGAGTCATTTAGTAATAAAGACAGTGTATATCGTGGGGAAAGAAGAAAGGGCCAAGATTATGATAGGATCGTCATTCATGATCTATATCAAAGACTATATAGGAGTATCCCAATAGGATGACTCTTCTATAGAAAGTCTAGCCAAAGCCTATTCTATACTTGTTCCAGCCCTGAGTAGTTTTTAAATGAATCCTGCTGCACTAGGCATATCGGCTAAAGTACACCAGGCGCCTCTAGCGCGAAGAAAAAAAAAAGCCACTGGGGATCAACCAGAACGTCCGGAGTTCTAGTAAGGTCTCCGCCCGAGGGAGAGAAAAGAAGACATACGAAGAGAGAAGAGAGAGAAAAGGGAATGACCATTTGACTTCTTTACTTCTTTTCACTTCCCCCACTTCCATTTCCAAGGTTCTCTGGATGTTGATTTACACTCTTTTTTTCCCTTCACGACTCATACAGAACCCCGTCTTGGCCAGAGTATGATTGGCCCGATCCTTTCCACCCACTGAACCACCAACCACCAATTTTCCCCCTCTTTGCCTGCTTTCCTTTATCCAGGAAGCCCATCTTCCCTTCCCTTCAACCCTCCAACACTCCCCCCCACCCTTTGCCTCAGAAGACATGGAGCACTCAACGCCCATGTCCTGGCCGGAGCAACTCCATGAAAATCCTCTCATTACGGCGGGGGAAGATGAATTCTCCAATTTCCTCGAGTTCGACATGCACTTCCCCGACCTGGAGGGGCACGGACCAGCACATTCTCAAATGCAAGACCAGCAACATGTGATGGGACACCCGCCGACCACCACTGCGCCCTCAACAATGGCCCACGATCCGCGATCGAATCCCTATGCTGCCCCAATGGAGGGTCTGGCAATGGACTTTGGCCAGCAGGTCTCTGCGCCATCGAGTATGCCATACTCAAATCCTAGTATGACTCCGGGATTCTGCGCCCAAGATTCTACCCACATGTCGCAACAGCCGCAACACGGTCACCACTACATGCAGGGTCAAACCATGATCCCGCCAACCCCGAACAGTATGGAATTACATGGGAATGCGGCCCGGTACTCGCAGCGCATGGACGACAATCCGGAGATGTATGATCCTCGCTATTCGCGCGTTGAAGACCAGGTATGTTTAGAATACACGCCTAGATCCGTCCCCGGGTAATCCATGAAAAAATGATCCCTAACTTACGGATTGTCTAGGCATTATACACTCCTTTAATTTCACCGGCGATGACCCCATTAGAGAGTCAATTCCAATTAGATGGCTTTGCGGTTCCTGGAGAATACAGCATTACACCTCTCACCTCACCCGCTCTGGAAGCCCAGTCTCACCACACGAATAATGGCTTTTATCATTCAAGACAGGTCTCGGATGCAGGATTTGACCCCAATAGCGCCGAGATCAACCATTTATCAGGAATATCCGCCCCAGGGTCTCCCGGTATCATTCGCAAGACCAATCGTCGACGCCCTTCAACTGCAGCCACTTCGCGTCTATCAGGCCGAAACAAAGTCAAGCAATCCCCTTCTATTCGCGCACAGACTCAGCGCAGGTCAAAACAAACGCCCAATTCGGAGGAGTTCTATAATAGTCTATCCCAGGAATTGAATAAGCCACAGAATCACGATGTGCGATCGCTCCAGGCGAGCAGCAATGAAGGTTCTGGCCAAGATTCAGTTTCACCGGAGCCATTATCAGAGCCCTTGATGCTTCCCCCAGCACTTCCTTCGGCACGCAAGTCTCCTGCTATTGCACCTCAACCGGCCCAGCTTCCGAGTGCGGCTGCCACCCCAGCGACACTGATGCGCATCCAACGGACACAGCATGCACAAGACCCATCAGGTCAATTTATGGGTCGAGCTCAACTGGAGTACCATGATGAGACAATGGAGGATATTTCCTTGCCTGAAGCCGCTGCACCCTCGCAATTACGCCCCAGGATTAATCGCATCGATACAAGCGTGCGCACCACTACAGCCAGTCCGGCCATCTCTGCAAATGCGACTCCTCTATTGGAACCTCGCTCATGTCCACCCAGCGGGTCTGTTGCGATCAGTCCCCGCACGGCTGCCATGCCATCTCCTAGTGGGCCACTTCCCAAGAGGTCAGATCCATCTCGATCTTCAATTTCGAGCCGAAAGCGACAGAGCGTATCCTCCACACAAGCAAGCCCACAGTTACGACCAAAAATTAGCCCTAATATTCAACCACTGATGCGCGGTAGTGATAGTGAGTTAACCTTTCCCTTTCCCTTTCCCTTTCCCTTTCCCCTTTTTCCTTCTATTAAACAGACTCGAACTAACCATATGATTTCCAATCTACAGACTTCTCACAAGACGCACTTCTGGCATCTAAATCCAATTACCAACACATCCTCGATGGCACTCTGCCCTCTGGAGTCTCATACCCGGAAACATTGGCAGAAAACCTGAGCTCCAAGCGTACCAATCACAAATTGGCCGAACAGGGCCGACGAAACCGCATCAACAGCGCCCTAAAGGAAATCGAAGCATTGATTCCCCAGGAGTTCGTCCAAGCTCGACTGGACAAGGAAGCTGCAATCACAGGAATTAAACCCGGGGACAAGGACAAGGACAAGACAGCCAACCAGGCAATCAGTAAGGCCAGTGCGGTAGAAATGGCTATCGACTACATCAAAGCCTTGAAACAGAACCTGGATGACACTGCTACCAGATTGGCTTTGACTGAGGCCAAGCTGGCAGGTTTCACCTTGGATGAAGAGAAAACCACCCCGACTGCAACCTCCGAGCAGACTGCTTGCGAAGCCACCACTGGTTCCGAGACGGAAGATAGAAGTTCGTAACCAGATTTTATACCAGAAGATGTGACCGGAAAGTTTGATCTACATTGTATTTTTTTTTTCTTTTCTTCTTTCTCTTTGCCCTATCTTCTATTCTTTTTTCCCGCGAGAAAATGTGTGTCAGGGTCATTCGAAGAGCCCTGGGATTTGATCGACAGTTTCGCTTTGTGTATGTGTAATGATCTATCTTTTCTTAACTTCTCTAGGTTTGGGTGGGTTTGATAGCGTCGGTGTTTGTTTGTTTTTTGATTCCATTTCTTCTTTTTTACTGGTGGCTAGGTTCAACGGGTTTGCTCTCTTGCTCTTGATTTTTCTTTCTTTCTTTCTTATTCAGGGGCCTTTATTCCTTTCCTTGTTAGGTCCTTACGTGCGAGTACCAGATAGACTTTTACCCCATGATGTGCATACATGTCATCCACGATTTGTTAAATTTAAATTCAAGATTCCAATTCAAAGATTTGATTGAATGTATTCCAATTTAAACACTGCCAAGAGATTAATATTAGCGAATATTAGGCTAATATTCAATCATATCATGTACCCTACGTCAGAGCCTCTACTAGTATAACTGGGAATAGGAAAAGAATAGGAATAGTATGAACACCATCAATGCTGAATGAATTTCGTCGCTCATGAGCTTGTACAAATGCAAAGAAGAAAGGCCCCGGTATATCCTTAGAAACAATGGGCCACAATCAATAATCACGAAATACAGCTACCATGTCATCCAAGCGAGCGACCTCTCCAAGCAACAGAGCTTCCTTATCTTTCCAACGTTGCAGGAGCTCCAGTTCTTCTTCAGTAAGATATTCCTCCTCATGACCCTTGACATCGCTTCGCTCAGTCTTCTCCAAGAAATCCTTGAGACGATTCCGCTCCACCTTGATTCTCTGTATGGTCCTCGACATAGCCTTGTAAGTATCCTCCAAAACGCTACCAACGACGCGATCTGGATCATAATACCACAAGAAGATAGTCTTAGAAGGTTGTCGCTGAGCATCCTTAGGGACTTCCTGCAGATCCACATACCCCCCAGCTTGCATGCTAGAAAGTGTTTGACGCAGATCTTTCCATGGAAGAAAGCTAATTTCTTGAAGTCGCTTCTCGTCCAATTTACCCTTTGCATGAAGGACACGAATGACACGCAATGCCACATCGCCGTATCTCGATTCGATCATCCTCTCTAGCTCCAAGTGTCGTAATTTGCGAGCCAAGCCACGGAAATTAATCTGCCATTGAGCAGAACCATACAATTCCACACATACAGTGAGGTTGTAAGGGGCTTGTGAGAGGAGATTAAGATGCTGGTTAATCTCCCAAGCTCGATTTGTGCCGTTCTCATCGTCGTCATTGGCATTGTCATCATGATCGCCATTGATTCCATTCTCCAATGGACGTTTCCCGCGTCCATTGACCAACTGCGAAGATGAGTCTAGCGGGGCGAAAGCTCCAGATATATCCATTTGGGGGTCGATATCTCTCAAGAAGCTATCGGCCTGGATAGGTTGGGAGTAAAGAGAACCCTCCTCGCCTTCGCGGGGGATATCCGTCTTATCTCGACATTTGGAGGTATTGTATTCGATGCGACGAAGAAGAGACTCGTAGACCCTTGAAGTTGCCGGGGGAGCCTGCTGTTCAGCAAGAGTGACAAATCTATCCATTCGTAGCGCGACGTCTAATTTCTCGTAATTTACTCGTACCACCAACCCAGCCTAAATTGAAATGTTAATGTCCCGCGATACAATCAAAGTTCTCCGCTGAGATGTCATCTCTTACCTCCATAGGAACATTATCGAATCCATCCTCGTCTTCTGACCAGTCATTTTCTTCTTCATCTTCCTCCGCGTGGTTTCCGTTGCCATTTACACCATTTGCCAGCCGTAGCTCATTTGTCGAGCCTGATGCAGCATTTCCCCACTTCCTTTTGATGCCTCGGGGAAGACCATTAACCATGAGGGTCTCCGAAAGATCCGCGTGAAGCCGCTCTTGCAGCAAATTTTGTGTATCCGCGTCAATCGCTTCCTGCTGTCTCTTGCCTTTCAAAACTTTGTTACCTGGCCTAGATGCAGCAATACGTCGGGCCTCAAGGAGATTATCGTCGGGGCTCTGAAAGGATGCGTCGCGCACGCGCATCAAATACCCATGTGATGCAAGGGCTTTGAGGGTGGCGTGGAGAGGAGCTGGCTTGAATTCCGGCGCATGATCCCCATTGGTTTCGACAGGTCCATCTTCCACCTCCATTTCATTTTCCTGCGTTTCTTCATTGGAGTTTGTGATGCCATTCGGGGTTGGGGGGTTTAGAGATCGGAGCTGAGGGAGAGTTTCGAGATGAGTTACAGAGGCATTGCCGAGGAACATGATTGTTTCCATAATTCGAGCCGCATATTCTCCGAGACGATCCTCTACCAAATTGAGAATCTTCCCGGAGCGCACGAGGTAGTATGCAGCATTGGGGTTTGACTCGTAATAGGTATTGTTGTCTTCGAGGGAGGTGAAATGGAAGACGAGGTGATGTTGAATCATGGCTGTCAGACCATGACGAAGTTGGCGATCAGTCAGACGAGAGTGGAATTTTAATCGAGCGAAAGGAAGTCGTTCATAGCGTTGTAAGACAGTGAATATGCGCTAAGAACATTGAGCGTGGTTAGCGCCTGTTTAAACTCTGCAAACAAAAGCCTGATCGATGTATTTCTGCAACGCCTAGATTGCGACCAAAGTCCGAGGGTTACTCACAGCAAAGAGCTCTCCGAAGTTATCCTCAATGAGAAGCGTGCAAAGCTCCACAGCATACTATTCAGAAGAGTCAGAAGCAGGACGAGGTTGAACGAAAGGGCTTTGGCGCGCACCTGGGACATCAACATGGCGAATTAAGAGAGCTTGCCACTCTCCAGTCCTCACAGGGAACAATCGAAGTCACCGCAACGAGTTCATAGAGGGGAATCGATGCGGTTGCGAAAGAGTGTATGGCGGGCACTTTTTTGCTTATCAGTCACGTGATAATCAGCTGATTCTTATACCTTCAAGCGCGGAACATCTCGAGGTGAAAGCTGCCATGCGTGCTAGAACATGTAAGATATTTGAATAGTCTTCAACGTCTAAAATAGAAAATTTTACATAATTTGCCATGTGTGGAATATATTCAAACCAACAAATTTCCTCAGTCTCTGCATCCAGAATCAACTTTTTCCTATATAAAACAGCTCAAAGCAACTTCTTAGTAGTTTTGTAGAAAAGTTCTTCCGATCCCGTCCGACTCGTCACGGCAGCCAATCAGCGACCGAGTAATCAACCCAGTCCCGGCATCTTGAAGCTTTTCGTAACCCGTCTGCTTCCCTCCCCCGACGCATCCCCCCTCCCCTCAATTGCCTCCCTCGTCATAACCCAATTGGGTTCCTGTCTCTTATTTTCCTTCTTATAATTGTCCCCGACACATCATGTTGTCGCGGTCCTCCCTCAGCCGAAATGCGCCCCGTGCGCTCTCCGCCGGCCGTCGGGCTATGGCTTCTGCTGCCAACCCAACCTTCCAGTACGATGTCTCCGAGGCTGCTGGTGTGAAGGTCGCCAACCGTGAGGTCCAGGGTGCTACCGGTACTCTGGCCCTGGTGGCCAAGGCTGGCTCCCGCTACCAGCCCTTCCCTGGCTTCTCCGATGCCCTCGAGAAGTTCGCCTTCAAGGTCCGTTCAGCAGACATCAATCGTTCATCTAGGGTTCGGTCATCTAATCTCATTCGCTTATAGACCACACTCAAGCGTTCAGCACTGCGCATCACTCGTGAGGTTGAGCTGCTGGGCGGCGAGATCTCGGCGACACACTCGCGCGAAAACGTCGTTCTCCGCGCCAAGTTCCTTGCCAATGACCTTCCATACTTCACAGAGCTCCTGGCTGAGGCTGCCAGCCAAACCAAGTTCTCCGGTACGTTACTTGCTAGATTTGGTTGAGCAATATCAATGTTTCCCGTGGACATTGGTGGCATATACCCGGAAATTCTTTCGTTTTGATGGTTCCCGCCCGCTCATAACTAACACGAACTTTTGCTTGATACTAGACCACGAATTGAACGAGGTTGTCGCCACACTTCTGAAGTACCAGCAGCAGGCTGTCTACTCCAGCCCCGAGACCGTTGCCCTCGATGCCGCCCACGGCGTTGCCTTCCACCGCGGTCTGGGTGCCCCCATCACTCCCAGCCAGACCACCCCCTACGAGAAGTACCTGTCCGGCGACGCCCTGGCTCAATTCGCCCAGGACGCCTACGCCAAGTCCAACGTTGCTCTGGTCTCCACTGGTCCCAACTCCGCTGATGTCTCCAAGTGGGTTGGCCAGTTCTTCAAGGATCTCCCTGCTGGCAGCTCTTCCAGCCAGTACAAGGTCCAGCCCAGCCAGGCCAGCAAGTACTTCGGTGGTGAGCAGCGCATCCCCTCCAAGAACGGCAACGCCGTCGTGATTGCCTTCCCCGGTTCCAGCGCTTTCGGTACCGCTGGCTACAAGGCCGAGGCTTCCGTCCTGGCTGCTCTGCTGGGCGGCGAGTCCTCCATCAAGTGGACCCCTGGTTTCTCTCTGCTTTCCAAGGCTACCCAGGGCTTCTCTTTCCTCAACGTCTCCACCAAGAACCACGCTTACTCCGATGCTGGTCTCTTCACCGTCACCCTCTCCGGTGCCGCTGATCAGGTTGGTGCCGCTAGCAAGAACGTCGTCGATGCCCTCAAGAAGGCCGCCGCCGGTGAGGTTTCCAGCGAGGACATCAAGAAGGCCGCCGCTCTGGCCAAGTTCCGCGCTCTTGAGTCTGTCCAGACTCTCGACACTGGTCTTGAGGCCACTGGCTCCGGCCTCGTCCACGGTAGCAAGGCTTACCAGATTGGCGAGATTGCCCAAGCTCTTGAGAACGTCTCTGAGGAGCAGGTCAAGGAGGTATGTTTTTGCCCTACATAATTCTTTTATTTCCCCCTCCTTTCAAAAATTGCATATACTAATATTTATTGACTTTAGGTCGCCAAGTCCTTCCTTTCCGGCAAGGCCAGCCTTGTCAGCGTTGGCGACATCCACCAGCTCCCATACGCCGAGGACCTGGGTCTGTCTGCTTAAACTCCTTGTACTTCATACAACCCCTAGACCGAGGGAAAAGCGTGTTTCCTCGTTTGGATTTGATGTGACCATTTGTGCCTAGATTCTTTGCCGATATCTCCTTTGTGTTTGAGGGTGTAGTTGACTGTAATACAATTGTACCTTATTCGATGCAGTCTTCCTTGTAATTCAGTTTAAATTCATGGACCTCTCCATGCTTGTTTAAATTTAAACATGTTAAACTACGACTAGCTTACTGTCAGCTTCTGACTTGCCCGGGAAGATTCTCTAACGAACCCCGTCAGGCTCGGGGTGCCAGAATAAAATATTCAGCCTTTCCTCAACAGACCGGTTCACGCATCATAGTCCACATGGTATGTCCAACTGGGTCTATTCCTCTAGCTTGGCTTCGATTTTCGGAGATCAAAGATGACACTGGGGAAGCCTCCAGTAGCAGCCAGTACAGATAGCCAACTACAAACAGCCAACTACATACAATTGCCAGTCGACTATTTCAGGCTTGAGGATATTACCAGCAGTTTTCATTATTTCGCTAACCTTATTTCACTAACAGCATTTACTATCTAGTTCACAAACATCATATTCCAAGTTACAGGTGCTTAGATTAATAATCAGTGAGCTAGACATCTGGACTAAGTAGCTTATTACCTTCAAATCAAGTCTAAAGTATGTACTGTTAGCTGCCAATTCGTACGATATGATCTTACTGTTGGAGTAAGAAGCCAATTGTAGATCAAGAAGGTAGTTAGATATAGCTATTGAGCGGGAAAATCATGATTAAGTTGTTGAATTGAAATGCATATGAATATCAATAAAGCCCTGGAGAGTTCGAGGACCGCTAAACTTCACTTGTACAAGCCCGAATATCCCTCATCAAGGAGACTTTCCATGGTTTTAGGAGCTAATGTTGCGACCAATACCCAAGGAAATCATTCATCTGCACTCGGAAGTCTTAGACAATGCCTGTACGTCAGGAGTCACGACCTTCTAGTCTACCTCAGCAAAGTCTAACAATATACCCACTTAAGCTCCTTAAGCTCCGAATGAATAAAGCTAGGGAGTTTGAATTTCTTCGATCATTTGAGGTTTCTATTTGCATCGCACGTCACAAAGCTTACAGAAGATTTAAGTATTCAGTGGAGAATACTTAGGTGAAACAGCCTAGGCTTCATACCCCGAACCCAACGTCTGGAACTAAACAATAAACAAATAAAGCGCAAAGTAGCCTGAGTAGCCTTAGTAGCACCCAAAGTCCCAGCATAAAATTCCTCGAAGTCAAGTGCCCAACCTCAGGCTCCTAGCCTGAGGCTAACCAAGTATAAAACCAAAGCAACAAATCAAGACCTCGCTATGTACCCCATTCAGAACTTTGAAAGCAATATGAACCATTAATACATGTAATTTTGATACAGTCCGAGAAACTACGTAGCATTCAAGCAAAGGTAATAATATGTCAACCCGCAATTTCTCCAGAATCCCATACTGAGCTCATGGCTTATGATCCATCCATTATAACCGAGGTCAAGCCACGGGCTTGCGGGCCGCCGGGCACAGATCCTTGCATAGCGTTTTGAATGAAATGAAACACAACAGCCTCGGATAAGCTACACGGATAAATGGAAAAGGAAATAAGCATACGTGCCGTTTCAATTTAATAAAGAAATAAAGAAATCAAGAAATATTACTCATATGTGACGAACGTAGTCTGGAGCGAAGAAAAGGCCGATTTACGCCCCCGAGATCGGATGTTTGACTTCTGCTCTTTCCATACGTCAATCAGCCCCCACTTAACGGGGGATGGGGATTAGCATGGGGATGTGTTGTGAGTAGAAGCGGAGGAATTCTTGGTTATTTTGCGGGATGCTAGTGACTATCGTGATATTTATGGAATGAATACTTTGAACTCAGGATTGTGTTCCAGGTAAGGGTTACTGATGTGGTTTACATTCAAGCTTGTTCAAATTACTTGTTTGTGTTTATAGGCTATTCTATTGAGCTAATTTGTAGTTCTATACGCAGTGTCATTTAACATGACTAGAAATGCGCCAAACAAAGGAAACCATCTTAACTACCATAGGGATACAGAAGCAGGAAAAAAACAGAGTGTGTTGAGTATCACAATCACAAATGTATTCAGTGGGTATCGGGGTCTGTTCTCAGTGAACCAGACAAATTACGGATGTGTTTAAACGATAATAATCCTGCTCCTTCTCCGACAACCGCTGCATAGTAGAAGGGTATCTCAAACCTTCTCTCTAGTGCTTCGCGGTGACGGCCTCGCCAGTCAGTTTTTCGACTGCCTCTTTAGCCCTATGAAATCATAAACGTTAGTATAAGGTCATCACATCTGAGAATTGAGGGGTAATAAAAAACGTACATGTCACCAAGAGCCACCATGCAGACAGTCTGCCAGATGCCCAGACCAATACGGGGAGCCACGCCACGGTAGAGACCACGGATGCCGTTGTTGTCGTAGATGTACTTGAAGGTCTTGCCAACAGTCAAGTTCTTAGGACGGTTGGGATCAGGAGTCTTGCTCTGCATCTCAACACGAATGACCTCAATGGGCTGGTTCCATGCGGACAGACCACCACCCAGACTGGAGGCGAGAATCTTCTCAGCAGCAGACAGCTTCTGGCCATCGTCCTTGCCGCTGACCTTACGAATGGCAGACTCAGCCAGACGAGAAAGACCGAAACGGGAACCCCAGTTGGTAGTCTGACGGATAGCCACAGCGTTGACACCACGGTTGATACCGCGGATACCCTCCTTGCGGTAGATATCCATGAAGGTAGCGAAGGTACCAGGGGGCTTGACACCCGTGGCAGCCATCTTGTGCTTGGTGATCTCGACAGTCTTCATGCAAGTACAGAAGCCCATAGTAGCGTAAGCCTGAGCAATACCACCGGCCATACCACCGCTAATACCGCCGACGAAGTCATTCGCACCGAATGAGCGAGCGTAGAACTCAGCTTCGGAAGCGACGAACAGGAGAACAGCGCCCTTAGTGGAGGCCTCAATCCAGGCCCACGGAATGAGTCCTTGGTAGTCTAAAGATCGGAAAGTGACAGGTTAGCATGTTTTTATCTCACAGTAGCGTTAAAGGCTTCTTGGCAAGGCCCCCACGATCGGAGATAAAAGGAGAGAGATAGTGGTACATACAACCGAGGATCCCGCCACGGCCCCAAATCCGACCCATAGCACCGGCGAAGCTGTCGCCCCGATTCGCGGCCATGGTTGTCTTGATCACTTCCAGCGGCTATATTAAGAACTGATGTCAGCTGGGGGGCCATTCGTATTTGCATAACGCGGGTGGCAGAGGAGAGATGAGAGGGCGATTGCTACATACCTGTCCCAAGCTGGTGACCTCGAACAAGTTCAAGCCAGCACCCAATAACAGGTTGCTGAACTTGACGGGCTTCTTCTCAAGCTGAGGCGCGGGGGCTGATGTTGTCGACATGTCTAGAATGTGGATGCTGCTGAAAGGGGCCCTGACCAAGGGATGTACGGGGCTTCGTCGCCTAAGGGATCGAAAAAGAGGTGGGAGGGGAGAGTGAGAAAAGAAACTCGAAAAGCGTTTGAGTGGAAGCAAGAAATGTTGGAAAGGAGGAAAGAGAAAGTGAGGCGCCAATTGTCTTATAGGAGAAAATCAGCAGCTTCTCAGCAGGGGTGAAAGGTAGCGGGTACCTCAGCCAGTGCGGAGTGTCCACTCATACCATTGGGTACTGAGTACCTCCCATACCGCCAATAGTGGAGATTCCCTATCTGTTCTCTTCCTTACTATGTAGCATCTCTCCTTGTGTTGACCACCGTCTTAACCTCGGTCATCGGGTTAATTGCTGATCTACGTGCTAGATCAATTAAACATGATTCCGATTCTCGCTGGAATAGATGTGAATTTTAGGTTTATTCTTCTAGTTCTTAGTTCTGTGTTCTGTTTATTTTTCTCGCTGTTCCATGACCGGCGACTATTCTCTGAGCTATCATAATAAATCGAGATAACTCTCCGATCTATTCCTATTTTAATATTTAATATTAATATTCATTCTATTTTTTCCCTATTTTCTCCATTTTGTCCATTTTTTCGAATTGAGTGGGTCGGTGAGAAGGTTGAGCCTCCCCAACAATTCACGTGTGCTCGATTCTCCCCAGTAACTATCAGACCATTCCAGATTCTACACTCAATGCTGAGACCTGGCCTTATCGATAGAAAATAGACTACACTATACCACTGTAGACAACACATACTGTAATTGTTTATTTGATAGGAATTGAAACTTAAATTGAATAAATATACATTTAAAAATGTTAAATTATAATTCTTTACCGCAGGGAATTACAATGACCAGACAGATACGGAATTGACGTGACCATAATCATCATGCTTTCGAGGAAGTGCTGTTACAAGGCCCGCTCGAACCGATCAAGTCCTATCATACAACATGACAAAAGAAATCACAGCACCAGATAAAACAAAGAAATAATACAAAGTCTTAAGTCAGAAAAGTCCTTCCCTCAATGAAGAAACACATCACGGCTTTTCGTCGGTAATTTTTTTACAGCTTGGCACCGACCAGCTTGGCGTAGGCCTCGGTGCTGAACGACTTGGGGCGCTCAATGGGCATACCGAGAGCACGGTCGATGATCAGCTGGGGCAGGACACCAAGAGCACGGGACACACCGAACAGAACGGTGTAGTAGTTAGCCTCAGTCAGGCCGTAGTACTGGAGGAGAACACCGGAGTGGGCATCGACGTTGGGGAAGGGGTTCTTGGTCTTTCCGTGCTCAGTCAGGACACCAGGGGCGATCTTGTAGACCTGGCTGACCAGCTTGAACATGGGGTCATCGGGGAGCTTGCGGAGAGCAAACTCGCGCTGGGAGACGTAACGGGGGTCGGTCTTACGCAGGACAGCGTGACCGTAGCCGGGAACGACCTGGCCAGCGTTCAGGGTGGACCAGAGGTAGTTCTTGATGGACTCATCAGTCAGGTCGTTACCAACGGCCTGCTTCATCTTGGTGAGCCAGTTAAGGACCTCCTGGTTAGCAAGACCGTGGAGAGGACCAGCCAGACCCTGGAGACCGGCGGACAGAGAGAGCATGGGGGAGCTCAGAGCGGATCCGACCAGGTGAGTGGTGTGGGCGGAAACGTTACCACCCTCGTGGTCAGTGTGGATGGTCAGGTACAGACGCATCAACTCAACGAAGTCCTTGTTGCCACCGAAACCGAGCTGGTTGGCCAAGTTGAAGGAGTAATCCTTGTCCTTCTGGATAGGAGCGACCTTGCCGTCTTTGAAGACGTTGCGGTAGATCTTGGAAGCGATGGTGGGCAGCTTGGCGATGAGGTCCATGGAGTCCTCAAAGGTGTAGCTCCAGTACTCCTTCTTGTTGACACCCTTGGCGTAGGCCTTGGCGAAGCTAGACTCGTGCTCGAGAGCAGTAACAGCCAGGGAGAACTGAGCCATGGGGTGGAGGGTGCTGGGGCAGCGGTCGATGAGCTCCTCAACGAACTTGGGGACATCGGAACGAGCGGCCCACTCAGCGGAGAGGTCCTTGACCTGCTGGGCGGAGGGGATCTCGCCAGTCAGCAGAAGCCAGAAGAGACCCTCGGGCAGGGGCTCCTCACCACCAGGAGCCTTGGGAAGAAGCTGCTGGATCTCGGGGATCTACAGTAGAGTTTTTATTAGTGAATTTGTTCGGATTCCATGCACAGTCGTCAATCGAGCTACTTACAGTACGGCCACGGAAACGGATACCCTCCTCAGAGTCAAGGACGGAACCCTAGAAGAAGAAATCATGTCAGTCTCAAGCTTTATCGCCAATGCGCCACGAAGCTAGGAAGGTATGCAACTCACCTCCCAGACGAGAGACTTGATACCACGGGCACCACCGTAGACCTGGTCAAGAGTGACCTCACCAACGACCTTGTTACCGTGCTCCCTGCAAACTGTGTATCAGTATCTACAAACACACGGTTGACTTTCTTTATGATTCGGGGGGCGCGATGACATACTTGCGGAGCTTCTTGACCTTCTCGATCTCGGCGGGAAGGTTGTCGGCGAAAGTATCCTTCAGAGACTATTGAAGGCAGTCAGTATATGGAATTGATGAACATAGCAACCTTGGAAGCTTAATGCGGCAAGAACATACCTTGGCCTTAGCGGAAGAGTAGCAGCGCACGCCGTTCAGGGCGGCAGTCTGGATGGGCTTAGCAGCCACAGAGGCCCGCAGAGCGGAGGTACCAATTCGGATGGAAGCCATTGTGAATGTGAGATTATAAATTTTTTTCAACTCTACTTCAGAGAGAAGGATGAAAAAAAGGAAAGAATGGGGATGGGAGGGGGAAGAAAAGGAAATGAAAAGAAATCATCCGGGAGCTCCCTTTTTTCGGAGTGGATTTTTCCCGTAATACAGCCGGTACATTCGGGCTGATCAAGGCTGTAATTTACCCCCAACGGTACAAACACGGTCATGTCTCGGGCTGCCGTGGATCGTCGTTCGCAGTCGGAACAAGACAGATCCACGTTGGCATGCTGTAAAGGTGTACAGTATACCAGTTGTACCTAATCAAATTGATATTTTGGACTTTTCTCTATATTTTCAGATTTTCATATTATTTTATGTTTAGTCATGAATACACCATAATCCCCATGATCCCCATAATTCCAAGGTTAGATCCCATCTGATTAGGGCTACCTAGACTAGCATAATCTCCCCATGATGACTTTCTCACCAATCTCACAATACGATAAAGTAATAAAGTAATTTTCCGCTCAGACTGGTATCTATAGAGGATGGCCATGGCAGTGACGTCGGCACCTAGGCCAACCAAGTCGCCATCATGTCCCGTGTGCCGCCATCCGGATCCCCGAACGCGAGCTGGGGCCCTCGGCTTCAATTCTGCTGGGATTACTACTGGGGTCTAGGGGCCACATGATAAAAATACCAAAAAGACAATTAATTTAATTTCCCTGGAACTCCCATGATCACATTCTGCATAATGCTGATGTATGATCAAACATCAATTGATACTTTTGTAGTCTATAGATATCACGTACATGAGTTAGTGCTGTAGGTTGTTCCGTTTATAGCCGGCATTTCGTCTGAAAGAGTTCACCGAGATCGGGAGAAGAAGAATAGTGGAAGGTTGACCAGGTTAACACGTTCACACGTTAACGGGGGGAGACAGAAAGGACCCTAACACCAAAACAGTTAAAAATCGAACCCCAAGAATCCGATGTTCGCCAACGGAATTGACTCCGGCCCCATCTTAGCTCCAGATGGGTTGTTTTTTTCGTATTTGGAGTTCAATGTGGTCATTTATTGTCATTTATTATAATGATTAGATCAGGGGGATCCATCAGCACTGGTAACTAGGGGAACCACATGATACGGAGGATCATAAAGGCCAAAATGGTATTTTTGCCATGTCAGCATTGACACCTGACTGCCTTACTGCCTTACTCTGCCGGGTCTTTCTGTTCTGTCCTGTGAATGCCGTCCACGTGATATTAATCTCCCCGATTAGGTCTAGCGTCTCAAACTCTTCTTCACCCTTTTCTCTCTCAGTCAGAGAAACACCAACTTCTTCCCTTCTTCCCTATCAACGACGTCGCCCCCTTTTCGGTCGCCATCTCCATCATCACAGCTTCCCACGGACAGTACTTTGTAAAGCCGTTTTTCGCTTTTTCTCTTTTACTCGGGAGGCCTGGATATTATCTACTGCTGAGTGTTTCGATCGGGGTTCTCTCACAGTAACGACTTAAGTTGTACCTCCGTACTCGTACTTCGGCCAGGCAACTCTCCTGGACCTTTTATTTCCTAGGCTGTATTCCAGCTGTAGGCGGCACCAGAGAGATCAGTGAATCTCGTGCTGTAGTGAAAGGCCGCTAGATATTTGGTTTCACTCTTAATCGCGTGTCAAGTCAACCCGAGGGTGGAAAAACAAAACAGCCAGATCAGAAAAGAAAGAATTCCTGCTTAACCCTTTTTTTCTTCTCTTTTCTTCCTGTTCGCTCTTTTTCTCTCTTCCAGTAGCCAACGGCATTTTGGGCCTCGCGACTTCTTGCCAAGTTATTCGAGTCGCAGACGGCATTTGCTCTCATTAGGCCCTTTCCTTTTGCGTCGAAGAAACAGATCCAAACCAAAAAGTCTTTTCATTTCTCTTGCACACACAAACACAACGCCATGTCGTCCGCTGTAGCAGAACTGGAGAACATTCTCCAATCCATGCTGGCGCTGAAGCCTCCAGGCGTATCCGGATCCAAGATTCAGAGCATCACCAGTTTGTGCACGGCCAATGTTCAGGTAAGATTGCCTCTCCTCACTTCCCTGAGTTGAACGCGAGTTCGCGTGCGCATGCCCATGCGCATGTCCCACTAGATGAGAGATCGCTAACCCGATTTTACTTAGAATGAATCCGTTCTGATCCAAAAAATCTACACGCATTTCAAGAAGGCACCGGGCACCCACAAACTGGGCGTACTCTATGTCGTAGACTCTGTAACCCGTCAGTGGGTAGAAGCTGCACGAAAGGCCGGACAACCGCTAGGATCCTCTGCCCCAGATGGAACTTTCGCCGCTGGTGTCAACCGAGTTACCGAACTCCTCCCAGTATTGATGGGTGATATCATAAACAACGCCCCTCAGGATCAAAAGGTACGCACTAGATATGCAGATGGGATCAGCCCCACCCCCAGGTTTGGGGGCCGATTGTCCGTGACCATTGGTCGCTACGATTGGAGGCAGAATTGTGGTTATAGGTGGAATGCGTTGGATATCTCCACCCACTTCTACCTCTCACTTCTGCCTCGAGGCTACGATCCCAATGCTCCTTGCTTTTTTCTGTTTTCCCGTTCCTCACTTAAGAGAATCGTACAACTTACGTATATCTTTCCTTAAACCTGTACAGGACAAGATCAAGAAACTCATCGATATCTGGGAACGTGGCTACACCTTCCCAGGTCCCATGCTAGCCTCGTTCCGCGACAAACTCAACGCGCCCGTTCAGAGTAAGCCTCACTTCACCCCTCTACAACATTTACAACAACTACTTTGGAACTTTGGAACAACTGTCATCACTTTGAGAGACACAGGTCCCTCTCTGCTTCGAAATTTCCACCAGTATCGTTGATCACAACTAGTTTGGCCTCATTCTAACATTCTTTTGATGTAGACGTCGAATCGACCACGCCCGAAGGATCTCCTGCCCCCGCCATGAACCTGCTTGGAGGAGGCGCGCCTCCTACGAACAACGGCTCTGGAGCTGCACCGGACACCTCCAGTATCTTGAAAGCGTTGGCCGATATGGCGAAGCAAAACACCACTGCCCCGGCACCTCAAGCCCCATCTGCGGCTCCAACAAATCCTCTGGCAGCTTTGAATCCTGCTGCCTCGATCCCACAACCCGTCTCCTCTGCCGATCCCACCGCTGCCGCGAACCAATATGCTGCTCAGGCTGGTTTGAATCCGTTTGCTGCTATGGGTGGTGCTTTGGGTCATAATCCTGCCCTTGGACAGCCTCAAAGCCAAAGCCAAACACCGAATCCAATGGCTGCTCAGAATCCTTTGGCGGCCATGATGGGACAGGCTGCACCTGCACCAACCCCCGATAATGGAGCCGGTATGGCACAGCAATGGCAATTACTTCAGATGCTCGCAGCACAGGGTGTTCCCCAGGAACAGTGGGGGACGGCCCTTCAGATCTTCAGCATGACCAACAACATGGGTGGTAATGCTCCTCAGATGCCTGGCTTCGGTGCTATGCCCGGTATGCCCGCTATGCCCGGTATGCCCGCTATGCCCAATGCCTGGGGTCACCAAGACTCCCAAAATCGCGATGATCGGGACCGCGAACGCGATTACAACCGTTCCCCCGGTGGCTACCGTCGCCGTTCTCGTTCACCAGGCGCTGGTTGGGATCGCCGTCGCACTGCTTCCCCTCCTCGCCGTCGTGATAGCCCAGTCTATGGTGAATACCACGGCGATTCTCCTGGCCGTCGGGGTGACCCACGTGATGCTCGTCGTGGCGGACGTCCTAATGAATATCGCCAGCGCAGCCCACCTGGACGCAGACGCCGCTCCCCCTCGCCCCCTCGCAAGGATCCTAACCTCCCTCCTCCTGGTCCAAAGCTGATCGAATGGGACTACTCTATCGGTCAGGGCAGCATCAAAGTCCTGAGCCGAACCCTCTTCGTCGGTGGCGTCACCTCATCCGAGGCCAATCTGCGCGCATTGTTCAACAAGTTCGGTCTGGTCCAAACTTGCATCGTGAACATTGACAAGAGACACGCATTCATTAAGATGATCAGCCGTCAGGATGCCATCTTGGCCCGCGATGGAATGGAGTCATACCGTGTCGGTGAAATGCAATTACGAACACGATGGGGTGTTGGATTCGGTCCGCGTGACTGCAGCGACTACCAAACTGGTGTCAGTATCATCCCCGTTGAGCGGTTGACTGAGGCGGATCGCAAATGGATGCTGAATGCTGAGTATGGTGGTACTGGTGGCCGTGCTATTGAATCTGGCATGGTCGTTGAGGAACCCGATATTGAAATCGGTGCAGGTGTATCCTCCAAGGCAATCAGCCGACGTATCGCAACCGACACCGGTGGCAAACGTGGTCCTATTTCGACTCGCACCAACCCTGGACCCGGAGAGCAGCGATTCGGAGGACGCCGCTCGGAACGTGATGGTTTCGACTCTGGTGGCTACAATCCTGCCCCTCAAGGAGATCGCGTTGACATGAACAACATGAACAACCCAGCCGTTGCACCTGCCGTTCCTTCATACGGTTTCAGTTTCCCCAACATGCCCATGCTTCCTCCCGGATTCATGCTCGGTGGTCAAGCTGGCATGCCAGCTTCTCAGCCCCCTCCCCCAGGCCAGGGTAACTAAACACAACAAAAAGACTTGCGTGCTATTTTCCCATTCCACCTTCTAACCATTGTCTTCTATCCACCACTTTTTTTCCTTCTCCTCTTTTTCTTCTTTGCATCTGGACACTGGGGTACGTGGGACAGCCGGCGTTTTGAAGGGGACATGAGATCTGTAACAAACTGATGAGGGGGGTAGTTTGCTGGTGATTTTGATTCAAATTTGCCTAGCCTTTTTTTGCTTTCGTTTTTTTGCTTTTTTTTGCGTTTCATTCTTTCCCATTCCCCCTTTTTAAAGTTCTTATTATTTTCTTTTTTGCACACTATGCATGTGCGTATTTCAAGACTCATAGTGGTTCCATAATGAAGCAACGTCTATCATACAGGCGAACATCAACTGTATCTGTTGTTGTTGTTTTTTCTTCCTTTAATTTGATCCGTAGCTGTTTTGTTTTCATTGAGTGGCAGTCCCAGCTTGTCAGGTTGAGTGAAGATTTGATATTGTTTCTTTGTCATGATTCTATTGATGTTGATTTTGTTCAAACTAGGTAGTCAATCAATTTTCATTATCTTATATTCTTATACAACAAACTGTCCAGTAATACCAGGCCTAACTCATTTGCCTTATATAATGGTCATCTCTATACACTACAAACGGAGGTACTGTAACTGTAGAACCAACGTTGCACAATTAAACATCCATCGTCTTAACCGTGTTATCCACCTTCCAATTACAGATTACCCGGCCGAGATATGCAGGAGCCCGCAATTTAGACCCCTCCTCTCACTGTCGTATCGATCGTCGGACAATGCACAGGCATGCATTACAACCAACCCCACACGACCCCAGAATCATTAATCTATCTTTCGTACCTGAGACAGGTCCCGGGCCTTCGAGTTGGAATAATAACTCTCTTCTATCCCCTATTACCCTCACGTCTCTCAAAGAAATAGTCCAGCATCTACTACATAACTATAGATCTACTAACCACAAAAAGAAGACAGACCCCACCACGACCACAAACGGGGAGATGTCGTAATAGGAACCGCAAATTTGTGCCTCTTGATCCTCGTATACAGCGGTAATGGTGATTGGGCATGAAAGTGCAGGAAATGTTTGACAATAATATCTTGAATCACGCAATCGAACCTTGAACCTTGAACCTTCCCCGCCATGAACCCCTCTCTGAGTATATAACACATACAGTTCGCTATCTAGAATAACATTGGAAGATATCGAGTCTTTTTTTCTCATTTCTTAGTGTATCGATAGCCTTTATTCGTTCTATCCAACATGTCGGAGCAAAGTCAGCACTTTGAGACCCTCCAGCTCCACGCTGGGTAAGTGCATCACAATCACAACACACACCCAAACCAGACCAGACCATTTATTTATTCCATTCACTTTCTTAAAAAAAAGAAAAAAGAAAAAAGAAAAAAGAAAAAAGAAAAAAGAAAAAAGAAAAAAGAAAAAAAACTTCCCTCATAATTGCATCCACCCATCTAACATACCCAACACAGTCAAGAACCAGACCCAACAACCAACTCCCGCGCGGTCCCAATCTACGCAACAACATCCTACACATTCAATGACTCCGCCCACGGCGCACGGCTCTTCGGCCTCAAAGAATTCAGCAATATCTACAGCCGAATAATGAATCCAACTGTCGACGTTTTTGAAAAGCGCATCGCAGCTCTAGAAGGCGGCATCGCAGCCGTAGCCGCCTCATCAGGGCAGGCAGCGCAATTCATGACCATTTCTGCTCTCGCGCACGCAGGCGATAATATTGTTTCAACAACCAATTTATACGGGGGTACATATAACCAGTTTAAAGTTCTATTTCCTCGACTTGGGATTACTACGAAGTTTGTTCAGGGTGATGATCCGTCTGATATTGCGAAGGCAATTGATGAGAAGACTAAGGCTGTTTATGTGGAGAGTATTGGGAATCCGAGATACAATGTTCCTGATTTTGAGGCTATTGCGAAAGTTGCTCATGATAATGGAATTCCATTGGTGGTAAGTCTTCAATAAAACCTCCGGTGGAACACACCACCACTATACACTCAGATCAGATCAATACTGATATAATAATAAAAAGGTCGATAACACCTTCGGAGCAGGTGGATACTTTGTCCGTCCAATTGACCACGGCGCAGACATAGTCGTTCACAGCGCAACAAAATGGATCGGCGGCCACGGCACAACAATAGGCGGCATAGTAGTTGACAGCGGCAAATTCGACTGGGGCAAGAACGCCGCTAAATTCCCACAATTCGTCGAGCCCTCGGAGGGATACCACGGACTGAAGTTCTGGGAAACGTTTGGACCAGCTGCATTTGCTATTCGTGTCCGTGTGGAAATCCTACGAGATCTCGGATCAGCTCTGAACCCATTTGCTGCCCAGCAGTTGATTCTGGGTATTGAGACATTGAGTCTGCGATCAGAAAGACATGCTACTAATGCTCTTGCTCTGGCTAAATGGTTGCAGAAGAATGAGCACGTTAGTTGGGTTTCGTATTTAGGTCTGGAGGATCATCCTTCACATGCTACGGCGAAGAAGTATCTTCCTCGGGGATATGGTGGAGTGTTATCTGTTGGTGTTAAGGGTGGAGCTGAGGCTGGTAGTCAGGTTGTTGATGGGTTCAAGCTCATTTCTAATCTTGCTAAGTATGTTCATTTCGTCGTCTGGTGGATGGTATGATAGTATTTGTTGAACTAACCCTTTTGCAGTGTTGGAGATTCCAAGACCTTGGCTATTCATCCTTGGTCTACTACCCATCAGCAGCTTACTGATCAAGAGCGCTATGACTCTGGGGTGACCGAGGATGGAGTCCGAATTTCGGTTGGCACGGAGCATATCGATGATATCATTGCTGATTTTGAACAGTCTTTCCGTGCATCTAAGGCCGCGGTACCTGATCGCACTGCTTAATTTGGGTTTCAGTAGGGCCTCTTGTTGCAATAAAGTTGCTATACAGGGAATGGATTTACAGAGCCTGGTTGCTTAATAAATGCAATACTTTTTATTAGTCGATGCTTATTGGTTTTCCTAGGTTTGGATTTAGAAGTAGGTGTCCATTGGCAACTTGAAGGTACATGTTCAAATGTTGTTTGTTGTTTGGCTTAGTCATGTGACATACATAACTAACATCAATTCAATTTTGAATAATTTTGAATGTAACTTTATGGCAGATTTATTGGCTAACCCAAGATAGTCTAACTTCAGCCATAATCAGTAAGGCTTTCGTTCTTGAAGACTGAGTGACACAGGATTTAGGCAGCGGCGTCAACCCATAATAAATATGGGTCTTAGTGGCTGAGTCCAGGGTAGTTAGTCAAGGGATCTTCATGTACAGTGTACTTACAGTCTACCTACATAAGAATACTTCGTACTCCGTGAATATGCGAGAGTTATTACCTAGTAGGCAGCAGGAATAAGCCACGCGAAATATCTATATTAGGGACTCTCAGCAAAGGTCGATAGTATCATTTTAATTTAAGACCATAGACCAATCTAGACTTGAGTATGAATGAAAGACAAAAGACAATATTCTCTTTGATTTTCTTTCGCCTTCACTTAATATAAATTGAAACCTGAATCTGCGTGAGTGATACACGTCCGCCTCCGCCAGTCAGCCCTATTGGGCAGCTGCAAGCCACCACCTGACTAAATCTTGGCTGTCACCGATGACGCCTCCGCGACGCCGGTGGCTGATCTAACAAGGGCAGCTAGTCGACTTTATATTCCTTGCTTGGCTACTTGTTTACTTCAACTAACCCAGCTTCACAACCCAGCGACTGACTTTCCATCATTATCATCATGCTTTGGCTCTATACAGTTCGGATCGTCCAGATCATTTTCGGGCTAATCGTGCTTGCCCTGACAGCTTATGGTACGTTGAAAATTCATGGTTGTTGTATACCTATACTCCAAGGGTATACATATCGAAGCGTGTTCTAACCGTGTCTACCGTGTCTATCTAGTCATCAACACCTTTGAATACTGGTGGTCTTTCTCCAGCACCGTGGACTTCCTTCTCTTCCTGGGCATCTGGACCACATTTCTCGCGACTCCATACCTCATCGCTGCCCCGCTCTATGCACCACGTCTCGCGCATCCGTTTGTTATCACCGCAGTGGAGGTTATCACGATGATCTTTTGGTTTGCGGGTTTCATTGCCATGGGCGCTGAACTACCTCCCGCTGCTGGGTGTACCTGGAGCACCTGTCGTGCTCTGCAGGCAGTAACAGTATTTGGATCATTTGAATGGTAAGTTTTTGTTCTGGTGGCTTGGTTGATTTTTGAATTGTTTCTCACCGTTGGAATTCACAGGGTTCTGTTCTGCGTAACTACGTATTTCGCGATCGTCGATCTTATGAACCACCGCACAAGTGGCGAGAGTGCCCAGAAGACTCAGCATAATGCCCACCTGGGAGTTTGAATGATCGACGTATATGCGATGACCTCAGCGACGTGTTCTTCCTCTGTTTACTTTGTCGTTACCAGCGCGATTTTCATTTCCCCCGATTTGCACGATACCCACGGAGAAAATGGCACGATGCACATGATTCTAATTGTGCCGATCAAATGAATCTCTGTTTCCTTTTTTCCTTTTTTCCTTTTTTTCCTTTTTTCTCTTGTTGTTCTTGTTTTTGTTCGTGTGCTGTGCTGTGCTGTGCTCTCCAATGAGTTGTGATGTTGTAAGAGCCTGCAATAGCCGATACCCGAGATTATGTATGTCATATTGTTTGCAAAACGATGATTGTCCAGTATTTATCAGTCCAGATCCACCGAGATTCCATTCTTGGACACGGTTTGGGTCAGTTCTCCACGGTTGCGGCCAAGGCTCGGAAATGGAAAACAAGAATTTCCTGGTAAGAGCCGAGTCCGAGTCCGAGTCGTAATAGTTATGGATTTATTGGTAGATGGGGTTTCCAATATATATTGACAATTATTTTATTATCTATATTATCTTATCTACTCTGTTCCTTTATCAAAAAGGATTGGCTTATATCCCAGCATCCTACCAGTTGACGGGATGACCGAAACCGGGTGGCAATGTCAGTTTAGAGTGTTGCATCGGGGCGAAGAAACTTTATTCTTGGATTCCTATCATATCCGACAGGGAAATACTATACTATATGCACACGTCTATCTCAAATCCCGAAGCTGGAGGATCTGGGATCTGTTAGTTCTATGGAAATTAAGACTCGTAGTCGTAGTCGTCGCCACCAAAGAAAAAATCTCTGGTCCGCAAAAAAAGGCCCACATCAAAGCTCGGGAATCAATAAGAAAGCAATAAACTAGATAGGGCTAACGGGAAAGAGAGAAAAAAAAGATGGAAAATTCTGCTACAAGTTGAATAAAGTCAAGAAAAGTCCACTCAATCTCGAAAAACCGTGAAATCGAACCTGATCCCTAACACCTACGGGGTATATCAGATCAATTCCCACCTTGATCATTTCACGTTGCATCGGGATTTCTTTTACCTAACAGTTTTCTTACGCCGATCTAGGAAGTAGGGTTTGTCGCGTGTTTCTCCACATCTTTGCCCTCGGAGGCATCCGCTTCTTTGCAGGTCGTGGTCCGGTGGAGAAAGAACCTCTTGACGCATTTCAGATCCTTCCTCCTCTTTTCCTTCTCTCCCATTCCCCAACGCTTCCCCTGATCTCCTCGAGATATGGCTTCGAGCAAAGCCTGGAATGCGCCGTGGTCTGAGAAGGGAAAAATGGATTCCGACACACCAGTTATCACGTCGGACCCAGGACCGAATCCCCAGACAGAAACCAACAGCTATGATGTCGACTATGAGAAACATGGCGCGAACAGCGACTCCAACCCTGTTCCACAGCTGAAGCGCAAGCTGAAGAGCAGACATCTTCAGATGATTGCCATTGGTGAGTCTCATCTTAGAAAGAAGAAACGTCATAGATTCCCGTCGAATCAGTTTTGTTAACGATTTTTTCCCTCTTCTAGGTGGTACGATCGGAACTGGTCTCTTTATTGGTAGCGGTACTGCTATTGCGGGCGCAGGCCCAGTTGGAGCCCTTATCGCTTATATCTTCGTCGGAACTATTGTATACTCGGTCATGACTGCTCTGGGAGAAATGGCCACCTATATCCCCATCCCCGGTGCCTTTACCTCATATGCGACTCGTTTCATTGATCCTAGCTTGGGCTTTGCGATGGGCTGGATCTATTGGTTCTCCTGGGCCTCGACATTCGCACTGGAACTTACCGCCACTGGTTTGATTATTCAATTCTGGGATAGTTCAATCCCTATTGCTATCTTCATCGCCATCTTCTGGGTTTTGATCATTGTCTTTAATATGATGCCTGTGAGCTTCTACGGTGAAGTCGAGTTTTGGTTCTCAAGTATCAAGGTTAGTTATTCACTATATACCGATGTTGCAAGCTTGGTGGTCATTGCTTTTCTCTTAGTTGAGTAAAGAGTCACAACGGATCAGACTGCTTGTTTATCTGCTTTATTATGAATTCCAGCGCTAACCGGTAACCAACAGGTCCTGACTGTTATTGGTTTCATGATTTTTGCGATCTGTGTCAATGCTGGTGTCGGCACGCAGGGGTATCTTGGTTTCCGCTACTGGGTTCATCCCGGTCCATTCGTCGCGGATTCGGACATCCATACTAGCGATTCTCTGGCCAAGTTTGTTGGCTTCTGGTCCGTTTTGATTCAGGCTGGATTCTCTTACCAGGGCACAGAGTTAGTCGGTATCGCAGCTGGTGAGACCGAGAACCCTCGCAAAACCGTTCCCTCTGCGATCCGCAAAACCTTTTTCCGCATTATCTTCTTCTTTGTCCTGACCATTTTCTTCATTGGAATTGTGGTTCCCTCATACGACAAGGGTCTTGTGGCAAGTGATGGCAGTGGAGCTAGTGCTCAGAACGCGAATGCTTCTCCATTCGTGATTGCAGCTCGACTTGCTGGAGTCAAGGTCCTTCCTAGTATTATCAACGCCGTTCTTCTTACCGTTGTTCTGTCAGCTGCCAACTCCAACGTGTACAGTGGCAGTCGTATCATTATCGGTCTGGCTCAGGAGGGATTTGCTCCACGTTTCTTCAAGAAGACTACCAAGGGTGGTGTGCCCTACTTTGCGGTTCTGTTCACTGCCCTATTTGGACTTCTAGGTTTCCTCAACGTTTCTGACAGCGGAGCTACTGTCTTTACCTGGTTGATGCAGATCTCTGGTGTAGCGGGTTTTATCACTTGGTGTTCTTTGAATGCCTGTCATCTTGCCTTTATGCGGGCTCTCAAGGCCCGTGACATCTCCCGAGATGTATTGCCCTATAAGGCACTCTGGCAGCCTTGGTATTCCTGGTATGGACTGTTCTTTAACGTCATCATCATTATCACCCAGGGGTTCACCTCCTTCATCCCCCATTTCAAGGTCAAGGACTTCTTCATCAACTATCTCAGTCTGATCCTGTTTGTTGTTCTGTATGTGGGCCACAAGCTTATTTATCGACCCGCATTTGTCAAACCGATTGAAGCGGATCTCGACACTGGCCGAAGTACCTTCGATAATGAAACTTGGGAAACCACGGAGCCGACCACCTGGTATGGCAAGGTGTGGCAGTGGATTAGCGGATAGCTGTAAGTTTTTGGCAGCGAGTCCTTTCTTTGTTTTATACATATTGCCTTGGCATCATCATATTATGTCTTTCTTTAAGCTTGACGGCATTGGGACGCGGCGTTTCGGTACATACTAGTACATATACTATTCAATTATAGCCCCGGTGGTGTATATATCAGTCTTTTGCACCTTCCGAGGTTTACTTTTTAGATCATTCAAGCACATATAAATATACATATCTCTTCTCATGAAATTTATCTACAATCAGTGATCACGTTGAAAGGCACGAGTAGATAGTAATCACCGTTGTACCCTTGTGGGGCTAACCTCGGATATTCTATAATAGGTTAGTGTCTGTTGTACATTACTTAGTCTAGATGCGATCCCCGGGGGCGTCAACGTCGAAACTGGTGAAACTGGTGAAACAGCCCCGGCATTACAAGATACATGCTTGTTTTCCAGCTGGGACTAGTAGCTCTATGAGTTAGTGGCAATATATAGTATGCACAGAGGATGACTAGATTCGGATATTAGAGCAGGTATAATATTTAAAATCTACCTGCATAGAGATACATAGTAACTCCGTTCAAGGTTAAGTTAGAGGACAAAAATCAGATAAAATCAAACCAAGCCGAGTCTGGTATAGATATCTGCAACTCTTTTCTATTTAACAACGCCGGTTATTCAACTCCATGTGAAATAACATGTGGATGACATCGCCGTGCATAAGGTTTGAATCCTTGTCACAAGAAGCGGGTACTTCCTAATGTATGGGGTTGGCCACCGTAAAACCGGTACCCGCCACCGAAGAAGCCGAGGTCCATCCCACCTGGGGTCCACTTTAAATGTTGCACGACCTGGAGATTTTGCCCAAAGCGCAATCTCCCTCCGTTCTTTTCTTTTCCTGTTCTCCCCCATTCCTTCTCTCCACACTCTATCTGTGAGGCTGGAATAATAATTCGGGTGATTCTGTTCTCTCCTTTGTCTCGTCTCCTTCCGTCTCAAAGCTTTGGTGCCTTCTCCTAGACAAAGGTGAGTTGCGTCTTCCTCCCCCGTATTTACTGGATGCCTCGGGACACTGACAGACAAACAATCTTACTAGATAGACCGTCATGTTTTCCTCGCAACCCGCACATCTGGCTAAGGCCGATGACCTCAAAAAGGCACCTCCTAAGGGGCAGGCCTGGTCTGTACCTATCCCCGGAACCGAACAACCTGGACGTAGCCGGGTGTACCGGGCATGGAACGCACAGAAGCAGATGATCACAACACTGGACCCTCAGGTAGGATAAATATTGCGATCATTGAAAGACGGGCGCTGGATAGCTGAGCTCATATCTATCACTAGGTCCAAACCGCCCATGACATCTTCGAGTCTACCGCCAACCGTATCCCTAAAAACCACTTCCTCGGCTGGCGTCCATACAACACCACCACCAAGACATATGAGCAATACCAATGGATGACATATGAGACCGTGCAGAAACGCCGTGCGGCATTTGGTGCTGGTCTGGTGGAGCTACACCAGAAGCACGACTGCCATCGACCTGGCCAGTACGGTATCGGTATCTGGTCTCAGAACCGACCGGAGTGGCAAATCACTGGTATGTTTGAGAGCGCCTAGATCTTTGCGATATTCACAAATAGGTCCTTAAACTAACGCGATTATGTTCTCAAGATCTCGCCTGCCACTCTCAGGGTCTTTACTCTGTTTCCATTTACGATGTTCTGGCCGCAGATGCTACCGAATATATTATCAACCATGCCGAGCTGAACTGCGTTGTCACCACCCTCCCACACATCACCGCCCTCATCAAGCTCAAGTCTTCCCTGCCTAATCTCAAGATGATTGTCAGCGTGGACCCGCTGGACGCAGGCGAGGAGACTGGTAATACGAAACGTGCCCTGTTGGAGTCTATGGCCGCTGGTTTGGATCTTGCTATTTACACCATCGATGAGGTCGAGGCTCTGGGAATAGCCTCCAAGCGTGGAATTAACCCTCCTTCCCCTTCGGACATCATTACCATCAACTACACATCCGGTACGACAGGTCATCCCAAGGGTGTTGTTCTGACCCACGCAAATGCCGTGGCTGCCACCTCAGTGGGTCTCATCACAATTGGACAGTCCAAGGGTGATACTATGATCTCTTATCTTCCGCTGGCGCACATTTTTGGCCGTCTATCAGAGCAATGTGGTATCTGGGGTGGTGCGCGAATTGGTTATTTCCATGGCAACATTTTGGAATTGGTCGATGACATGAAATTGCTACGACCTACTGGTTTCCAGTCCGTTCCACGTCTTTATACTCGTTTTGGTGCTGCAGTACGAGCAGCTACAGTCGAGGCACCGGGCTTCAAGGGCGCTTTGTCCCGGCACATTGTCGCCGCTAAGATGGCCAACCTTAAGAACCCCGATCCTTCCAAGGCTACCCTTAGCCACGCGCTATATGACCGAATTTGGGCCAAGAAGGTGGCAGCGGCTCTTGGATTGGATCGCGCAAATTATTTGGTCTCAGGCTCCGCGCCTTTAGATCCCAATCTGCACGACTTCTTGCGTGTTTCCACCGGCACCGTTATTCAGCAGGGTTACGGTCTGACGGAGTCCTATGCTTGTGGTGTTGCCCAGTCTCTTTATGATCTGAGCTCCGGTAACTGCGGTCAGCTTGCTCCTTCTATTGAGATTTGCCTCGAAACCATTCCGGATATGGAGTACACTGTGGACGACAAGCCAAACCCTCGCGGAGAGATTCTTCTCCGCGGCCCTACCATGTTCAGGGAGTACTACAAGAACGCCGAGGAGACAGCCAAGGCGGTTACCGAGGATGGCTGGTTCCGCACTGGCGACGTCGGGTCATTCGATTCCATGGGTCGTTTGACCGTTATCGACCGTCGCAAGAACGTGCTTAAGCTAGCCCAGGGTGAATATATCTCCCCTGAGCGTCTGGAGGGTCTCATCCTCTCAGAGCTCGGCTATCTCGGCCAGGGTTACATTCACGGCGATAGCTTGCAGACTTTCCTGGTTGCTATCTTCGGTGTCTCGCCTGACTTGTACGCTCCATTTGCTAGCAAGGTTCTCGGTCGCGAAATTAGCGCCACAGATTTACCGGCGATCAAGGCTACTTTATCAGAGGACAAGATTCGCCGTGCAGTTCTCCGAGATCTCGAGCGCGTGGCCAAGAAACATAAGCTGGCAGGCTATGAGCGTGTTAAGAACGTCTCACTACAACTTGAGCCTTTCACCGTAGAGAATAACCTGCTTACCCCAACGTGAGTTTTTATCCCCTGTTTGGTTTCTGTCCTCTACGACTTCATGACTAACGATCATACAGACTCAAACTGAAGCGTCCTCCCACTGTCAAGGCGTTCCGCACACTGCTGGATCAATTATATGCCCAGGCTATCGAGGAGCAGTCTGCTCCCCGTGCTAAGCTGTAAATGTATCTTCGTGGGTCTTTCTTGGGTTTATCCTTGTTATTGAGACGCACGGAGTTACTGAGATGTCTTTTGAAGACTGTACATAACACATTGGCCGACCCGTGCTTTGTAGTATATTTCATGAGCAAATTATTATTTTATTATCCATACTATATGCGCAGACTACTCCGTAGCGTAAAGCTACTTAGCCTTAATGAGATGCAAAAAAAGAAAGACAAACGACTGAAGAAAGAGTAGCTTGTGTATGTAACTAGCATAAACAAAAACAAAAAAGAAATGACAAGAGTGGGATTTGAACCCACGCCTACAAACGTAGATCAGGAAATTGTGTAACACAATAGTCAAGGTGGGCCTTAACCTGACGCCTTAGACCAACTCGGCCATCTTGCCTATTCATGACAAAGGATGCAAACTATGGCATCAAGTGGAGCTTATCAATTCCCACACCCCCAAAAGTTGATTTGGCACAACGCTCATACCCGCATCAAAAAAGAAGACGATAAATGTTAACGAAGAAAAAAAACCATCAACAACAAAAAGTGACAAGAGGGGGATTCGAACCCCCGCCCCGAAATCGAGACACGGATGTTTGGATCAGGTATACCTGAACCGTGCGCCTTGGACCGCTCGGCCATCTTGCCAATTAATAACATAAAATCGCAACTTTTGCCAATATGAACCTAAACTTAGTCTGAGCTGCTCAGCCTACCTCCACTACCTCCACACCGCAAGTGCTTATCGTTATCCAAAATACCCACTTGGCACTAAGTATATCCGATACTAACAAACAGACCCCCCACAGCTCCAATAAAATATACATAACATGATTGACGCAATTCAATAAACCATAGCATGATGTTTTCTATAAATAGCCGTGTTGACAATGTAGTTTCACAATAATTCCATAATTATTTACTAACAAGCATCACCTTAAAGTATCGTGTGATGGCTTACATACGCATCATGACATGATCTACCTCGAGGAATCCCCCGCGCTTCATTAGATAACAAATCCCCCTCAACTCCCTCGAACCAACCCTTGTTCGATCTAAAATAACTTCCTCCCATGTTTCAACAATGCGACCAGTGTCTGATATACCGTCATTCTGCCAAAAGCCCTCCTTTGAACACCCATCCCCATCTCTTGACCCCCGCACCTCCGCCCCATCCACCTTCTTCCTATCCCGCAATTCGCATGACTCCGATCCAGACCCCGGTGCCTTATCAGATAGCTCCGATAATCCAAAGGAGACTATGTACGGGGTCCGAAGCATAAACGATACACTATCTCACTCTGAGCTATTATCTACTAGTTTGTATGATTACCCCGACGACCAGATGCAGCAGGCTTCGATCGGCTTGTTCGAGGATACCGGAGATATGGACGATAGTCAGACAAAGGAAAGTAGGCGACGCTCAACTATAAAGCCTACATTCGCTGGTTCTGAGACTCGGGCTTCATCGATGCGACGACCTTTCACGGATATCGCATCTCGACCCTTGACCCCGCTGAATCCCGATGAGCCGTCTTCTCTGCCCAGTAGCCCAAAGTCGATATCTAATCAGTCTCTCCGGCCACTGGATGATATTTCAATTACAGACGAGATCAGCAGTCAGGTTATTGGATCCGACGACGAAAATAGGCCTAGGCACTCGCCGTTTTTAGCACCACAAGGAGCGTCGCAGCTTATCATGCCGAGTATCAAGATGCCTAGTCGTCGACCATTCACAGAGAGAGGGAAAGCGATGGGACGTTTCAAAATTCTATTAGGCGGAGCACCAAGTAAGTTGCGCCGGTGTCAATGTGCATATGCATAGCTATTTTATCACAAAAAGAAAGACCCTGCTAACCATGTCTTCGTCTTCTATAGACTCGGGCAAAACATCCTTGATAAAATCTATTGTACAGATATGTGACGATATTGTACATGTAGATTTCCTTCCTCCGGTGGGTGTTCCACTTGAAAGGCGCCGTGCATCATATCCCCACTCTGCCTCTGTCCCCACTCACGGGGCGGCCGTCACCGAAATCTACGCTAGCACCAAGCCGTATCCCTCTTGGTGGTCGGACCTCGAAGATTCGCGAGTGTTGCGACGCCGAAGGAGTATTGGCGGCGCTGTCTTGGAGCGAAATCTTTGCTTTGTCGATACATCTACTACCTCACTCGGTCAGGCTGGCCAGACCGACTCTATTATGCAGTATATGCGACAACAACTTCAACGTGCAACATCATCCTGGACTAACCCAGGGATTGATTTCCAAAACCTGTTAGCAGGAAATGGTGGCTCTCAGGTGGATGTTATATTATATCTAATTTCAAATGGTATGTGATTACCCCTACTCTCAAGAGTTGCGCTCATATCAGGTATAGAAACTCTAGCGGCAGACGTGGAATGTATTCGCAAGCTTTCTGAACTTAGCAACATCATACCTGTTATTGCTAAGGCAGATACCTTGTTACCTGAACAAGTCGCTAGTCTGAAGTCTCAATTCCGCCAAGGTGTACACGACATGGGTATCAGACCTTTCTTGTTCGGTGACTCTGTTGGTGGAGCGTTAGACGGATCGGACTATCAACCACCCTATACCGTTTCTTCCGAGAAGACCATCGACCTGGAAGTGCTGGATGCCAGCACTCTCATGCACCCCGATTACGTTCAACCAATAGTAACATCCGAGCTGGAAACCCTGGTAGAAAGGATGTTTGATCGCGATAACCTCTCCTGGATGCGCCACTCCGCAGCGAAGAAATTAATACAACGACGCAGTGACTTCGCCCCCCTCCAACCGACAACAGCACCACACCACAACGCACTCTCCGGAACTACTTCAAGCTGGCGTACCACCCCAGACACGTCAACGACATCGGCGTTTTCTTCAGTTAACGAATCGTCCCCAAGTTATGCAATGGCCCGATTCACAGACTACACACGTTACGAAGAGCACATGGCCCATGTCCGACTCGCAAACTGGGCCACCGACCTACAGCGCAGTCTACAAAACGAACGTGATCGATATGCAGCTTTAGCCAGAGGAGACCGAGCCGTTTGGCTAACCGAGAGACTGAGCGAATGCGTTTCAGACGGCTCACTCGTGCCTATCTCCAAAACACCAGGATTCTGTGGCCTCCACATGCCCAGCAATGAAGCTGGATCTGGAGCTCTGCACATGATGAAAGGGCATACCGGCAAATCTTCTACAGGCTACCATATTACTAGCCTAAGTACACATGATCCGCTAGGCGTTGTTGACTGGATTGACAACCTTGGCAGACGAGGTTGGGTTCTTGTCCAGATAGTTGGGAGCGTCGGGGTATTCGGAGGACTTGCATTCTGGTTCGCTCGCGCATGGGGACTTCCAGCACGTACCCTGACTGATCTCCAGGTGGAATATCTGTATGGGACTCTGGAACGGTGAATGATTGAACTTACAAGCGATTGCCTTTTCTCCGGGCTTGTTCATCTCCAATCGCCATTCACGAGCTTTTTCATTGACGAGAATGGGTATGAGTAACGGCGATGAATAAACGACGGAGTATCGGTTTACTGGGGTATTGGTTTCACGCATACCAAGATGGAGGCTTCACTGGCTGCCTGGCGTTTCATATCCTTTTTTTTTCTCTTCTCATTCTTCCCTTTTTGCTTTCTGGCTCCTTTTATCGGCGTTCATTTTGTGACCTCCATTACTATTTGTCATCTATATATCTTACCAATCAAAACCAAATCGTATCTCAAAAAGCCACACTGGGATGAAGACCCTATCCACAAAACCTCCATAGAACCATCCACCAGATATAACTTATACAACCAACACACACACACAGCACCCAGAACCAAGACTCATAATAAACCCTCGTATGTCCATATATTCCAATATCCAATAATAGATAATAGATACAAAGATATACACAAAAAAGTTGAAACGACTAAGAAGAAGTCTAAACCAACTCCTCAAAGCGTCTCAGATCCATATCCTTCTCCAACAAAGGAATAACATAAGGATCAAAAGTCTTCCAGTAGGGGTTATTCAAATGATACTCCTGCGAAGACTCTTTCTCATAACGCTCAACAATAGTGAAATCCTGCTTATCATGAACAGATTGCATGACGAACCAGGAGAGCGTCTCCTTATCCTTGGAGTAAACGGCGGAGGCCTCGAGGAGCTTAGCGTGAAGCTTGGAGATAGACTCCTCGTCTGACTTGGCGCGCATGTCTAAAAAACAGAAAAGGATTAGTTAGATATGTATCATTGGAAGATCATTGGCAATGGTCATTATACGTACGGACGACGATTGTGTAGACCATTTTGAAGGTTGTGATGTGTTGGATGTTATTGGAAGGGAGAGGGTTTATGTTAACGGGAATTCCAACCCCTCCAGCGGGGCAGATCGAGCATCTTTAAATTCTTGGAGACACAGTCGCGGTGAACCGGGTTTGGTTGGATTTGTGGAGCAGAAATCGCCGAGTTTGATCCCGAGGTGATCCCGGGGGTGTTATTTGTGGAGCTGATGGGGACATGCAGTCATGGATCCATTATTCATTCATGTACCATTGATGCACAGTAGAAAGTAGGGAATGTCTTCGTAGATTGACAGATGTAAGCTTAAAGTTTATTGTAGATTTATTTGCAGTGGGTTTACAGAGGCTGATAGAGGCTACGGCGTATATGAATATAGTAACGTGAGATAGAAAGATCTCCTTCTTTTCTCTAGCAAATCAAGAGGGTTGAAAGTGAAATCACATACACAAAAAAGGAAAATAGCAAGATTTATGTGAAGAGAAGAAAATAATTCAGCTTTGATTTAAAGAAAAGTTTAAAAAAACATCAAGGGTCGTGTCCCGTTTCCCATTTCCCGTAAGAACTTTGTAATAGAAAGCAAAAATAAAGAAGGCGAAAATATTTAGTCAACCTCCTCCATGGCGCTCTCACCAGTGGCCTCAGCCGGGGCAGCAGCCTCGGTAGCCTTCTCATCAGCGGTCTCGGCATCCTCATCGATGTTCAGACCCAGGGAGACGAGCTTGTGAATACGCTCAGCGAAGCCGGCAGGCTCCTCAATGGTGAAGCCGGAAACCAGGAGGGAGGTCTCGAAGAGAAGCTGGGTGATGGACTTGACGGTACGGTCGTTCTCACCATCAGCCTCGACCTTCTTCTTAAGCTCCTGGATGATAGAAGACTTGGGGGAGATCTCGAAGGTCTTCTTGGAAGACATGTAAGAGCTCATGGAGGTGTCACGGAGGGCCTGGGCCTTCATGATACGCTCCATGTTGGCGGACCAACCAAACTGGCCGGTACGGATGGCACAGGGAGCACCCATCAGCTTGTGGGAGACGACGACCTTCTCAACCTTCTCACCCAGAACGTTCTTCAGGGCCTTGGCGAGATCCTCGTACTCCTTCTCCTCCTTCTCACGCTGCTCCTTCTCCTCATCGGTCTCCTCGAGCTCGAAGTCCTTAGTGATATCAACCAGCTTCTTGCCGTCGAACTCCTTCAGCTGAGTGAAAGCGTACTCGTCAATGGGGTCAACCAGGAACAGAACCTCGAAGTTCTTCTGCTTGAGGGTGTCCAGGAAGGGAGACTTGGCAACAGCGTTGATAGACTCTCCAGTAATGTAGTACATGTTCTTCTGCTGCTCGGGCATGCGGGTAACGTAGTCGGCGAGGGAGGTGGCCTCGTCACCAGACTTGGTGGACTGGTAGCGGAGCAGCTTGGCAAGAGTGGTACGGTTCTGGGCATCCTCGTGGATACCGAGCTTAATGTTCTTGGCGAAAGCAGCGTAGAACTTGTCGAACTGCTCACGGTCCTCAGCGATCTCAGTGAAAAGCTCAAGGGCCTTCTTGACGATGTTCTTCTTGATGACCTTCATGATCTTGTTCTGCTGGAGGGTCTCACGAGACAGGTTGAGGGGAAGGTCCTCAGAGTCGACAACACCCTTGACGAAGCCCATCCACTCGGGGATGAGGTCGGTAGCGTCATCAGTGATGAAGACACGGCGAACGTACAGCTTGATGTTGTTCTTGGTCTTCTTGGTCTCGAACAGGTCGAAGGGAGCGCGCTTGGGAACGAAGAGGATGGCACGGAACTCAAGCTGACCCTCAACGGAGAAGTGCTTGACACCGAGGTGGTCCTCCCAGTCGTTGGAGAGCGACTTGTAGAAGGAAGCGTACTCCTCAGTGGTGATGTCGGTGGGGTTGCGAGTCCAGATGGGCTTGGTCTTGTTAAGCTCCTCCTCCTCGATCTTAGACTCCTTAATAGTCTTGGTCTTCTTCTCCTTCTTCTCTTCCTCATCATCGACCTCCTCAACCTTAGGCTTCTTCTCCTCATCTTCCTCCTCCTTGGTCTCCTCGGCCTCCTCATCGGGGACCTCCCTCTCGGTCTCCTTCAGGACGTGGAGGTAGATAGGATAAGAGATGAACTCAGAGTGCTTGCGGACGACCTCCTTGATACGGCTCTCGTTAAGGTAGTCAGTCTGCTCATCCTTAAGGTGGAGGATGATCTTGGAACCGCGGCCGAGCTGCTCGCCCTCGGTGTCCTGGTTCAGGGTGAAAGTACCACCAGCGGCGGACTCCCAGACGTACTGCTCGTCATCGTTGTGCTTGGAGATGAAGGTAACACGGTCGGCAACCAGGTAGGCGGAGTAGAAACCGACACCGAATTGACCAATCATGGAGATATCAGCACCAGCGGAGAGAGCCTCCATAAACTGCTTGGTACCGGAGCGGGCAATCGTACCAAGGTTGTTGATGAGGTCCTATTAAGAAGCAAAGAAGCGATTAGTATCTCTGCAAAGCCATATTCCAATCTTCTTTTGTAATTACTTACGGCCTTGGTCATACCAATACCGGTATCACGGATGGTGAGGGTCTTGTTCTCAAGATCGGGGATGATGTCGATGCGCAGGTCCTTGCACGAGTCGAGCTTGGAGGGGTCTGAGAGAGCCTCATAACGGATCTTGTCCAAAGCATCGGAGGCGTTAGAGATCAGCTCACGCATGAAGATCTCCTTGTTGGAGTAAACAGTGTTAATGATCAGCGAGAGCAGCTGAGAGATCTCAGCCTGGAACTCGAAAGTCTCGGGCATGATGGCGGTGTGAGGGTGGGGGAATCTAATGCGGCTGAGTTAGAAGAGCTTGGGGAGACACGGAGAGGAAGAAAAGAAAGAATGGAGAAGAAGAAGAAGCAAAAGAAAAGGAGGAAAAGAGAGAATATAATGAAACCAAAATTGTGGATGTGGCGGTGGAGACAAAACTCTGGAGACTCTGTCTCTTCTTCCACCAACAAAATTCTTGGGTGATTTCCCCTCCATGACACAACAAAGTTTCAAAGAACCATCTCTCTCTCTCTCTTTTCCCCACGAGGTAAACGAAGAGGGATTGGGTGATGATGGGGTAGTAGAAGAAGGCATATCAACATACCAATTAAAGAGAAGTGAAAGAACTGCCACAAGCCAGAGCAGATCCGATGGAGATGGGGGGAAGGGAAAGAAGAGGAAGAGCGGAATGGGGGAAGCTTTTTGACTGCGGTAGAAATCTCTGGTGGGTTTCCACGACGATCCAGGAACTTCCACCGCATCCCGGTCGGTCAGGCAACTCTACTTTTCTAGAGTCTTCTGGGGTAAACACCCTCTCTTTGATGGGATCTCCATTAGCTAGTTCACTTCTTTATTTTTGGAACTTTATTTGTCTATTTTCCCCCTTTTCTCTTTCTTTTCTCCTCTAATGAGGGGGAGCACTGTGAGTATGGTCTGGATCCACAGGCCCTTGGTGCCTCAGGCATCAATATCTAGAACATTCTCGTAACCTCGAATCCATATTATCTATACTACATAACTATCAAGCACAAGGATATGATTATAACGTCAGTCGAGGAATTACACCACCCAGCGCAATCCCATATAGTATATTGTAGAATCCTAGTTCATTCAGCCTCGCTTTTTCCGTCTCTCCATTTTTCATTTACAAGGTTGCAGGCTTTTCTTCAACCACCAGAGTCACATAAAGCAATGAAAGCCAAAGGAAAGAAAGCACAGATGGTAAAAAGAGATACAGGGAAATAAGCCGGCATGGAGGGGGTGGGGAAAGGGCGAAGTAGGTGGAAAGAAAGGAGACAGAGGGTCGAACCAGATGGTACAACTCCCCCAAATCCTTGAGCTTGCTATGCTAGATAAAATCAATGCGATATAAGTCCTGGGAGGTGAGAAACACAAGCCTAGGACACGTAAAAGTCGATAAAGAAGAGAGAGAGAAAATAGGTGGAGAAAATATAGAGCAAAAGAAGAATCGTGAAGTCACGTAGGTTTCCATGACCAGGCCAGAAAGAGGAAGAGGAAAGAAAAGAAAAGGGAGCAGTCAGTAAAAAAAAGTCCAGAGAAATAACGATGACCAAGATAAGGAGATGAAAAAAATAGATAGATAAAGACAAAAGTGCCCAGAGAGGCGAAGGAAAGAGACGCAACTTTTCCAACCAACCCGGACCCAACCGCTAATATGCACTGTGACAGTAAAGAAAGGGTGCACGTCACGTAACACATGTCATTAGGAAAAGAGACGATTCAAGTAAACGCACGAGAAAGTCAAAATCGGAGTAATACAGATCTTGAGAATGTCATCCGCAAGAATAGGAATCATAGGATGGGTATATTTAGGCTGCCTGGGCCTGGCTGCGGCCCTTGGAAGCCACATTGCCGCCACGGCCACGGGGAGCGAAGCCGCCACGACCATCACGCTGGAATCCACCGCGACCCTGGCTGCCAGCACGGTCACCACGACCACGGGCACCGCCACGGCCACCGAATCCGTTGCTGCCGTAGGCATTGCCGCGGGGACGGCGTTCCTCAACAAGAATCTGCTCGCCGCTAACCTGGTGAGGGTTGGCAGCAACGGCAGCAGCGTAGCCAGAAGGCTCAGCGAACTCAACAAAAGCGCAGTTCTAAATAGAAAAGAAGAAGATCAGTAACAATTCCACATACGAATTAAATCCATCCGAAGGGGGCAGGGGGGGTGGGGGAGGGGAAATGAAACAAACCTTGGGACGGCTGACGTCGAAGTACTTGAGCTTGCCAAAGCGAGACAGAGTCTGCTTGAGCTGAGCGGAATCAATCTTGTCAGTGACATTCTTGATATATCCAAGCACGGTCTGCTCTTCACCAGCACGGGTCTGGGTCTTCTTGTGGTCGCCACCAGCGGTTTGCCAACCGGCACTATCGTTAGATGAGGCCTCCTGGGCGCGAGTCTCGGTAGCAGGAGCTGCGGTGGTGGTGGCAGCAGCAGAAGGCTGAGTGGCGTTAGAGGCAGGGGCAGCCGCAGGAGTAGCAGCAGCCTTGGGGGTGGCGGCCGGGATGGCAGGGACGACAGGAGCGGTAGCGGCGGCGGCAGCGGCAGCAGCAGCAGCAGCATTCGACTTGATGGAAGACGCAATAGTGGCCCAGGTCTTGGGGATTGCCGGGGTGGGAGCGGACTCCTTCTCAACCGGAGCCTCCTTCTGCTCGGGTACAGGTGCGGGGGTAGGGACGGGGGTCTGGGGCTGTTCGTCGTTCACAATCTCGGCTTTAACAGCGGGGATGGGGCTCTCAACCTCCTCCTGTGCTGGGGTGCCGTTGATCTCGGGAGTAGTCTCCTCAGGCTGCTCGACAGTACCATTGGTCTCTTGCTCGAGCTTCTCATCAACCTTAGAGACGGCAACCTCATCGGTCACCTGAGCCTCCTCAACAGGAGCTGGCTCAGACACCTTGGGGGCCTCGACGACCGGCTCAGCGGCCTCATTCACCAACTCATCCTCCTCCTCAACCAGGTATCGGAAGATGTCATTAAGCACATAGTAACCGTTGGGCTGCTCGGCAAGCACAAAGGTCTGCACGAACTTGCGGGACGGCTCGGACTTGTTGGAGATCTCACCAATCACCGAGACCAAGATGTTGTCAAATGAGGCCTGAGAGTCGACGTTGAGAACGCGAACCTTGCACTCCTGGAAGTCAAGCTGCTTAATTTTATCATTGATGGCCTAACAACGAGCGAGAAAGAGTTAGTATGTTTATAAATAGGTGAAAGTGTGGTTGTCCCAAAACTTACCTTTGTGCCAATCGCAACGGGAACCGACTCAGCTTCGGTACCAAAAACAAGCTGAGAGCGGCGAGAGTAGAAAAGGGGCAGCTTGTCTGGGTTGCGGCTCATAGTGGTATAGTACTGCTCAACGAAGAACCAACCCACTTCATCCTTGGTGATCTCGTTCTTCTGCTGTTCGGTGGGAGTGGCGGTAGTAGGAGTAGAGGACTGAGCGGGTTGGAAGCTAGCCGCAGAGTTCATAGCTGCATGTGCAGGGTTGAAAGAGCCCGGGTACGCATGCTGGGCAGGGTAGTTGCCGTTGAGAGGTGCATGGGTCATGTCGGCCATGATGCTGGGAGGGGTTCGGTTTTAGAGGGTTGAGGCCGGAAGAGATGGGATCGAAAATTATAGATGCAACCGAGGAGGTCGAGATGGAATCGAGAGGTATCAAAGAATCTAAAGGATAAACCTCTATACTGAATCGAGCTGTGGAGATCTAAGCACCTATTTTTTGTCGCTCGCTTCACTGATATCTGGTCAGTTTTGATATCTCCCACAATCATTTTGGTCGTGGTTTGAAGGTGACTCACAAATGCGAAAAAGGACCAAGTGCCAACGCAATCAATTGGAAAGAGAAAAAGAAAATAAGGAAAATAAGAGAACCCCAAGACGGAAGACGAGAAAAAATGGAGAACTGTCGATGGTATGCGGAGAGCGTTCGGGGAAGTATAGCTGCGATGGGAACCCACGGAAAAGAATCTGCAGATGAAAGGGTATGGAGAGGGATGTTGGAGAAATTGGTTGGTATAATGTGTAGAGAAATGATCAAATCTACCAGGAAGATGACGGAGAGGAAATGGGGGGGAAGCAAGTGAGATGAGATGAACCTCTTGAGGGGGAAATTCGCCTTCGAAGAAAAAGCGACTTCCTCGATTGCGACTCCGTGCGGGTTTCGGTGGCCTTGGCACACAGTCACCGCCCGGCAGAAACCGGCGGCTCTGGACTAGCGTGAGAAGGGAAAGCGTATGTAGTATATACTGCAGGTAACCTTGGAAGTATAATATAGAGTGTTGGAAATAGACTAGTGCAGAAAATTAGGGAAAGGATCCTAAATGAATCGCATGCATACAACTTTCGATCGGTCCCAGTGAATGAAAATAAGGTGTTTCTTATCACTTCGACCCTTGTAGTCTCACTCTAGGAAATATCATTAATTAATCAATACGAAAGCGAAATCTGGCGGTAAATCACCAAGCAGTGATATGAAAGAGAGGAATGAAAAATCAGGCCTGTGTAGTAAATAGCATGGACTCAAAGAAAAAAGCCATGCGAATATCATTAAACTTAGAAAACGCCACAATAGCCGAGGAGAATAAGGGGGGTATGAAGAAAGACATCAGAGTAAACAGGTAAGAAAGAAGACCAATGAAGACCAATGAAAACAGATGAGATCGATCTGCGAGCTTCCAGGGGCATATGAACGGAAGTTCAAGAATCGAAACGAAAGGACATAAGACGACGATGCAGGGGCCTATAGAGGCCAGCTTGAGATGTCAAGAGTATCAAGAAAACTCCGGGCACGTAGCCTGAAGCTTTAGAGCCTGTTTCTTAGGCAGTGGCACTGGCAGCAGCCTTTTCGTTAAGCACAGGCTTGCGTCGCATCACCGCGTCTTGACCGGTCATCCGTCGTCCCAAGGCGCGTTCCACCTTAGCTCCGAGAGCCAACTTGTTGAGGTTGTCGGACTTTTCAGCAGTGGGTACAAATCGCTGCGCCTGAAGGGGTTTGTTCTCTAGACGTTCCAGGCCATCGCCGAGGTGAGTGATATCAGCAACTCGGGGGTCTCCACTAGGCAGGCTTCCGTTCGTGCGCTCGGAAGCGGCGAGCGAAGGGCTCCCGCTAATAGTTGAGAAACGCTTGGAGTTTCGGTTCTTGAAAAGGCGTGTTAGAAGCATTTTGCGCTACCTTGGAAGAACATTGCGATGATGGGATGACAGGGAGGATAAGGTAAATGATGTAAAAGGAAGGGGGGCCGGGCGGGCCAAAAAAAACACCTACAGAGTTGGTCATGATGGGCCGCTCGGAGTCAAGAGAGGTCTGACGAGCCATTTCTTTCGGGCAGAAGAGATGAGAGATGGTGAGAGTTGTGTCCGTAGACAATTATGGTTGGGTTGAACTGAGGGGAAGTGCTGTGATATGGGATGGATTAGCGCAAGTTGAACCTGGGTTTCTCCGATCGGAGCCCTGGATTTGCCCCCAAGGCTCACTTTCATGTCATCCGGGAATATCACCTACCAACAGGGGCCAATTCTCGTATTGGGGGTGGAAAGGAGGGGGATGGGATCACGATTGAGAAAAGAGAGGGAAAAAGTTGCAGCACGCGAAGGGTGGGACTGAAACCACTCAATGCAGCCACGGAGGAACCCAGTTTCTGCTTTGCGACTCAGACGACTCAGGAGGCGCCAAACGGTTGGAGTGGGGCGTTGTCCGGCGGTGGGGTATAGGGAGAGAAAGGGAGTGGAGGGATCGACCACCAACTACACCCATACACAATAGGGTCTTGGGCCGATCTTTCTTTTTTAAACAAAACTTACTCCGTAGTGCCGGAAGACCGAGGGTACAGGTGGGAAGCGAGAGGGAGAAGTCGGTCAAAGCCAAAAAACCGGTCGATTCTGATTGAGAATCAAACAGTGGAGTGGGAGTAGAATAGGGGGAAAGAATGGTCGTAGGGACAAGGGGGAAAATCCCTGATGATAGAGATTGAAGTAAAGAAAAGCACTATGAAAGAACATAAAAAGCAGCCGAAGGCGTGTACAAGTATCACGGGCAGCTCATGGGATTATCGGAGTGGATGTTCAATCAAAAAATCCCCTAGTGGAACTTTGCCACGTGCGGATCAGCCAGGATGATGATTTTCACACTTTTGGGTTTTATGCAGAGGGGTAAGGGTGTAATTATGAGATAGCGCCGTATTATCAGGTATTGGGCTTGGGCTTGGGCTTGGAGGTAACTATGAGAATTTAATTGTTATTCTTATAGATCCGTATCTACATACAGTAGTGAAGGTACCCATCTAACTTAGATGGCCCCATAATCAGAAGTAAAAAGATGAAACACTGCATCCCAAATATATCTCCTATGCAAAAATAAGCATTACGGTCTCTATAGATATGATCTATTACCCCATAGCTTATACAGTATATATGCTATACTTGACACCGTACTTCGTACTGACATCCTCGCCTGCCCAGGTGCACATGTGGCATCATCCCATCCAAATACAACCGAGCCAGTCAGTAGCTGCAGCTCGAAGTCTTGGCACCATTGAATCATTATCGCACCTTGGCGACCCAACCGCTTTAATTTCAGACAAGACTTTCTTCCGCTTGTAATTTTTTTAAGCAGCAAATAGAAGCAACCTTGGTAAAGGGGGAAAAGAAAGAGAGAGAGAGAAAAAGAAAAAAAGGAAGGCCCGAGCCCGGGATTGAACCGGGGACCTCGCGCAGTATTGCATAGAGTTGACCCTAAGCGCGAATCATACCACTAGACCACCCGGGCGGATTGGATGAAGACCTGGTGATTTTTGCCTCTATGATCAACAACTCAAACTCTATACTATATTCGATAGAGCTAAGTACACCACACACACACATATATATATATACATGAACTTCAAGTTCAAATGTTGCCAATCATGTGGCAGTGACAAGTCCCGCCGCACTCATGTTTGCCTCGAATCAGCCAATCTATCCCTTTTCGCGGTAGTTCCAAGTCCGCTTTGCTAGTGTGGGATTCTCTGCTTAGCCACTGAAAATTCGATGCAGACCACTGGCATCCCTCAAGTTTGGAGCGGCTTCAGGCTTGCATATACGGCCTTACAACCGATATTTCCGCAACCACCTAAAGATACCCATGTCTGGTTCTTCTTTAGACCAGTAGGGAAGGAGGTCATTAAACACTATCTGGTCACGCAAACCACATTTCGCGGAAGAATGTTGTACGGGGCATCACGAAGTATGAGTATCTCATCCATGTACCCCTTCCCGTTTCGAGTAATCATTTTTCCGTATGCCAGAAGTATCGAAAGCGCTAGACTGACAACTCCCAATGTCTCTGGAGTATTAGTCCGCTGCGGAATAAAGCTATGCAAAAGTCGGTATGCCAGCTCTAGGGCCTTCCATCAAATCTCAGCCCTGGCTGCTCATGAATCAAGGTCCGAATGAAAATCGAGCCCCATTTCTACGAATTGAGTCCAAGGCTACGCGTTGATTTGACAGCTCCAAGCAAGGTAACGATGAGACGAGCAGATTGGAAGGGAACAGCTGCGGCATAACTTCAAGTCGCTTTCCCTGAGAAGGAGCTAGCGTACGATAAGTCCCATCGGATTCGCGGGGCGCAAAAGCGAGATCAGGATACCTTGAATAAAATGTCCACCTTGATGAAAGGCATTAATGTGGGAGAAGTACGTCTTGATGGTTTAAAGGACGTGGGCTAAACCCCTACCCCTAGTAATATTGGGGCAATAGACAAGGCGCAGATGAGAGCCACTCGAGATCCGACCAGTAAGTAGGAGACTAAATGGACTAGTAATATCTAATAGCGGGCCCACCGACTTCAGAAAAATCAACACAATGTGTTCTGGAAATTTCTGGAGGGGGTACTCGAGATTCCTCAATACTCCATGTCAGGCAGGTTACCATCTCCCGAAAGCATCGAATCTTGTTTGTCAATGGCGGAGGTCACGAGGGATTTTGAGGATTGGGAAGATCTACTAGAGGATATTCAAGCCAACCTTGTGGCAATTTCTAGCGCCAAATCCTGAGCGTTCCCGTGTCTTTGGCGGATATTGTTTACGCCTTCTTTGTCGCTTTGGATGTAGAAACAGTATGACGGATGTTTCACAAATACTATGAATCGCGTCATGGACTTCCTATCCTCGCTAAGCTCCAAGTATAACTCGATGCCACAATATTGGCCCCAGAGCTTCACAATCTCATATTTTTGAAGCCAACCTGGTTTCTTCGGACTTCTCAGGAGACGCTTTCGAACGGTCGATCCCCAACAAATAGCAACGACTGCATGTTGACCTATAGGTCTTTTCAAAAAACAACTCTCGTGAATCTGCCAGAGGTCTTCCGCGTAGGCTAGTCTGACATTGTCACTGATATCGCGCCTGGCAACTTGAAAGTAAAAAGAGCGTTATCACAATTGAACCCGACTCATTCTATCTGCGGAATTGTAGCATTTGAGACCTTAAATGTTTCTTGACATGAGGGATCGTCGATGGGGTTTAAACAAAATGCAAGCTACCGAGGCATCTAGTGACTCGCTGGGGCGAACGAGATATTCCTTTGGTCGTTCGACGCCCTTCGCCCTCCATCACGAGACCTCTTTTCCCACCAAACCTTGATAATTGAGATTGATATCCCAGTTACGTTGACGAACGGGGGCTAGGCCATAAAATAGTCTGTCAGATATATCAAAATCAAGAAATGGGTCAAGGTTACACTCACTTCGATTCTCCCTCTCAGAAGTTTCGTATAAGCCCGAGGGCAAGTGCTTTGCTCACTTGGGCCTGTTCCTCAGCGGGTAGGCATGTCTTCGGGTCACCAATACTAAGGTCACCAAGTACACGATTGGTCTCAGTTGGGAGGTCCATATGGTCTCAGAGACTCCCGGTGCGGCGTTTGTTGCTCTGGCACCTAGGTTGCACATATGGAGCTCCCCATGCTCTCGTTCCAGAGAGTCTTTGCAGATATTGCATCGCCACGAATCTCTTTAGACTTTCTTATTCCCCCCTCCCAGATTCGTTATTCTCGTTAGAATGCACTAATTTCTGACCTCATCTGTTCTTATTGGCCACGTAACAATTTATTAGGTGCATGATATATTGAGTACGTACCAGGCACTTGTAAGTTGTAAACTTATGAGGTTGACCCTCCCTACTATGATCTTCCCATTCTCAAAATCGTGGCAACTAATTCAACAGGGGTTGATCAAATAATATCCCAGCCGACTTTTTACCTAGCGACAACAGCCAACCTGGTCAATATAGAAAAGAAAAATTTTTCACATATAAAGTCAAGTGCACTTCCAAGTGTTATGGGCCCTGCGGGCAGCCACTCGGGCGGTCGGGGACGGCAGAGCGCCCCGCTATTTCTCTGAATAGCGTCATGTGAATCATCTTTCCTTCCTCCATTGTAGTCAATATCGTCGTATTCGTGCACACTACTTCTTGTAGTTTAGGCAATCTAACACCAAGGCTAGAACGACATAAAGAAAAAAATCATCTAAACAGCTTATACTACCACCCGGACTTACTCAGCTATTACTAGATCATATATAAAATAGTAATCAGAGATATAAATAATATACCCCGCATCTAAGAAAGTACATAAAGAGTTTTTTTAATTGTTTCCTGGTATAACCATAATTCCTTGAAACTTTAACATCCGCCCGGGTGGTCTAGTGGTATGATTCGCGCTTAGGGTCAACTCTATGCAATACTGCGCGAGGTCCCCGGTTCAATCCCGGGCTCGGGCCTTTCTTTTTTCTTTTTCTCTCTCTCTTTTCCCTCCTTTACCAAGGTTGCTTCTTGGATATAATCTATACAGAAATAGCAAAGAAAAATCTAAAAACGTCAAAAAGATGATCTAACACCTCTGATAGCCATAACCCCAGGAAAATCAAACATCCGCCCGGGTGGTCTAGTGGTATGATTCGCGCTTAGGGTCAACTCTATGCAATACTGCGCGAGGTCCCCGGTTCAATCCCGGGCTCGGGCCTATCTTTTTTGTCTTTTTACTGCTATTTATTTAGTCATAACCCCCTTGTTTAGCTTCAGGCCTTACAGATGATAACATAATAAGAGAGAATGCTGAAATGCTGAGATGAATTATCAACCCTATTTCTGTACATGCAACGCATCTAAGCGCCGTACATAGCCCGAAGTCTTGGCACCGCGAAAGCCGCAACTCCACATCCGCCTGGCGAGCCCCTCTCAAATGCTGAAAAACTTTCTCCAATCACATTAGGAATCTAGATACTTCACACTCCGTCTTCAACAGAATGGGTAAACCCAAGGCCTTACTGAAGGATTTTAAGCCTAAGAAAAAGGCTGCCAAACAACAGGTATCTTCACCAGAACAGAAACAAAAAACCACCACCAAGTAAAGTAAAGAAAGAAAAGAAAGTACTAAGCATATCTTGTAATATGTGCAGGCACCGGCGACGGCCGATGAATTCCTAGCTGGTGAGACGGAGCCGAGCTCGATCATTTGAGGAATGCCAGGCGTGATGTACTGATTGATTCTGTAGCGGGGGTTGAGTTGGAAGAAGCCGGCGAGAAATGGCGGGCTGGTGATGCTGCCAAGTCTATGCGATTCTTTATGCGGGCTGTTACCAACTACGATGAAGGGTTACAGAAGTTCCCGACGGATTTCGATCTAGCCTACAATAAGTATGCTTTGACCTTTCCATAACTTGATTTATGGCTTTGTCATTGAGGATGACTAGATATGCTTCAGGATGGATGTTGTCATTCTATTTACAGACCATTTTCGCTAACAGGTATATAGAGCTCGCGTTCAATACGAAATCACACAGCATCCCAAGTTAGCTGCTCAGCTGACTGCACCCCAAGGGGAAATCCTGCAAGTGGCGCTGCAGTCTCATCGGGACGCACTGAAACTGGATCAGGATAATGCGGATGTCCTTTTCAACAGCGGCCAGGTGTTGACTAGTCTGGCGGAGTCTCTGTCAGACTCTAAGACACCGGGAGAAGAACAACTGGTACGGGCTAGTACCTATTTGCAGGAGGCAATTGAACTATTTCAGCGCTGTCTGATGTTGCAAGAAATGAAGTATACGGAGATGCAGGAGCAAATCGAGGAAATGGAGTCGATGGACACAGGGAACCAGGCGCCAGAACCAGCAGCACAGCCTCAATCAGAGTCCGCACCAACCGAACAGTCAGGATCCAATGACGGTGAAAAAGAGCACTGGGCTGCGATCATCGAGCCAGTCACAAAGAATACTCTGGTCGATACAGCCGTTGCACAGCTTGATACACTGACTGCCCTCTGTAACGTGTTGAATTTCGACCCGAGTGCCGGTGGCGTGGGCTGGGTGCAGGAGTACTCATCTGAGCTTGTCCAAAGTCGACTCCCAGCATATGTGGAAGGTTCAGACAGACAGTACGAGGCGACACTATCCCGGGCCAGGTTCATCTGCGCCATACACGACCTTCTCTACCGAGGAGGACACACCGATGTCCAGACATACCGCCAACAAGTCGAAGAGGCATTTGGACAGGAATTGGATGTATCCCAGGATCCAGCAGGACTTTGCAGCAAAGCCGAAGCACTGACATCACTAAACGGAGCACTGGCGGATATTCCCCCATCCAGTGACCCCGAAGCTTTCAAGAACTCCCTGAGTACCCGCTGGCAATCACTATCGGTCGCACTAGACGCCTTGACCGCAGCAAGCAAATTGCCCAGCACAGATGACTTGCCCAAAATCCACATTGGTAGAGGAGACACTGAGATGCATCGCTGGCGTCTAGGAACAGAACCCTGGAACCATGCGATGGCGCAGCAAAACGGAGCCATGCTCTTGCGAAACGCTCAAACATACTACCGAGGAGCCGCTGCATTGGCTCGCCGAGATGGAGCGGCCGAGGAAGAGCGTGACGCATCGTATAAGGAGGCCATCGCAGCTGCACTGGATGGCCAGAAGACCAAGCTGGATCAGCTTAAGACAGCTGGCATTGAGCCTTTGGTGGCCGTTGCCCAGGACATGGTGGAAGATGGATTGGTCGAAGGAACAACTTTGAGTGCACTGATCTCATGAATCCAAAAGTAAAGAAAGATACAATGAAAACAAGAATTTCTATGATCTTAAACGCTTGGCTGGGTATTGACCTCCTCGTCCATTTGGACAGCATCCTGGCGAATATGATGCTCTTTACTGAATTGCGTGGCTGCGCTCGCGGCGCCGTCGATATCCGTAACAACCGTTTCAAGGTGAGAAAGGAGCTTCTCGATCTCTAATCTCTGTGCTTGCACAGTTTGCGCAAGCTCTGCATTCTGGGCGTGCGTCGACTCGAGCGTTTTGTTTAGCGTAGACTGTGCTTCTTGAAGATAAGGCGTCAGGTGGGCATTGTAAAGATCGTCTGCCCCAAGTGTATGCGGGCTATATGAAATCGGAAAGTCAGTCCCCATGTAAACCAAGAAAAGATCTAAGCTTCCCAAAGGTATCAAGAAAACATACGGATCCACTGGTTGTGTACCATTCCCATTCTCGCTTTCCTTCACCTTCCGAGCTCTCGCTTCGGTGACCAAGCGATCCAATTCATTGAGATGTTGTACTGCTTCTCTTTCGACGATTATCTCCTCAAATTCAGCTCTAGCACTCTCCTCCAACTTTGCATTCAATTGTCTCCACACGCTTTCTAAACTGGCCGGCACATGGCGCGCAGGCGTAGGGAAGCAGCTCGCAAAATTGGAATAGGAGTTCGCACGAAGAGTCCGCGCCAGTGCTTGATCAAAGACCTGAATGAGACGTGATGCGCGAGGTCCAGGGGTTTGCCATTCTGAGGCCGTAGGAAGAGACTCGGACGCTAGTGGTTGTTGCTGCTGCTGTTGAGGTCGGTTTTCAGACTCCGACTCCGCCATGGTGATTACGGTACGTCTGTGACTTTGATTGATTTAGAATATAGTAGAGTCACCCTGGATGTAGTTCCAAAGGAGCGTTGTTTGGTGAGGAATTTAGGATCCTTATCGGCCATTTCTTGACCGCACTTGGGCACCGCGACGCGACATGTCACGTGTAGACTAGTTAGAGAACTATACATTCTTGAGGTTTGCTTCAATCCTGTGCTCACTTAATGTGGTGGATAAAGAATATTCGTCTATATTTATCCTCCCTTTATTATATTCCCCGATAACACGAGGATAATTGAGTATGTATACCATTTGAGCTGGGTTCTAAGCGTCAGTCTTTAACTTTTGTTTGCTATTCATAAGAAATTAGATACGGCAATCAAATACATTCCAAAGTAGGTAATAGTTATTTAGAAGTACGTAAATAATTTCGACAACTCTGCACGTCCAGGTAGATAGGGCAATTGCAAAAGCGCTGCATAGGGAAGCTTTTGCAATTCGAACAATCCGTCCACTCCTGGACTGCCGTATGAATGACCAAAAAGAAAGAGACAGAAAAAAGCAATGCAAAAACATCAAAAAAGCCCCACATCTGGGTATAACGCCAAATACCTCCATCGCCGGTCGTCTAAATCGAGCTCGTCATCTCGTCATCTGCCATATTCAGCCTCTAATAGGCAGGTTGAGGCGGGACCATGCCCCCATATCCAGCCATCTGTTGTTGTTGCTGCTGTTGTTGCATTTGCAGCTGGGCTTGAACTTGGGGGAGATCGTGGAACCATGGGTGCGCCAGGGCATCACTGGCACTAATGCGCATCTCTGGGCGTAATTGAAGCATGCGATCCAGGAGGTCCAGTCCGAGTTGATCAATCTGGGGGAGAATCTGGCCCAGGTTTTGGGTGGCGTAATTGTGGAAGGTAGGTTTATACTCTGGCAGCTGAGAGATTCCGGGCCATGACCGTTCAGATGGAGTTCCCATCAATCGGAAAATCTTCATCAACTGATCCTCATTGGTCGTGCCTGGGAAGAGTGGGCGGCCTGTATACATCTCCGCCATGATGCAACCAGCTGACCAGATATCGATACTAGTGTTATAGGTGCGACTGCCGAGGAGGACATCTGGGGCCCGATACCACAAAGTGACGACTTCATTTGAGAAGGTATTGACCGGGATGCCGAATGCCCGCGCCAATCCAAAATCACCCAGCTTCAACTGACCCTTCTTATTAATCAATAGATTCTGTGGTTTCAAGTCTCGGTGGAGGACGCGGTTCTCATGACAGAAATCGATGCCCTTTAATAGCTGATGCATGAACGACTTGATCGTGGCAGGGTCCAGCTGTCCCCGGTCGCCCCGGGTGTCCATATATCTTTTAAGATCCCTGTCCATGAACTCGAAAACCAGCATGAGTTTGTTTTCCGTGTGGATGACATCGTAGAGCGATACGATGCTCTCATGTTTCAGCTCCTTCATCAGCGAGATTTCACGAATGGCGGTGGACGGTGTGCCCTCTTCAGAGTCAAGGTGAATTTCTTTCAGCGCAACCATCTCGCCAGTCTGGCGATTGCGCCCTTTGAAAACCTATGATCATCCTACATCAGCCTCGGAACTGGCGGGGACCCGATCTATCACATGGATTTGTAGAGGGAGGAGGGAGGGTAAGAGAGGAATCGGAACGTACTGTGGCATAGGTGCCTTCACCGAGCTACCATGATAAGATGTCAGTCAAGTTGGCGATTTCACATGGGAGAGAATTCACCTTTTCCAGCTGCTGAAAGGAGCTGGGTTGCTGGGATTTATCCATTTTGGAAGGTGGGTAAGGTGATCGTGAGGGAATTACAGGTTTGGGGAAGAGAAAAGAACCGGGCGAGACAAGCGTGCTCTTTAAAGGGTTAACTGCAGAATCCCCGAGTCGCTCCATGCTGTGATGGGAAGGGACCCCGCGTGGTGGGCCGCGAGTCAAACCGCCACGGCTTATGTACTCGGGCGCTTCCACGTTATGCTTTTTGGTGAGAAATTTATATACAAAAAAAATAAGAAAATTTTGGTATGATTTGGTTTTTCGAATATTATTTATATATATTTCTGATCTGTCCTATCCTCCAGGTAATCTTACAATATGAATATGCTGCTCTTCTGGGGGCAAATGCTGGCAAATGCTGGGCGGAATCAAATCTTACAAGATAATGTAGTGACTATCTGCACACTTACGGCGCGTTTCGGGATAACCGAGATACTACGGTCGGGAGGATCGACTGCGTAGGATGATTGCACCGAACGTGAGAAGTTGGTCCATCATTCAGATCACCAAATAGCATGGCTTCATTGCGGATCCCGCCAAGGTTGATAATTCCAATGGGCATGCCTCGTTTATGAGCTCGTTCGACTAAGCGCCAGGCTGAATACGTCGCCAGACTGCTTCCAAGAATCAATAGGCGCCCAGCATCGTCGATCGCCTCTTCCGCGGCTTCCTTTACCGCTGGGTCGATATTCTCTCCAAACATAGTCACGGCCGGTTTCAAGATGCCCGCGTTAGATGTCGGCATCCATGCCCCGTCAGGTTCCACCTCGACTTGGGTCCTTGTGCCATCTGGCAACACAGGAGGATTTTCCAAGCAGGTCGGACATGAAGGATATCGAAATGTAGAATATGGTGCCTCTGCAAGATCGACATCGCCGTCTGGATTCAATTTTAGGCCTTTTCGCCGTTGTTCTGCTGGGTTATTGGTATCGAGAGCGCCCTGTTCAACCATACGAGCCAGAAATTCGGCCCATGCAGGATTGAGTTTCTCCAATGATGACTGAAACTTTTCTCGCGGAAATTGGTTGCGACAGCTGGTACAAATGACCGATCGTAGATACCCATGTAGTTCAAGGGTTTGCAGCTCTGGATGAGCAAGTGAATGGAATGAGTCGACATTTTGCGTCACCACAGAGCTTAAATATCCTTTCATCGCGAGATCTCGGATCGCCCAATGAGTCGCATTGGGCTTTGCATTGACAAGACCGGGCCATCCGACGAAGCTTCGAGCCCAATACCGTTTGCGTGACTCATGCCGCGACACGAATTCATGGAAATATATTGGTCGATAAGATGTATTTCGTCTATAGGTTCCCTGATCGCCTCGATAATCTGATAGACCCGATTCAACCGAGATTCCTGCTCCAGTGAGTAGAACCGTCTGGGAATGGCCTCCCACATCTACCCCTCGCAGGTCGATAGATGGCGGTGCAGCTAAGAAGGCACTGATAGCGTCGATCGCACCAGCCACCGTTCTGGCTGATGGTGGAACTATTAAAGCTGGCGGCAATGGACCCGTAAAGGGTATCCGAATTGCAGGTGTCGTCATTGGAGACGCGTCCTCAAGACTGAGTCTTTCTTGGCGGTGGAGATGGTGCGTGCCTGCACACAGCTCAAATGGCTAGGGTTCGGTAGAGTAGACGGCGGGTGTCTAGTTGTGTGGCATAGCCATGGATGTCCCCATGGCTTGTTGTATGATGCTTGGTAATATATTTCTTTGGATTGAAGGTACAGCCAACCGGGTGGCCTAGCGGGTAGGAATTCCGCCCCTCCGGTACTGCCGCGAGCCCAAACCAGAGAGTATAGAAGCCCATCGACGATGGTACTAGGGAGAGAAGAGTCAACCCAGTTGTGAGCAAAGCTACTATTGAAGAGAGTGTACATTCTAATCTATATCCTTTCTTAGGAACTATAAGCTTAAGAACCTATGATATCCAGATGACTGAAAAGGAATATTATTATTGTTGTATTGTAGGGTTGTATAACTACTGATTGATAAGTAATTCTATGATTGAATAGATTAGATCCCGGAAATGGTTAAAATTCGGATTATAGATAGCTATATAGTATTCAGGACAGGTAGCCTAGAGTTGAAGAAGATCTAGTAGCCACCTAGTCATATTGTCAATTAATCAAGTTCTTAGAGCTCGTTTCAATTTATTTTTAGCTTCAGCTTTGCGTAAGGGTCTTGGCTAGGAAGCGGGTCATAGCTCATCCGTCTGTCGAACTTGATTAAAAGAGTGCATAGACCAGTTAGATATAGACAATTTCGAATCCACCAGAGATGATAATAGGGAATATTATATGGTCTTGTCCGAATGAATAAGACTTTATCCGGTCTTGAAACCAAGGATGATCCTCCTGAGGAACTCGGGACTTTACAATATACCACAGGGAAATAGAAGATACACAATAGGCTCTATATAGAGATACATCATACGATACTTCGTACCCAATGAGATAGCAGATATTTCTATCAAAAGCTACAATAGATCAATTTGTTCCACTTGGTAATTAGTATAAGCAACATCAGCGCATCTGGAATCCGCATCTGCCGGATTACATGATCTGCTTCGGGAATTGGGGAATTTCCAACGTCTTCACCTTTTCATCTCTTTGTATTTGCCTTTCTTCCGACGGCCTGGCTCGTTTTTTGTCATTTTTCTTTTCTTTTTTCTCTTTTAGACCAGGGGTTTCCGCTTTGGATTGGGCCATGGGCAATCAGCCCCCTAAGAACACCCTGTCCCTTTTGCCCGTGCTCGCGTGCCAAATAAAGTCATGCCGCTGACGCAGCCCCTGCGGAGTAGGATTCGTCCCTCCCTCCTCCACTACTCCCTTAGGACTTTGCGCCCAGACCAGCGTCGAGTACTTACCTCCTTGCCTTCCCTTTTAAAGTCTCTCAATTCATTTCCAACTTATGTTCGGCCTCGTTCCCCAATAACACCACTCCCAATGACGCAGACCAGGAGTCATGCCGGCCACAGCCACGGTCATGGCCATCACCACCATCATCACGACAATGTATATCTGACCTCCACGAACAAAAACGACGCCGGTGTGCGAATTACTCGAATTGGCCTGGTCGCTAATCTTGCAATGGCCATTGGCAAATTTATCGGCGGCTACGTCTTTCATTCCCAGGCCCTGATCGCAGATGCCTACCACGCCTTGACCGATTTGGTTTCCGATTTCTTGACACTAGGGACGGTCGCATGGTCCCTCAAACCCCCAAGCGAACAATTCCCCAACGGATATGGAAAAGTGGAGAGTATTGGTGCTCTAGGCGTTAGTGGACTACTGCTGTTTGGTGGTGTATTTATGGGTCTCAATGCAGGACAGGTCCTGCTGGCTCAATGCTACCCCGAATTGGCTGAAACGCTCGCCCATATTGGAATATTTGGACACGGACACGGACATTCTCACAGTCATGGAATTGATGTCACGGGTCCTAGTATCCACGCAGCTTGGATAGCTGGTGGATCGATCATTGTCAAGGAATGGCTTTACCGTGCTAGTAAGTTTTACCCTCTTGTAGATACACTTGAAACCCAGAATCTATGGTCTGACAGTTCTCCCTAGCCATGAAAGTAGCCGAGGAGCGCAAATCCTCCGTCCTCGCTTCCAACGCCATTCATCACCGAGTTGATTCTCTCACAAGCATTGTCGCCCTGTCCACAATTGGTGGAAGTTACTTTTTTCAAGACGCCACGTGGCTGGATCCTGTTGGCGGTCTATTGATTTCCCTCATGGTCATCAGGGCCGGATGGGGTAACACAATTAGCTCCTTATTGGAGCTGGCCGATACCACCGTGGATGATGAAATCAAATCATCAGTCCAAGATGCCGCTTCCAACGCCTTAAAAGAGATTGAAGGTGGGGAGCAAGTGATTGTTCGTGATGTCCAAGGTATGAAGTCTGGACAGAATTATCTCATGGATATCGAATTGGCCGTACCAGGAGCTTGGGCTGTTACTCAGTCGCGGGCCGTGGAGGAAGCTGTTCGCAAAACCATTGGGTCTGGAGTCCGCGGAGTCAAACGAGTGAAGGTTCGTTTTGTTCCCGTGGAAGAGAAGGAACTTACTTTCTCCGAAGAGTTTGTCTCTCAGGATTCTGGAGTAATTCTCGAACCCCACGAGCATGATCATGAACATAGCGGAACCTCTTCTGAAGCCCATGACCACGATGGCCAAAATCCGCGCAAGAGACGCTAGTCAATGGTCAGTGCATTAGACATATATACGAAAAGAGGTATATCATCTGGGTGCATCTAGGCGGTAGATGTTGGCCCGGGTTTGATACCCCAACAGCGATGAGGATTTGGGCAGATATCTGTACCGTGTATAGACCGAAACTTAAGAACCTAGAGAATATATGATTCAACCCACCATTTCAGTGTCTTATATAAAGATGTAATGTCATTGATGTCAGCGCTTCTTCGAATAGTATACTTAGGATGTCGTACTATGAAGTATATGGCACGTGCCCGGTACACATGTAGCTTCACGCTACTTGAATTGACTGAGATATAAACAATTATACAACATACCTACGACTGGCTCCCAAAACCGTGATATCTCAGGGATAGATAGCTCCGACTTAGATATTATTTCATTGTATTTGACTCCATTCAACCCTCTTCTCAAAAAACCTGTAATTCTCTTTGTTCTATTCTCTACATTGTGACAAAGATGACATAATGGCAAAGCATCACCTTCGCACCTAAAATTCCATGATGAGGACTTGCTGTTTGTACAGGTAACGTGGGATTCAGACAAAACAATTTCCACCTTTGGATTTCTCAGATCTCATTTACAATATTTGATTATATTACCACGCTATATCTCATTCACTTTTCTTTCAATCATACAATCTTCTAAGAGTAGTTAGCGAGGGCGGGAGCCAGGCACGGGAGTCTGATTACCTTACCATAGGAGTGCTCCTCCACCGAAAACAATTTTGAACCTAACACAACATCCGCCTTGTCTCGTGTCACTCCCCTTACCAACACTCTGGGAGTCCGGCTGGTCGAAGATGGCAGAACAGGTAAGTCTGATTCTACAAACCGAGCTTCTCATGACCTGGTATTCATAACCAAAAAAAAAAAAACCCTGAACCCCTCCCCCACCACATCCAGTCAGCCCCTCCACCTCCGAGGGCTTATCTCAACTCCGAATGAAGCATTGACATGTCTGTTTTTCTTAGGTAGCAAATGCCATTCAGATCGCCTGGAATCCGTCCTCCGACTATCAGCTGAAGGCGCAAGCATTCGACTATCTAAACCGAATCCGATCTGATCCCTCCGGATGGCAGGTCTGCCTCACCCTCTTCACTGAAAGTCCTCAGCAGCCCGAAGTTGTGCGACATGCGAGTCTGGAAATTGTCAACAGTGCAGCACAGGCTGGTTTGATCGATCCTACATCCCTGGGAATCGTGCGGGATGGCTTACTCGCCTACCTACGCCAGGTGTATGGGGCCGATGGGACCGCTGTGCCCGACGCAGGTTATATTCAAAACAAAATTGCCCAGACCGTCACCTTCCTCTTCTCCGCCCTATACGCCAATGGCTGGGAGTCATGCTTTGACGATCTGCTAAGCCTTACCTATAAGTCCTCCGCCAGCACGGCCCCTGACAACCCGCTCGGAATTATCTTCTACCTCCGCGTGGTGAACTCGATCCACGAGGAGATTGGTGATGTGCTGGTCTCTCGGTCGCGCGGGGAGCAGGACAAAGCAAACTCGCTCAAAGATCTGATCCGTATGCGGGATATGCAGAAAATCGCAAACTCCTGGCAAGAAATTCTTTCAGAATGGCGGGATGGTGACGATACGATTGTGGAGGCTTCTCTGAAGGCGGTGGGTAGCTGGGTTAGCTGGATTGATATCGGTCTTGTGGTCAACCAGACTATGCTGGATCTTCTTTACCAACAGCTAGGTCGGGCTGAGAAGCAAGAATTACGAGAAGGCGAGCAGCGGGTCCGTGATGCAGCAGTGGATGTTTTCACTGAAATCATTGGAAAGAAAATGAAGCCTACCGATAAAGTCGAGATGATTATTTTCCTGAACCTAGACTCGATCGTCAACCAGCTTTCCAACAGCCCCCCTCTGCGAGAAAATCGATTTACCTCCTTGTACGACACCGACCTGGCGGAGACGGTAGCGAAACTCGTGAATATTACAGTCATGGATATTGTGCGAGTTTTGGAGACCGACAACGGTCCAGCAAAGGAGAAAGCAGACGAACTCTTGCAGGTCTTCTTACCCCACATCCTTCGCTACTTCTCGGATGAGTATGACGAAGTCTGCTCAACAGTGATTCCTGGCGTCAATGACATGCTTACCTACCTCCGCAAACTGTCCAAGACAAACCCAGCTTTTGAAGAGAGGAACAAGACTATCCTCCTGCCGGTTCTTAAAGCAATCATTGCCAAGATGCGTTACGACGAGACCTCAAACTGGGGGGATGAAGATGAGCAGACAGATGAGGCTGAGTTCCAAGAACTTCGCAAGAGACTTGGTGTTCTCCAGCAAATTGTAGCGTCTGCAGATGAACAGCTGTATATTGATGCTCTCTCAGAACTTGTTGGCACAACCTTCGAAAATCTCCGAGTGTCGGGAGGTCAGATTGATTGGCGTGACTTGGATCTAGCCCTCCATGAGATGTTTTTGTTCGGCGACATTGCGATCAACCGCGGCGGTATTTATCAAAAGAACGTGCCCACCGGGCCTGCAGCAGTTCGATTGATTGAGATGATGCTTCGAATGGTGGAGTCTGGTAAGAAACCCCCCCCCCAAACGCCTTTTTTTAAAAAACATCACGCATCTATCGTATTCAGGTCTAATTCAAGATAGATATTCGATCTTTCACTCACCCCGCCACACAGCTTCAGTATATGGAAATCTGCGTTCGCTACAGCAGCTTTTTCCAACACCACGGACATCTTATCCCCGGTGTCCTAGAGAGCTTTCTCCAGCTTATACATCATCCAGTTCGAAAGGTCAAGACCCGTTCTTGGTATCTTTTCCAGCGTCTTGTGAAGCAGCTGCGCGGACTTATCAGCAACGTGGCACAAACCGTGGTGGAAGCTTTGGGCGATTTACTTGTCATTCAGGCTGAGCTTCCATCCGAGTTCGAAGATGGCGATGAGATGTCATCTGAAGACCACGAGGGCTCAGCTGACGCTGTATTTAACAGCCAGCTTTATCTTTTTGAGGCTGTTGGTATCATTTGCTCTACTAGTGGAGTGCCTGCCGATAAACAAGTCCTATACGCCCAGTCGGTGCTAAACCCTATCTTTGCGGACATGGAGCGGAATCTTGAAGCGGCAAAATCCAATGACGAGAGAGCTTTGCTACAGATTCACCACGATATCATGGCCCTAGGAACTCTTGCCAAGGGATTCTCTGACTGGATGCCTGGCACTAGCGCTCCGTCTGCCCTGCCAGCACCAGAAGTCTCAGAAGCTTTCGGCCAGGTAGCTGAAGCAACTTTGGTTTCTCTTGAGTCGCTCAAGAGCTCCTTCAACATCCGCACTGCCGCTCGATTTACTTTCTCGCGTCTCATTGGTGTTTTGGGAGCACGGATTCTCCCCCAGCTTCCAAGGTGGATCGATGGCCTCTTGACGCAGACCTCTTCACGAGATGAGATGGCTTTGTTCCTCCGTCTTCTTGATCAGGTTATCTTTGGATTCAAGGGCGAAATTTCCAGCATTCTTGACACACTTTTGACACCTTTCCTTCAAAGGGTGTTCTCAGGTATCGTGGACCCTACAACAGGTACCGATGATGAGATTCAGCTTGCTGAGCTCAAGCGCGAGTATCTGAATTTCTTGTTGGCTGTTTTGAACAATGATTTAGGAGATGTTATAATCAGCGAGAGTGAGTTTTTCAACGCGAATTTTACTCCCCTCGCATCTTCAATACTAACAAAAAACTAGGGAACCAACCAATTTTTGAAACCGTCATTACCACAATTGAACATTTTTCCAAGGATGTGGAAGATTTCACCACCGCCAAAATGGCATTTATCGTACTCTCTAAAATGGGCAGCTCCTGGGGAGGACCAGATATTGCCCCTGGTGCTCTTAATGGAAACACTCCAAACCAAACCGCATTGCCTGGGTTTGGTGGATATATGATCTCACGATTCTCACCCCTTTGCTGGGCACTCCCCATGACATCATCCTTTAACTCCAAAGATGCCCAAGCCAAGCAGGTTCTTGCTGAGGCAGGTGGACTGCAGCGCACGATCTACATGAAGACAGGCGTGGAATACGCAGAATATCTGCGAGGCCAGGAACTGCCGGGTATGGGCATGGGAGGAGAGCTTATTAACGAGTTTTTGACGGCATTGACCCAGCTGGATATGAAGGGATTCCGGCAGTTCTTTCCGGTAAGACTATCTTGACTTTTTTAGTCTATGTTCCAGAATTGACTCATACTGACATGACATCTCTAGTCTTTCATTCAGCGTCTAAGCGCATGAGAATCTCTTCGACGACAATTTCATTTTGATTATGCTTTTTAGATTCCCCCACGCCATATTTCCCTTTTGAGAGGAACGAGGTGATACCATTCCTCGCCTCAAACGTTGATGTGAATTCTGTCACTCGGTTGAACCCATGTCATCTATATTTCATCTGTCTCCATCTTCCACCCTTTGTCATGGATACCATTTTATGCATTACACCCCCCTTCAAAAATAACAACCGAAAAAACAAGGATCGCATAAAGCTACGAAGCCAGAAAAGTGTTTCTTTGAAAAGAATACAACATATACCACATCATGAACCTTCTTTTTCTCTTCCATTTCCCTTCTCTAGTGCGCATGCAGTGCATCGTGGGCGTTCTGATTTACCAGCGTTCCTATCCAGTCCATTCTTGAAGCAAAGAATCGAGAAAATGAACAGTGATCAAGTGGATTTGAGTAAATCAGCATAGTTTGACAATTAAGCTACCAAACAATACCACAGCTTGTCTTTATCCCATTAAAATGTCCGTTCATGCTAGATAAATTTACGAAGTCATCTACAACATTACCTACTCAATGAAGATAATAGCAAGTAATATAGCGGTATAGGAAAAAAGTAAGGACTTAAATAAACATCCATTCACATTCTTTTAATTTGAAGAGACAATTATAATCCCAACACTGGCTCCAAGGCAATTTCATCATATCATGTCATATAATATCATATAACAGACCTCACCATATCCTGTCGCTCACTTGAGCAAAAGAAAAGCACACGAATCAGAATCCGTTTCAAGCATAATAATAATATCCTCAAACGAAACAACAAGTCCCTCTATTCGAGAAACAAGGAAAAAGGAAAACACACTATGCAAGAAGGTACTTCGCCGCGTGCTCAATGTGGTCATCCGCAAAAGACGCCATGGTATAGTATGAGTGATCGTAGTCAGGTTGGTAGCGCACATGCAAGCCAGAGAGACCTGCTTCTTTAGCGGCAGCTTCGAAGTTCTCGGGGAGGAGCTGGCCCTGCTTATAGAAGTTGTCGCCGGTTCCCTGGGGAGTTAGAATTAGAATAAGGAGAAAAAAGGACAGAAAGAGAAGAAGCAGCAAACATACAACATCAATTAGGATATCAAGGGGACCACCGGTCCATTTCTTAATAAGCTCTGTAGCATCGTGCTCCTTCCACTTGGACTCTTGATCATCTCCGAAGTAGCCCTTGAATGCCTTCTGGCCCCAGGGACAGTTGATAGGGTTGGTGATGGGTGCGAATGCCGAAACAGACTTGTACTTGCCTGGGTTACGGAGGAACTGTTTGAATAAGTCGGTCACGGTCAGTCAATCGATATTCCAGAGTTGTACCGCGAAGATGGCATGCATATGTAAATTTTTAACAAAGAAAGAAAGCGAAACAAACTTACCAAAGTCAAGGCACCGTGTCCACCCATACTGTGACCAGTAATACTAATACGGCTAGAGTCCAGCTGAGGAAAAGCAGCAAAGACAGTCTGGGGCAATTCCTCAGTGACGTAGCTATACATATTATAACCCTGATCATACGGAGCCTTAGTAGCATCGACGTAGAATCCAGCGCCAGAGCCAAAGTCATAAGCATCATTCTCGCCTTCAATGTTCAAACCACCTATAGAAAGAATGTTAGAATTCGAATTTGTCGCATGAATTTGTTTATTTTTTTTTCATGTTCACATGTCCTCGGAAGCTTATAGAAGCTTATACTTGTACTGCGCAGGGTATACAATACATACGAGGGCTAGTATCAGGGTAGAGGACAGCAATTCCCTTCTTGCTTGCGCCGTGCTGGAAGAATCCCTTCTCCGAGCAGTTTTCCGCGGTACAAGTCAAACCAGACAAGTAGATAAGGACGGGGACTTTCTGAGTTTGTGCCTGTGGGGGTAGATAGAGGTTGAAACCCATTTCGCAGCGAGTGGTGGTGGCATTGTGGCTAAGCTTGAGCAGCTTACCGCCGAAGGAAGCGATGGTAGCTTTAGTTGTGACGGACATGATGGGGGTGAGATGAGAGAGGAGAGGTGGATAGAGCTTGAAATGAGGGAGATTAAGATGAAGAGAAGAGATAGGGAATCGACGGAGTTAATATGATGTTTCTGCGCGGGGTTTTTTTGCCTGTCCCGCATGAGGGGGAAGGGAAGCTCCACTACGGGATTGAATGCGGTAATCGGGAACGGGAAACTTGACCGTATGAAGTAGTAAACAAGGTTGGAAGAAACGAATCCTAATGCTGCCCACAGTGGAGAACTCCGTAGAGTTTAAAGATAACAGATAATAAAGCAAAACATGATATATATACACATAAAAGGTCCAAATCCATCATAATGTTCATTCCAAGAACACCGGAACGCCGTACATCACTGGTGCTGCACCGTTCAGGTACTTCAATACACACGAGCTTCGAGCTTTTGCGATCGCAGTGTCTAATCCAATCTCGTTCTTCTGTGATTGCGACTTCTCCTTATCAAACAGTCCCCATGTATCAAAAGTAGATGATGCGAAACGATCGATGTCTTTGTCCGTGACATCCCAAAGAGTAGCCACCAACGCAGGACTGCCCGCATGAAGATAATTCATAGGTGTACCGTAAGGCTCATATTCACCGGCCTCCGTCAATGTGCCACTACTGCAGCCCATAAGAAAAGCGACTCCGCACTTCGATAGTCTTTTAATGGTGCGGCCCCGGATATACTGCGCACCACTTCCATGGCCGAAATATAAGAACAAGTCTTTGGATTCCAAAGAATCCCGAAACTCATCTTCTGATGGTTCGCGGTTTGTCATTCCAGTCCAAGTCTTCAAGCCGGAGAGATCATTCTCGAAAGTTGTCTGTGTCGTGCGCAGATCTCCTGTCGGGTTGAGAAGATAGGATCCCGAAGTACGCTTCACAATTGCGCCGGAACTAGATTCACGGAATTGAATCACTCGCTCGCGGAGGCATTGCAAGGATGGAACTCGACTAACTGGGTATCCTTGGAGACATGGAAGAGATTCCCAAGAAAACAAGTGAAGGGCCTTATCCAACACCAGGACTGTGTGACTTGGGCGTCGTGAGGCGAGTTCCTCCCGCGCAGCTTCGTGGTAACTGCGCAAAGCATCGAGAGTATCCACAACCATCATGTCAAAATCGATCTCATCATAAGCATTACGTTCGCCCTGGAACTGCAAGATATCCACAACAAAGTATAGAAGATCCATCAATGTGTCTTCGGGCTCTTCAGAATCCTCAAGATCCCGAAGCCCAACAAACAATTCCAACACATTTTGATGAAGAGTCAGCTGAGGCGATGCGGCCTTCCCACCTTTTTGACGTGATGGAAGGTGCTTATCCAATATTCCTTGGAATGTACTTGCAAAGCGTGACAGAGCGTCGGTATCCCGTGCAAGAGGAGAGAAAATACCCCTGAAGCCACCGAACCAAATATTCTCGATATTTTGAAGGAGACTTTCAAGTCGACGATCCAAGCCCTCTCTCGTCTTCCACCACTCTTTCTTCATTTTCTTGTCGATTTGTTCTTTAGCAGCATGGGCACTTGCATTTGCCAGCTTGATCACTTCCTGCATCTCTTTCTTTCCATCCCCAAAAGTGAACTGCTCTTCTTCGTCATCATCCGAGTTGCCCCTTCGAAGAGGGAGGCGAAGAAGGAATGGAGAACGATTCTTCTGTAGTCGGGATACCACAAACTCAGTGTTATCAGCACTTAATGAGAGAGATAGAACATTCCAATCCTCCGGTAGAATATCAACATAATTCTCAGCAAAGCTGGAGCAGATTTGTTCATCAATACCAATAGTCGAAGATGAGGCAGCTGGCCAAAGAAGCGGGTCGGCAAAGTCAGATAGTTGTCGATCGAAGTCAATAGCCATGCGTTCGCGAGCAAATGCTCCCACACGCCCGATTTCTAAATATGGTTAGATAAATAAACGCTTATAAAATTCTACATGAGTAAAAACCAACCATTCATATTCGCAGGCGGTTGTGCCCAAGTCGCAGGCCCTCCTGGGGTCGTAGCATGTGAGAGCATAGCAATCCGACTCATTAAACGAGACGCTGCGTGGCTTTCCAATGTAGAGCCAAGCACAGAGACATCTGAGAAGACACTAGAAAGACAGTCGCTGGCCTTCGAAAGCATATGGGAGAAATCCTCGGTAGCCTTTTGGGCCTTCGTCCGAGTTCCCCTAGCCGGTGCTCTTGCTCGCTTGGCAGGGGCAGGCTTCGCGGGCTGGGAACTTGGCGTATCTGCGATCTTGCAAGGGGATTTGAGAGATGGGAGCGATATTGTCGATTCTGGCAAAACGCAGTATACGGAGTGACTTGCGAATTGGCGAATAGCCTCGGCCAGTAGATGTTCACTTTCGCCGATCTCAAGGGATAGTTTGCTTTCTCTCGCTGTAGCATACTGTCGAGCTTCGGTGAGGGTGCGGGCAGATCGTTCGTAATCTCGAAGTGCCCGTAAGCAATCGGCTTGTTGGCGAAGGACATCACTCTTGAGTCGCAGGAGAGACTTCGATTGAACATCAGGTAAAGGAGTTTTGGGTGTCGGAGCCTTCTTGGCAGTGCTTGTTGTAGCCGCACTAGCCGCACGTGTACGTCGACCGGTAGTGGGTGCCGCGATCGTTGATGGCGTTCGACGACTGCTTCTCACTTGCAACTTCTCCATCTTCGCTTCAAGGATTGCGACATTTGGTGCCTCTGAAATGCTGGTTGTGTCCGAAGAAGTAACGGCAGTCACAGCCTTCTCAGCTTCCTGGAGCAAGCGGAAGGCCTTGTCGTGTTGGCCTTGCACTCTATACAGGGAAGCAAGAGCCATATAGAGGGAAACAGTTTCCACACTAGTTTGGATCTGCTTGGATGATTCTGATGCTGCCGCAAGAAGTTCTTGTCCCTCGTCCATATGACCTCCAAGGATCCAATAGCAGCCCAACTGAGTCTGTGCTGCCACGAGACGAACATTAGCATCGAGAGTCTGGTCAATCTTCAATGCTTGTTGTCCATAGTAGATAGCATCCTGGAACAAGCCGTGGTGAGCAGATAGTGTCGCGAGATTCAACAAACATGTATGATGCGAACCGAGATGCGGCCAAAACGGCGCACCTTGAACATAGCTCGCCGAGACATCTGGAGAAGATCCGTTCTGAGACAAGTCAATTTTGGCCACACTATCAGCGACAGCATCAACGTCAGAAGACCCAGCGGTAGCAAGCGTCTTATCTTGCTTGCGTTGAGCCAATTTCTCAACCTTGGCCCAAATCCGACAATTGAGTCTAACGGACAACTTGGCGAAAAAGAGAGCATCAGTCATTGACCCCTGAGCAGTCGACAAACGAGATTGAATAAAAGTAGCATCCGCAACGAGTCTCTCCCATGATATTTTGGACAAAACGGAAATGTTACCCATCTCTTCTGACTTTTGACTCTTCTCATATAGTGTTTTTGCTGCTGAGAGAACAGACGCGGCTTTGTCAATATCTCCTACCTCAATGAGATATTCAACCCGTGCGAGTTTACATGAAATATTAGCAAGAGAAGAGACCTTGTGCTGGGTAAGATACTGTTCACCGCGGGAGAGAAGATCGCCGGCTTTCTGGCAATGGCCAAGTCGACAATGCTGTAAAACAAGGCGGGAGAGAATACCAATTGCGTCTGAAAGATCTCCAGATTTCTGAAGCTCAGCAATTCGGAGAATTAACTCAAGAGCAGAAAGTTGGTCTTTCCAAAGTCCGTGAATCTCCGTGTAATCAACCAAAGCCTTCAATTGCGAGACCCAGTAGTCAACATCATTGACACAAAGTAACAAAGACTTCCAGTCCGAGCATTGACGAATCATCGAATTCCACGAAGCAAGAGAGTCCGCGAGCTCGCCATGATCCATTTGGCCATTATGGAAACCCACAATTATCCTTAAGGAGTTGGTGATGTGTCGTGCAAATTTTGCCAGATCAGTGTCTTCCCCAACTTCTAGCCCGTTCCTCAATACCTCAATGCTTTCCTGTATAAGTCGTTCAGATAGACTGGAGTCAAAAGAGCCAGGGTATTCAAGCAAGCACCGCAGGGCAGAAAGAATGACTCGACTGCGTCGTATTGAGTGAAGCTCACTTGAATAAACGTCGAGAAGGTTGAGCAAAATCGGGGCTAGAATCGATCGAAAGTCCTCCTCACTTGGACTGTATGAATGCAGATCAATAAGAAGATCCATTTTCCACTCAAGAAGCATCCCTCTTTGATGAGAGTTCATTTCAGCCTCGTCATAGATATCAGATGATTTCGATCCTTTCCGCCTCAATTTCAATTTCAAGAACCCGGAAAGAACACGACTTAGCATAAAAGCCGGATTTTGAGTATCTTTGCTGCCTGCAGCTGAATGAGACCCCATGCCGCTATCGACCATTCGTTGGAGGGTACCGGATTCGATGTACTCAGTTATCGATTGGCGAAAGGCTCGCTCAGCTTCACTAGCCATATTCCCGTCCAAGTAGGAATGCGCCATTCTCTCATACTTCAACGCAGAAAACGCTGTAGTGCGAACAGACGGTGGGCAACCGGAAATCATTTGAGTCGATTGCTTAAGAAGAGGCAGTAGTTCTCGATGGCCTTGTCCAGCCTCTTTCTCTTTGATATAGCGAGACCAGAAGATATTAGATAACTTGACAAGCGCGGTATCAACGCTTGGAACCTCCGAGCAGGTTTCTTCCGCCTTTTCCACAGTGGCGAGTATCCGCTGACAATCTGTAAGAATGGGAAGCATATCGTCCCATGGTGGCCGTTGTGACATGATTGATAACTTCCCAACAGCGACGCATGAGTCAACAGCAGCGAAAATAATGCCCCTAGACATCGAAACGCGCTCCTTGAATAAGTCGTGCTCCTTCGCATCACTGTCTTCTGTTGATGCTCGTCCAATATAACGTCTGAGAAATCTGAGAAACGCCTGAAGATACTCGCGAATCTGGAGCGTCACTTCATCTTTCTCGATACCTTTATCGAAGGATTTTGTAATCGCCTCACCAAACCAAGAAAGCGCGAGCTTTTTCAATCGAGCAGACTCAACAAGAAGCTCGTCTAAATCAGCAGCGCTCCCACGTAGTTGTAATCCCAAAGCAGTAGTGGCATCCGCAGTAGATTCCAAAGCTCTAGCCAGAAATTTACTTGAGCTCTTCATCCCTTGGAAAGACACCGAGGCAATCTTGCAGTGAACTGTAGCCAAGCCAAGGTTTTGTGAATTCGAGAGTGGTTTGATGGCTTTAGCAAAAAGCTTCAGTGATTCGTCCAAGCACCCGGCGTCCACAGCAAGCTGCCCGAGAAGGGTCATAATCTTAGCAGTTGAGTTCATATCCGTATTTTCTTGTGGTGTTTTCTTGATCTCCGCCGTTGATAATTGAATGCGAGTTATTGCCTTAAACACAGCGGCAAACTCACCCTTCTCAATACCTTGACTACGATGGGAAAAGGCTCCAAGGTAGCGCATAATAGGTTCAAACACCTCCTTAGCCTCATCACATACATGGCCTGACATTTTCCATCCCAGACACCGGATCTCCAAGGATAGTAATTGAAGATTGAGTGCTGCAATGGGCTTGAGAATCTCCTTGTTTGTTGCTGTCGAGTCATCGCTAATAGATGGTTTTCCGGAACAAAGAGAAAGAACCGTGTTTGACAGTAGCTGAAGCTGGAGAGCAGCTTTGTCCTTTGTTAGGCTTCCAGCCTGTAAAGCAGAGAGAATAATCTGCACCGGACTGCTGGGACAAGATAAATGCAATATCGGCAACAATTTCTGCGTGGTCGAGGGTTTCCGGTCGGCAGCTAAAAGCCGCAGTGCATTCGCTTGAAAGGGAACCAGGAGACTATAGAGAGGTGTCGCATTCGAGAGATTCGTGAAACTCAGAAGATCCGACAGTCGTTCCTTTCCAGCTTCGTCGTCCGTCCCATCAGTCCCATCAGTGGCTTTCTTCGCGGTCTTTTTTGGCTCCAAATGTTGTTGAATTCGTCTCTTGAGTGATCTTAATTCCTTGCAGGCCATATCATTCAACCCCAAGGATACTAATTTCCCCACTAACACGCAAACACCCTGCTCAAGCTGCATATTAGGAAGTCCATTGCATCCCTGATCACTCTTCAGCAATCGTAAAGTAGACAATGCCAGCCTGGCGCATTCTCCCGCTGAATAAGCCCCCGCATCAACTCCGGCGCCATTGGACTTTGTAGACTTAGCCAACGATTTATCAGAAGGTGAAGTATGACGTTTCGTTGCAGTCGATTTCAACGCGTCAGTAAGGGCCTTCAGTGTTGTATTAAATATCTCTGTCGCGAGGAGGATTCTTTCTTGCGGCGAGAGGGAGGGGAGATCCGAATCGACAAGTGTATGTAATGCGTCGCTCGGTGAGGATGTTTGCGTCGTACGAGGAGTCTTTGCTCGACTTGAAGGCCTCGAAGTCTCTTTTGTTGATTTGGTTGTTCGCCGCACTGGCTTCTCGGGGGTTTTCGATGTGGCGCGGAGGAGGGTTTGGAGGGACAACACGGTTGTATCGCTGCATGTTGTTGTTGACTGGACGGCTAGCTTTACGGCATCAGTCATGGTTGTGATAGGTAGCACTGTGACCGCCATTTCATAAAAATAGACGAGCACCGAGCCTGCGATTGTCGAATATGGCGAATTGAAGCTGTAAAGGCTGATATCATCAAAACCCGACGAGCCACCAAACGGCCGTTTGTTGTCGTAGCAACAATCGCGCTAACCTAATTTGGATACATTATCGCTGAATTGGCAACAAAGATACATTGAATCAATTGATGTGTGGAACATTTGAGCCATCTGTGAATTAAACTCTTCTGAGATAGAGTGATACTTTAATACATGCGCTTCTTTCCAAAAACCATGGGTTGTGTGGGATTTATAGTCTATGTGTCTTTGTACTATGTAGATATAGATGGGGACACAGGTAGAAGCTATGCCCTTACAAGGCAACGGGAATTTTATTTGTAACAATCATTTTCTTAGTTCTTACATATCTAATGTAGATACATTTTTTTTTCATATACCTGGCTGGCCTCAGTTAATCACTTCCTATCGCGTCGTTAGACTACTATCCATATACCCCTAATAAGGGGGGGGACCAAAAAAGAAAAAAAGAAGGGCCCGAACCCGGATTCGAACCGGGGGCCTCTCGCATTCGAGTCCCAAAGCGAGAATCATACCACTAGACCATCCGGGCGGATTGGATGATTCTATGCCCAATCAAGTGCCCATGTTCTATGTAAGCCTTAATGCCTTATCGCCTCAGGCATCATTAACCTCCGCGGATCTGGATCTCGATCTTGCGGCGAAATCGCAACCAACCCCAAAATCGAAACCAATACACACCACACCATGGCAACACTCACCCTAAAGCCATTCAGGCTAATCCAAACCCAAATTCTCACAGCATCCCAATCTCGAATCCTCCACCTCCTTCCCCGCCCACAATCGCAATCGCAACATGCATCAATCCGACACGCAAGCTCGCACTCAAACTCCCTCCCAAAAATCGCAGACACCTCAGTCTGGACATCGATGATCCCTCGATTCATCCGAGAGCGCAAATCAAAGTCCAAAAGCGGAGAAAAGAAATCTAAAGAATGGAATCCAGCCACATTCTACATTGTCATGTTTACATTGATTGGATCACAGGCTATCAGGATGCTTTCGTTGAAGAATAGCTATGCGACGTATACTCGGGCTGCAGATGCGAAGATCGAATTGTTAAGGGGGGTTATTGAACGGATACAGAGCGGGGAGAAGGTTGATGTTGAGAAGTTGCTTGGGACGGGGGACGAGGGGAAGGAACGAGAGTGGGAAGACGGTATGTTGATGATATTCATTCAATGTGCTATATATTTTTCAAATTGTCTAATCCGGTCATTTATACAGTGCTGCGGGAGATTGAGAAGGAGGATGATTTGTGGCAGTCGAAACGGAGTAAGGAGGCTAAGGAGGTTGCTGAGGCTGAGGCTAAGGATGAGACGAAGATGAAGTCAACGTCGACACAGAGCAGAGAAGCAGTGCCTGTGCCTGTGGCGGGTCAGGAAAGTGAATCGGTGAAGGCGAAGTCTTCTCGAAAGTTGAATTTCTTTTAGACATCCATTGGTCTTTTGGGCTGGCAATAGCAGAGACTTGTTAGACTAGGCGGTCTTACTTAACTGGCAAGTACTCTTTTCAACTGCGGTTCTGGGGCTTAATATTTCCATACGCCACGCTTATCTGGCACTGGGAAAAACCTTGTATTATAATTGCATCATTCAAATCTATTTGTACAAAAGTCTAGCACTGTCAAGTTGCTTCCAAGTAGTTCTACAATTTGGACTTTATTATTTCCGCCTACTAAATATATATACCACTCACTCTAGGGCTACTACTTGTGAAGGTTGACCACAACCACTGCAGTCTACTTACTACTACTACTACTATTACTCCTATAGGTCACGGTAGAAAACAATGCAAATCATGCTCTTATGGAACAGAAATATAACTGATTCTATCTGCTCTAGATCTAGATACTATACAGAATTCAAGCCAGTACGACAACAGGGTACAATACCCCGCATACCAATCTGGCCTGGAAAGAGTAACACATCCTGCAGGAGTATAACAAGCTGGCAGGAACTATGCAACCAAGAACCACCTTCTATATAGCTCCCAACCCGTTCTTCTCCAAATCTATATGCTGGTACCAAAAGCACAACAGCAAACCGACAGAAAGACAGAGATGAATCATGCAGAAATTTTGCTCAAGCCAACCCTTGCCAACCCGTCCGAGCCCACTTTTCGAAGCCCAAAAATGAAAAAGTAACATGGGAAATAAAACCCGGGAGACTGCAATGATCAAAAGGAAATGGCCGAAGATCCGATGCTAAATGGGGCGCAAGATATAAGAAAAATTGAAAAAATAAAATAAAACAATCACCCCAAAAGTAGAAGGGTCAAGTGAAACACACACATCGCTATGAAACCAAAAAAGACATTACTGCTTGGAGCCCTGGATGAGCTTAGGCCAGCTCTCGGGACGAGGGACCTGCACTCGGCCAATGTTGGGTTCCAAGTCGAGAATGAGCTTCAGAGCATTCCTTGATCGGAGGTAGGGGAGAGGTGCTGTGGCGCCCCTCAGGCCAACGGCTGGCTCTACATGGCCGCTGGGGGATTCATCGCCGTGACCAGGCAATGGGAGGGCCTTCTGCAGAACTTCATAAGCAGCGAGGGTGAAACCGAACTGTGGAGAAGAACGCATGATACGGGCGGGACCACCCTTGAAGAAGGCCTTGAGACCCTCCTCCTTCCACACGGTGGTGGCGCAGTGGCGCAAGCCAGTGTACTTAGTGTCACCCTTGCGAGCCTCAACCTGCAGACGGGTCTTGATCACATCACAAGGTGTGGTCAGGTAGGCAGCGGGCATACCGGCAATGGCACCGGCAGTCAGAAGCTGAATCACACCAAGTTTGTTGGTGGAGGTTTCACCAAACAGGTCAGACTTCAAGTGAGCGTATGTGGGGAAATAAATAGCAGAGAATGGAACTAATGACGAGTTAGATGCTTATTGCGCATTCTGGAAAAGTGGAAGGAGGTGTTCTTACCATCACGAAGGAGACAGGCGCTGGCTCCCTTGTATAAACCAACGAGACCCAAGTTCTTTACGATCCAGAGGGCGGAACGGCGAGGAGCACCCTCAACATTCTTAGCAACCTCACCCTGTACCTGCAAACGAATCTTGACAATTTCCAGAGGGTTTGTGAAGACCTATAAAATAGAAAACATTCATATTAGCATCAAGATCATGATCAGAATGAAAACTGATGCGAAGACTTACGACTTGACAAGCACCAGCTGTACCACCCGAAATAACCTCAGCAGGCCACTTGATCTTACTGGTATCCTTATCAGTGAAGTAACCACGAGCGAGATCGTTAACAGTGAGCTTGATGGCTTTCTCCGGAGCCACACCAATCAGCTGCGGGATAACACCAGAGTACAAACCGGTGAATCCCTCATTCCGGATGACCTTCTTAGCACAATCAATGGAGTTGTTGTACAGGCGCTCACCAGGGCGAGTGGATCGCTGGTTCTGCAATCGGGTCTTAACAAGATCAATGGGGTACACCATGAAGGCACCGAAAGCACCCGCAATACTGCCAAGGGCAAAGTGGTGAGCCGATTCCAATACACTGTTCATGAAGGAGCCAGCCTTCTCAGCGACATCCGAGGCAGCCTGGCCGGCGATGGCAACAGGAATGCGCCATGAGGCATCAATGACCTTGGCGAAATCCTTCTGAGCAAGACGACCGGATGGCGCATCCAGACCAGCGAAATGGAACAAGATATCCGCTTCCATGGGAGTGAAAAGAGAGAAACGAGTGACACGAGCGGCCTCGTTCAGGAAATCGGAACGAGTGATTTTGCCATCGGTACTCTTCTTTGTGGCCGCGCGTACAACAACATCGATGATGTCCATCTCGCGCATGATGTTCTGGAACGCACGAACGGTAGCATAGGAAATCTTGGTGCCTGCCGAGATGTTGCAGAGAGAAGGCAGGTGTTCGAGGACGTGATCGGACAGCTTGTGCTTGGAGGTCTCGAGGATAATGCGTTGGAAGTCCTCGGGCTCGATATAGCCATCGCCATCCTTGTCGAAGACGTGGAAGGCTTGTCGAATGCGCTCACCCTGCAAACCACGCAGCATCTGGGAGAATTGAGGGTAGGTCATATCATGGCGAGACTTGGTGCGGCCAGTGTACAGGGAAGCCCATTCGGAGTTCCAATCAAACGGGATGCTCTCCTCGGTCTTATTCAGGTTGTACAGTCCCTGCACTGTATCGAATTTCACGGTTCCGGAGCCATCGAGGTCGAACAGGCGGAAGGCGATCTCGTACTCGGCATCGGGTTTCGCAAGGAGGTTCTCGAAGGTCGCCCAATCGGAGAGAGTGAGCTTGCCAGTCTGGCGCCGGTCTGCCACACGGAAGAGGATGCCATATTGATTCCGCTTGATCTTATGCTATAAGTTGGGGGAGAAATTGTCAGCTCGAAATTCAACTCGGGACATCGAAGCGAGATGGTCGTACATAGTCTTCATGCTTGGGGGCAACGGCATTGATGAAGTCGTTCTCGTTCATATAGGTTTCCCCATTCTCGTCCTTTTGTGAATGGCGGAGGAAATTGGATCGGGCTTGGTGCGACAGCTCAGGCACCTCTGTGCTGCCGACCAAAGTCTCCTTGACAGATTCCTTGACGCTACTCATTGTGGTACAGGAATTTCAACAATGCAGAAAAGGACGCAGATGCGAAAAAAATGCACCACACACACTATAAGGGCAGGGAAGGGAAGAAGAAGGGGGGGGGGAGATCGGAGAGTGGAGAATGGGAGAGAGGATTGAGTCAAAAAAGGGAATGAACTGGCCACTGACGGGGCGATAATAATTAGTCGCGACCCCCAAATAATGACGAATGATGGGGGATTTTGGGGGGGGGGATTCTAGTAATATCTTAATTAATTTGTATATTTCTATATAGTTCAATACAGTTCATATTCCATTCCAGCAGTGTACTGCTATTACTCTCTATAGACTTGACTTTTCTCTCTCACCGCCGATCGGTTGTTATGTATGTCCACGGCTGTTATGTGCGTGTTAGTCCCTGTTGTGTATGTGTCCCTATTTACCCGCATGCTTCGGGTTTGGGGCCGAACACTTCCCTCCGCATCTTGGTCAATCGGGTTCTTCGGTGAGTATATGAATATGAAAGCTGATCTGGATTGTCTATACTTGTTGGAAATCATTCTCTGTTCCGCAAACTCTGTTTGTTCTAGAAAAATTCTTCAACTTTGCCACCACGAACCATAGTACGCCATTCTTCGTGGCCAATAATCAACGAAGTACACAAGACAAAGCTGAGTATACAAAAGCAAAAATAATGAATCCAATTAAAAGCTAAAAAAGCTAAAAGGTGCAGCTGATCATGAATCAGATCAAGGGTGAAACCGGGTCTTCCCAGCACAGAACCTTCCTAGATGGAACGGGCTCCTGGTCAAATATGGGGGGGAAGAAAAAAGAACAAGGGGAAGCCGGGTGTCTCCGTGATCGGTGCGGAGTCGAAATCTTGGAAGTGGAGAAGAAGAAAACACACCGCAGAAAGTTGGAGACAGCCATCCGGAGGTTACTGTGCATCCACGGTCGGCTTAACTCCGCATGCTTCTCCGCAGCCAGAGCTCTCACTGCAATTGACTTTAATCTCTGCAATGGAGCATACTACAGAGTCCAATTTATGTAGTACTTCATCCCAATACGAGAGATGGCGAGAAAAAAATAAATAAACAACATTCAAATGGACTGGACACATCCACATCCGCTGTCATTATTCTGTTTATCCCAGATCTCATCTTTCGCTTCAGGCGCTTAAACCTGCCTATTGGGGGTCCCGAATGCACGGTCACAAGAGCAGAAACCTCGGAACTGCCTAAAAGAAACAACAACACCTCTAAGTTGCTAACAATCACCATAGTATCTATTGACCGGTAGACAATCAATCCAACCTCCGAGCAACAGCTACATGATTTTGAAAGGGAGATAAACAAAAGAACCCATCCACGCCAAGCAAGCTGACAACATGATGACCGCGCATACATCGCAGGAATCAGGAATTCAATTTCCGTCCTCTCCTCTTCTCCTCGATCATCTCGGCGGCGAATCCCGGGGCTTTTCCACTCGAAGCAATCTAAACAATATCTGTTCGACCGGCAAAAGAACCAACATAGCCCCATTAAACCAAAATCCCACCCCAATAACAAACATACCTACAATCCCATCCAAAATGAAATGATTCGCCGTCGCAACCACAGTGAGTCCCATCACAAAAGGCCAAGAGATCCCGAGAACCCGAAGAATCAAATGAGGACTATACTTCACCAGACAGAAAGCGATAAAGACAGACATCCCGAAATGTAACGAGGGCATCGCAGCAATTGTCAACTGGAACTTATTCTGCGTCCATTTTGGGCCGGAATCTGAATTCCCCCGATGAAGCACATCGATGAATCCGTATTCCGAAGGAAGGAGACGAGGTGGCTTACATCGCCAAACGGATATGATGATGAATACCCTGATACCGATCCCTGGGGAAGAAAGTATAACACTATACCAGAAACATCACGCCCAGCACGATGTGGGAGTAGTACACCTTGGCCAAAACATTCATTAACCAGGGACATTTTCGCAGGACAAATTGCTGAACAGAGAGCTCGATATCAATATGTAGCTTGTGTTCGAAGCTGAGTATTTGAAGCGCATGATGCTCGGCCTTTTGAAAAATAAATTCATTCCCAGCTATTATCCGTGCTGATATCGCTCTACAGCCTTGATATATCTATGTCACAGCATATTTAGCTTCGAATCCAGCTTAGCTTTGACTCGTTATCCAATATGAAAAGTATTGCATACCCAATAAGTCAATAGCCAGTAATATATTTCCAATAGAAACGGGAACTGAGCTAATATACGAGAATGAAGATATTCTTGATTTCTCAAGGTGCGGAGCTTAGCTGCATCAGAGCCATCATCTATTTCTTCAAGTTCCGGACCGTGGCTCTCCGGTTGTAGCAGCGGCGTGCGATGATCTGGATCACCTCTAGTTCTATTTGACTCTCTCCGATTTATCCAAGTTCCAAAAGTGAAAACCCGTGATAATCGCTGTGAATAATTCAGTACTTGGTTCAAATGTTCACTTCAAAGAAATCAAGGCATTGACGTTACTAACCCCCCGGTTCTAGGATGTTTTTCAGACCGTTCATGGTGCGTCTATGTGTGTTAATCTCATCTGTATGCAGGACGGGCTGGCAATGTTCTCTGCAAGTAGCAAGGTACAGCGTATATTCAAATCATCAAATGAGAAGTAGCTCCAGTCCATCAAATTTTAAACAAGAGAAGTGAAATAAAGATAGTGAGGAGTCTGCATGGCCCGGATGACTCGGATACGGCGGTGGGCTCATTCACAAGCCGCAGATGTATAGCAGCTGGCTAGTGGATGTGGCTGATTATAGTTGGTTCAAGCTAGCGAACCGGATCTCCCGAGTGTACCTTGAAGCACTTTATGTTTCATGGATTAACCACTGCAGTTTTTCTTGTCTTGTAGTTCTCCTTGTATAGTATTACCGACAAATGGTGTCACCGTCTTCACTTTCCATTACTTCTTGGACCCTAATGCCAAGGAATACAACTATGTGCTTTTAGGGACAGCAACGGTGTACTAAGTTAGATGCATACCGAGATAATATACATATATGATAGATCAAGGCAAAAAGTACCCTGATATGAATAAATATTGTGTACTAACTAGTACCTACCACTTATGAGATCTCCAGATATCCAGCCGAACAAAGTCAGTCGCGGTGTTGGCCTCTTCCGAGTGGTAGACTTCTACTTTCCCAGCTACTTTCCTCGTTGTCTCCCTCTCCCTCTCAGAAATTCAGTACGTACGATGTATTCTGCCTATCAGTGGAAAATTGCCGGCGGCTAGAGAAGGTTTCAGGAACTTGAAGGAATGCAATCCACGAGAGGAGCTGAATGCCCGCTTTGAAGTGTTCCGCAGAAATTCGAATAGATTATTCTATCGTTTGATGACGTCTGAAGAACTTGCGATCGTATAGACTATATAGCATGACGCATATGGTAGGATATTCCATAGGTAAATCCATACTGACACCTATTCCGGAAACACCGTAAATCCATACCTAACATATTCTCCTTCTAAATGAAGCAATAACAGTTCAACTACATAAAATAAGCTATGATTACCAGCATCCTAATGAAGAAGCTTAAAAACAAAACAAGCTCCTGATCTGCAAAAAAATGCATCATCGTTGTTTCAAGCCCGACCGGTTCCAAGGTCTTCAGTCAGATGTCATCATGGCGGCTCCACTTTATGACTAGCCGAAGTAAGGAATAGCAAGAAGGAACATTAAAGACCGAAACGAAGGGGAAAAGGAAACAGTTATGTTTGAGAGCACGAGAACTTATGACCGAATCTCTCTGTATTGATTAACAATGCTCCTTGGCATGGATCCTTCGCCCTACAGGGCATTTTCCCAAAATAGATGATACTATGTACCCGCCAAACTACCGGGTAAATGCTAGTTAGTAGGTACCCGTGGATACTATGTATAGAGACTCCACATCATCAGGCTGTCGATTAAGCACTGGGAATTTGTGAATAGACATTCTAATAATATACACACTAGGGAGTACTATTTTTCTATATCTGTACCTACTGGAGCGCGATAATAAATGCAAGATGCAGGAGATAGTACTAGCAAAACCCCTCAGCACATAACCTTTCTATTCATCCAGTCGCATCTCGTCCCTGATGGCTGTTAAGTGGGGGGGGAAGTGATTTAGCATGCAGACAAGGATAAATGGGTGGTTGGAACTCCGTAGTCACAAAGCAAAAAGAAAACTTTAGTGGGTGACTGTTCCTATTTTTGCCAGATGTGGAGATAAACGATTGGATGATCTGATCCTGTTGAGCTCTCGAGAGGGGTTTGTCGGCGGGTACTCTAGTCTGTCTGCTAGGATGTCACGACCCATCACACTTGGTGCGGACAGGAAGCATGACGCCAGGCCGATCAAAGGATCTGGTTGGCTAGGGGATAGCACGGAGGCTTTCTAAGATTGGGACTAATGTGTGATGGGGAAAGGTGATTGTGCGTAGTGGTGCATGGCGTAGGCGCTTACAGAAGGATTCTCTATTGGCCCCCGATGGGTCGGTGGCCCCAATCCACCAATTCCTTCTGAACTAGAGTTATATAGCCGCCCATTCCCCATGAATCCATGAAACATATCTGTCTTTTTTTCTCTTTAACATTGTTTGGAAGTTTTCTATTTTCTCTGATTCTATTTTTGTCGGCGCTTCGTCTTGGCTGGTCCAAACGATCCCCTTATTTTTTATTCTGGTATCTTCGCATCTTGAACTCAAGTCAAGAAATAATCGGTTTTCAATCCATCACGCACCTTCTTTCGCTATTGTTGTCTTTGTCGATCAAACTCACTCTGCAAAGAACCTTAAAAAACAAACACACACTATCAATTGTCAATATTATCCCATCTCTACAATCACAATGCTTGCTGCTCGTGCTGCCGCCCGCCCCAAGCTGGCCTTGAACACCTCTGTTGCCCAGAACACACGGCCAACACTATCTCTCAAGTCTCCGGGTGTTCTTCCTCGAACTCCCATCTCGCCAGTTACCACAGCAAGCCCAACAGCCATGAGATTCTCGTCTCTCCAGATCCCCCAGATCCCATCACATGGAGTCACATCACACAGTGTCAAATCACACGGTGTCAAGCCACACGCCTACACCAACTCATGTTCATCAAAGAGCATTCTGAAGAAGCACCACTCAACATACCCAGGTGCTCCAGAAAAGCGCATTCAATTCCAGTGCACACCAACAGTCTACTGCGTGACACCAATTGAAAACCCAGATGAATACTACGGCAAACACACCAAGATGACTCGCGAAGAACGACGATGGTCAGTTCGCGAGTGAGCCAGTCCCCGGAATCTCAAATCACCATGAGATTCTGAGGGACCATACGAGTGAGAAAACCCCAGTGCTGGGCTAGTAGCGAGTAATAAGGCCATTACCGAACTTTGTAATGGCATGAACCTCTAGCCTTTTAGTACGTCCGGTTCTAGTGGCCTACATGGGAAAAGACAAGAACTGCTCAGGTCCCTGGCTATAAGGAACCGACATCTTGGTCGACAGGCGTTGTTCTGCTTGGTCTTCCTGCGCCGTTTAAACCTACTATATACCACCTTGAGTATTATGTTGAGAACAGATCGGAAGATGATGTTATTTCGTTAAGAGGCGATTATTTTATGACATTGATGGGCCGATGATTGATGACCGCGACTTTGCATACCAGTTTTATACTTCAGTCGTTACTGTAAATTTGAACTTTTGGGCTTCCAACCTACCACAAAAACATTTTCCAACCTGATCCGACTCATCTTTAGTAAAAATTCTGAACTAAAGTACATAACCCACATAGATTAGACTCATAATAACTCGCGGACGTGACGCTGCTATAGATTTTAGGGCAGGTTTTCAGGGCTCGTGGTCCGTGCGGTTCCGGACTTTTCTCTCGTCGCCGCGTTCTCTTGCTCCAGCTCCCCAATGTTCTTCTCCACAGTTTCAGTTGCGGCTTTGCGCAAGTCAGCAATAGGTATCTCACGAAACCTACATAGGCATAGAAGGGGCCTGCTCACACTCGCAATCGAGACATCATGGTGAGTTTCAAGTCTACCCCCATCGAGCGCTCAACCATTCTGAGATACTAATACAACTTTTCTTCGTAATAGTGACGACACATCGGTAGCGATCGTCGAAAAGACATCTAAGGACTCCATTGCAAACAAAGCAAAAATCCATTTCTTAGAAAACATTACCTCCGACTCTCGAGCACACCGCGGCATTCACCCTGTCATCGCCCTCGAATCCCACCAAGAGAATCTTGCAAATCTAGTTGATAAAGCTCTCGCGCATCTACCCGCCGCCCAGGATGGACAAAGCTCAATAAGCCTAAAAGATGGATTAAGACGCAGGCGGCCAGATCTTATTTCAGCGACCAGGGGACCTGGCATGCGATCCAATTTATTCGTCGGGCTTGATACCGGAAAGGCGCTCTCGGTTGCATGGCAAATTCCCATGGTGGGAGTTCATCATATGCAAGCGCATCTACTGACGCCTCGAATGGTCTCTTGCCTGGAAGGAAGTAACGATACCAGCTCCAGCTCGCCGGAACATATCGCACCGAAATTTCCATTCTTGTCTATTCTTGTATCTGGCGGACACTCCATTTTGGTGCACTCGCGATCTCTCACGAATCATAAGATTATGGCTTCAAGCGAGGATACCGCAATGGGTGATACATTGGACAAGGCGGCTCGCGATATTGTACCTGCTTCTATATTACAGGAAGCCAAAAGTACTATGTACGGTAAGACTTTGGAACGATTTGTGTTTCCGAATGGTCCAGCAGATTTCGCAGACTACCAACCTCCTATAAATCGTCAAGAAGAATTGATCAAGCGACAAAGTTCATGGGGATGGTCCCTTACTACTCCATTTTCCAATACCCGCTCATTACAACTCAGCTTCTCCTCCATCTCAAGCACAGTGAATAAAATCGTCAAAGAACGAAACGACCAACTATCCCACGAGGAACGCGTTGACCTCGGGCGAGAGGCAATGCGCGTCTGCTTTGAACACCTCGCGTCACGAACAATCATCGCGCTAGAGCATCTTCGATTACGGAACCCAGATGACGAGGAGATCAAAACACTAATTGTTAGCGGTGGCGTTGCAGCTAATAAATTCCTTATGGCTGTTCTTCGATCATTTTTAGAAGTACGAGGGTTCGGACACATGGAGATTGTTGCGCCGCCGCCATACCTGTGCACTGATAATGCAGCTATGATTGGGTGGGCAGGGATCGAGATGTTTGAGGCTGGGTGGCGAACAGATTTAAGCTGTCGCGCTCTCCGCAAATGGAGCCTTGACCCACAGTGTGACGATGGAGGCATTTTAGGGCCGAGCGGGTGGATTCATGATGAAACAACTCCCTAAGCGCTCGTGTATGCTGGGGCGAGAAAATTGGCCCCTTTCATCCTTGTACAATACTAAACCTTATGTATCATAAAGGTGACGGCATGAACTTTGCTGAGAAATAATTCTTACATCTTTTTGGATAGCTATAGATTCTACTACGATATCTATGGGGCTGTAGTAGGGAAATATACATTCTTCTCTACCTGGTAAGTGTGCACGCGAGGCCAAACAGTCTGCTCATAAACTCGCATGACATCCACTCGGATTATTTGAATATTCCATTTTATACTTTTATGAGGTCCAAGGCACCGCCTTGAAGGTCGGCATAGGCCTGCATGTCACTAAATCAAAGACGCCGATGCAATATCACAGCATAGTAGCCGTGAACCTTCTTTCCATCCCATTCCTTCACCACATCCCAGAAACCGCCACAGTAGGGTATCGATGATGCGCCGCTCTAATCCGTTCAAAGAATCCAAATCAACCGGTGTCCTGTTCATACAGGATTCCGAAACAAAGAAAGAAACAAAGGCGAGAAATATCAGGTTTATGTACTCCGTAGCGAGATCAACCACCGACAGGAGGACCGCCTTTTTGCAGGGCTGCGACTTGCTTTCGTAATTCGACGAAGAAGTCTTTCCCGTTTGCCATTGTGTTTGCTGTAATTTTGTCATTAGTTTAAGAGGAGGGAGAGATGAATATGATCGAGGGAAAAGTATACATTTCGCGCCCCAGGGACCTCCGGATCGTTGGTTCGCATCTTTGCCCGTTGGCTTGTAGAGGGTTGGCTTGGTTTCTGCGTCGATTTATTTGTTAAGAATAGTAGGATGAGTGATTGAGTAATATAACAATAAATACCTTGGGGGCCTGATTTAATGATTAAGACACGTTTGATTAGCTTCGATCCGATGTGACATTGTTTTGAAGTATTTAACTTACCTCTTCTCAGAACGTTTTTGGCCTCGGCAGCATTGAAGCCCCGAACAGGGACATGCTGCTCCTGTGCTTGACTAGGGCCAGTCCATGATGCATTTCCACCTTGTGCACCACCCTGTCCACCTGTACGATCACGGTTTCCATTGCCCGCGTGCCGTTGCGACGATTGGCGACCTGGCCCGCGCCATCTGTAGTCAAAGAAGGGTTAGCGAATCTGATATATGCGGTTGAAGAGAGGAGCTTTGGATACTTGTTGTCACCTGAACCACTCATTTTGCAAGTCCAACTTAAATTTCCCTTGTGTTGACTAGGTAGTGCCAGAAGTCACTATGCGGGGAAGCTGTACACGTCCGAAGCTGTGGCCAGAGTTGAGATCGACACCTAAGGCGCCAACACCTTCTCCGCCAAGATAACTTGGAATTTCATCACGTGGCCATGAGAGCTATCGCGGATAAGCCCTGACCGGAAGCCCGTGCATCTCATAAACTGTATTGACAGCCAGAGATACTACCACGAGGACCCACAAAAGAGGCCAGAGGTTTGAAAAGCCCGCAATTAGTATAGCGCTGGGTGCTTTGGACTAGAGTAGGTGGGGGAGGCATTTCCGGACTTCCTAAGATAGAGGACTATACTTGAGGAGCCCGAGTTTTAGTATAATATATGTGGAAAATTAATGATAATATACAGGAAAAGAAGATGTAAATAACAAAGATACTGAGAAAGGTTTGTAGTATAGATTCAATGTTAGTAGGCAGCTAGAGCACCGCCAATTAGAAGTGTTACAGCAGCGGAAGAATACCAGTTGACTGCACCAGTTGACATATATGTACATATATATGTACTGTAACATTTGAACATTTGAACATTATAGGCGTATGTATATAGTGTGCATGCATGTGTGCCTGCTACCAAATATTTGAATCAATTGACATCTTTCAAATGATTGATTCAATGTTGATGGCACCTGCATGTGGGCACCTCAAGTGCTGCATGTGGGGTCTGTCAACTTGTTCGTTGACCAATCAGAGTACTGGAATGTAGCCAATCATCACCCATTTTACTGCCGGGCGGGTTTTGGAACGGTCAACTAAGTGTGGCTACGCTTCGCTCCGCCAACAAACAACTTAGAAAGAAGTCAGACTTAGTTGCTTTCAAAACCAAGTGGTATACATCTCGTATACTGCATTATTGTCTTTTTACTTTCCTTTGAATAATTTGAATTTTAACTCTTTGTAATACCGCAATATTTGATGGCGGCTTAAGCAAACCTTCCCCTGAACGTGACCGAACTTATCGATCGATTGCCAAACAACCCAAACCCGGTGCCGATCCACAATCGGAAAGCTGCCTCAGGCGCATGGGGAGATGGCGCCCATGTCCAAGCATTCTACTATCTCAGGCAGACCAAGACCACCACGTTCCACACCAAAGAAACCTCTGAAATCCTCACACACAGTCAATCCTTCCTCGGAAGGTCCTTCTTTGAAGAAGCGCAAATACATTCCTGGTGGCCCTGGGGGAGGTGGACGATTCATAGAAGTTGAACCCGGGGAGATCACGTCCCCGGAACAAAAAACAAACTCACATCGACGACACTCCTCAAGCGCGCGCGGTCGCCCACTACGCGACATGGACCACTCTCTCAATGCCCCTCTTCCACCCCCTCCCGTCCCGACAACACCGCCGTCAGTGACGCGTCCGCGACGAGACAAAAGCCAGAACCGAGGCCGCTTTACCTCTTCAACGGCTGCTGCGCTTGCGCTACAACAAGGTGATGGCTACAAGCCCCGAGAAGAGAGAGGATGGGAAGAGTTCCATCCTGATTTGGACATTGATGGCAAACTCGCTGTCTTCACATCCGGGGAAGTGGACACGGTCGATCCAGCTGCCAACGCCTTGACTCTTGAAGCGTTGACTGCGAGCGCTATGCAGGATGGCTCAGGAAGTCCAATGCTAGCTTCGCCTGACATTGCCTCACCAGTTCCGTTCAAGCGTAGACCTGGGCGCCCCCCACGTCGCCCAGAAGCGATTCTAAATGCTCTCCTCGCGCAGCAAGGGCCAAAGGTGATTCCACCTCCAGGTCCAAATCCTCGAGAAAAGTTGACGCTACCCAAACCGTCATTCAGATTGCAAGATCCCTTCACTTTTTACGAACAGCGGGGCGTTGGGCAACAAAACTACGTCGATCGAACTATGGCCAGTGTTGGATACCAGGAAAGCGACCTGTTCCTTCGCCACGACCGACGCTTTATTCGCATGACAGAAGGCGCCCAAGAAGACGATATGGACGTGATCCAGCCTGCTGTGGCAGAGGGCGATGTCAATGCGACAAGCGGTCGAGTAGAATATGATATGGACGAACAAGATGAGAAATGGCTTGAAGATTACAATACCAAGCGAAGGGAAGACCAACTCGAGCCTATTAAACCCGCAATTTTTGAAATTACTATGACCAAAATCGAAAAAGAATGGCACGCGCTGGAAAAGCGGATCCCCAAACCAAATCCTAAACCTCCACAAACACAGCGCCCTCGATCCAGTTCTGCAGCAGCAGTCAATGGAGAGACTGCCGGGCCCGGGGAAGAGCAAGATAGCAAGTGTGCCATTTGCGATGACGGGGATTGCGAAAACTCCAATGCCATTGTCTTCTGCGACGGCTGTGACCTTGCTGTCCACCAAGAGTGCTATGGTGTTCCATTCATCCCAGAGGGTCAGTGGCTTTGTCGGAAATGTCAGCTGCTAGGACGCGGCGACACAAATTGTATTTTCTGTCCTAACACCGAGGGCGCTTTCAAACAAACTACGTCTTCAAAGTGGGCGCACCTTTTGTGTTCTATCTGGATTCCTGAAGTTTCAATCGGCAATCCATCTCTGATGGAGCCCGTTACCGATGTTGAAAAAGTACCTCGCAGTCGATGGAAGTTGCTTTGTTATATATGCAAACAGAAAATGGGTTCCTCGATCCAATGCAGTAATAAAAACTGCTTTGTTGCCTTTCACGTTTCGTGTGCGCGCCGAGCCCAGCTGTATCTGAAAATGAAGATCGGCCATGGACTTATGGACTCGCATCTTCTCAAAGCCTTTTGCGACAAACATGTGCCACCTGATTGGCGGTTGGAACATGGCACCGATGCTGCAACGGCGGATGCAATAGAATATTATCGCAACACTATGCAAAACCGAAGATGGGGTGACAGCCAGGCGGCGGCATTGTCGTTAGGTCCGGCACACGCTGATGAAACAGAAGAACTTCCTCATACTCCTCGCATCACTTTGACTGTTGGTGGTAACAAGCGCAAACGTGCTCCACCACGAACTATTTGGAAGCTGCCTTCAGGTGCTCCAGTCATCCCACAGGTTTTGTTAGCCTCGATTGTGGCATGCCTTGGGCGATTCACTGTTCGCGGGCGCAAGCAATATGCAGAAGATGCGTGCAAATACTGGACACTCAAGCGTGAGGCACGCCGTGGAGCTGCGTTGCTGAAGAGGCTCCAACTTCAGCTTGAGACGTTCTCCTCTATGGAGATGACTCGGCGAGACTATGTAGCGATGGGTGTCACCGGACATAAGCGCTTGTCGCGTCGCATTGAGTTTGGCGAGCATCTCTACAAGGATCTCGATCGCTTGAGGATGTTATGTGATGAAGTGAAAAATCGCGAGAGGGAGAAGCTCAAAGATGCTGAGATGCTACGGAACATTGTCGACATGGTCTATTTTCCAGTATTTCCCCTGCTATGGCCAATATTTGAGAAAGCTCAAGTGTAAGTCTTCACTGCCGTCTATACATTGCATACGTTTTTCGTTCAGGTTCAGAACTGTATACTAATTTTATTATAGCCTTGATGGAAAGGGTGTATTTGCAGCCGGGTTATTTTCTATTCGTAAACGCCTCGAAGAACGATTCTACCCATCCGTTGCATCATTTTCTGCTGATTTGGCGAGTCTTTTCACTACGGAGATTGGGGTGGGCCCCGCCGGTGATACCGCAGAGTTACAAGCACAGATTAGTGGTCGTGCTCCAGAACTCAGTCTAGAACAACGCGAAAAGCGAAAGCTAGCCAAACGGATCATCAAATCTATCCAGCCTGCCTTGGAAGACGCGATTCGCAACGAAAGCGAGCTGAATCGTAAGCCATATGAAAAGGAGTTGAAGGAGCTCGACGCAATTCTTGATCACAGTGTGATGTCGCGCCGTGGTGATTCTATTGAACTTGATGACCATGATCTTGAGACGAGCTCGGGCGATGATATCAAGCCCGACGTTATGGAGGGTGTTGAGGAGACAGGGAAAGTCGCAGATACATCCACCCTTGACCCTCAGAGTGGCGCTAAAGCTACTTTTACCAAGGAACTCGCGACTAGCGCCGAAGGAGTTCCATTTATAGAACAAGGACCACCCGAGATCAAGCCAAACATTAATATTGCATATAAGCGACACCCTACTCCAGTCTTGACTGAGGAGGATCAACAGCTTCCTTTAGCATTGGGCGGTATTCAATGGTACATGCAACCCTTTGATCCCATTGGAACCACCATCCATGAAGAGCGTTGGACTGGTCGAGATGTGATGCGCGGCATGAGTGAAGAGCTGAGTGAACTGGACGAGGATGAACTCCAAGACCTTGTAGATGATGAGAACCCATCTGCGAATACCTCTTCTGATATAGGCATGGGCCAACTACAGAAGGTCCGGCGGACTCGTCGTTTGCGAGGATAGGTGTCTCCAAGTTTATTTTATTTTATCTGCATATGATTGTCTCATGAGCAACGGGCGCAGGCAGGAGTTTTGTCACTTTAATTTAATCCACTGGAGGGAATTTTTGTTTTTCTTGAGTGTTGAGGTAACAGGATAGTTAATAGCTACAGATATAGTCATGGGACTCAAAAATCATGTTTCATAGAAATACCTATACGATAAGATATATACTATTAAGTATCCCTGTTGGGCAGATTTCAAGGGGTTAGATCCATGGATATATGCAGTATAGTATTGCATGCATTTCTAGTAGAATATGCAGACTGCCTTACTGCCTTGCCACTTTGCTGCCTTGCTTCGTTGTCCAACTGGGAGTAAGCACTAGGTAGTATATGACTGGTATTCCATTATTTGTTAGCAACTTTTCCCAATTTTGTTTCTTTTTTTAACTTCTTTCTCTCTTTGTTCCTGTCCTTTCTAATTTCTTTCCCATATTTCCTCCACTTCTGTTATTTCTTTTCTCCATTTCTTTGTGTTCATAGAGTAACATTGACAAAGCTGCACTCGGGGGTGTTGTTCCCTTCCGGAGTCCTTAGCGCCCGCTCTTATTCTTATCAGCTCTGATTTCTCATCTCTTCTTTCCTTCCTCCTTCATCAACCGTTTTCTGTCCTTCCAACATCATGGCTGACTACGACAACGATAACGGCCGTTACGCCGGTATGTGAATTAGATCGACCAGACTATCCCAACTTTTCCGAATTGACCCCTTTGTGCAGACGAGCCCCGGTACGACCGTGACCGCAGTGCTTCGCCTCGCGATGAGCCTCGAAGCGACCGCGGCGGCGACCGCGGTGATCGTAATGACCGCGACGAACGTGGTGACCGCGACCGAGCCCGCAGCCGCTCTCCCAACGGTCGCTCTGATGAACGGTATGTCCTAATTATTTCTTTCACGATACAAATAAAACGAATCCAGTCGCTGATGAAAAATGAAGTCCTATGCCCAAGCGCAACGCTGCGGCCCAGGATGAGGTTGATGAGGAAGGAGCTCTCAACTCAGGCTCCAACCTTTTCGTTACCGGCATTCACCCACGTCTGACCGAGTCAGACATCACGCGTCTCTTTGAGAAATATGGTGATGTGGAGAACTGCTCTATCATGACTGATCCCCATACCAAGGAGTCTCGCGGCTTCGGCTTCGTCAACATGGGCGCTGGTGAGCAGGCTGATGCTGCGAAGGAGGGTTTGCAAGGTGAAGTCATCGAAGGTCGCACTTTGAGCATTGAGAAGGCTCGCCGTAGCCGTCCTCGTATTCCCACCCCTGGCAAATACTTTGGCCCCCCCAAGCGTGGTATGTATTCTCACCCTTTCTATGCATTTATGTTCTGAGACTCATGATCTTTCTTCCCTTCTAGATGGCCGTGGTGGACCTCCTCGCCGTGAACGCTACGATGAACGCCGTGGTCCTGGCGGCGGCGGTGGTAACTGGCGTCGCCGTGATGACGATTACTACCGTTACGGTCGTTACGACTCTTACAATGATCGCCGTGGTGGTGGTGGTGGTGGTGGTGACTATGGCCGCGAATCATATGGCCGTGGCGGCGGCGGCGGCGGTGACTACCGCTCTCGTGACTATGCTGACCGTGACTACCGTCGTGGTTCCCGGGATGATTACGGCTACCGCGGAGGCGGCAGTGCTGGTGGTCCCGACCGCTACAATGATCGCTACAGCCGTGATGATCGTCGCGGTGGCGATGATCGTCGTGCAGGTGGTGGTGATGAGCCTCGCAGCGGAGGCGGCGGCGGCGGTGGCAGTGGTGGTGCTGGTGGTAGTGGTTACTACGACCGTGACGCCAACCCTTCTTCCTACGACGCAGCTCCTCCCCGTGAAGGCGGCAGCGGCGGCGGCGGCGGCCGTGATGCCTATGCTGGCGGTGGTGGCAGTGGTGGTGGTCGATCCTATGAGGGCCGCGGTGGCGAGGAGCGCTACGGCAGCAGGTAATGTAATCCTCCTTCGAAAAGCAGGAGTTGTCAAATTCTAGCACCTGTCTCCCTTCATGGCTGAATGCTCTACTGCCCCGTTCTCTTACTTATGCCCCCCTTCCCTATCACCCTTCCTTTCCATTTTTTCCTATTTCTCTTTCTGAAATTGTTTTAATGCGGGATTTTTTCGACGGGCTACGGGCGTCGTCTTGTGTTATTCTGTGTTTTTACGCCTGCGTGTCTGCTTTTGCCCATTGCTTTTTTTCCCTACGTCACGTTTCAAACCGATAATCGGAGCGCCATCGGCCTTCTGCGACCGACTCGGCAACTATTCTCGATCATTCTTGTCGTCATCTCTGGGTCACTAGATGATGGGCCTCTTTTTTATCTGTTCGCAACGCAAAAATTCGGGGAACTCTAGCGGCAAGGAGAAAACAAATATCGCTGTAATTCGGTTGTCTCTTGGGGTCAGCACTTTCGATCAAACTGTTCGCCTTATGCACACCAATACTCCAGTAACGGATTCGATTGTATTCGACCAATTTTAATGTCGCCCTCTATTTCCTTCCTTTCACCTTTCACCTTCTTCACGCCCCAGTCCGTCAAGGCCGTTCGTCTTCGTGCTTGTAGTGTTCGCCAATGTCAAAAAAAAAAGACCTGCAAAGCGAATTAATGTCCGATAATATATGAATCTTGGGAGATCGCACCACTGCTAGACGTCCTCGCAAAGGTAAGAGGCTTCCACGAATTTAACTGTGGTTTATATGGAAATTCGGAACTGGCATCTACGGAGACCCTCCCTTGTTCTCGTTGTCTTAGCCCACTCGGCTCCAAGATTACCCTGTGTGATTTGCTACGAACTCTCATCGCCTGCCTGTTGGAACTAGTTTCACAGACTGGTCTCCAGCCCTGATGTTCTGCTTACTTGCCCTTCCCCCTAGGAACAGTGATCCTTTCCGATACCAAATTTAGCGATACATAAAAGCAACCTTTTCGTTCCTTGTCCAATTTTCCGACTTATGATCACCTCAGGCCTGAAAGACATGGATCAACCCAGTGCCCTGTACAAGCCTGATCGTCTTTCTTTACTAACAAATGTATAAATTAAATACAAAACTCATAGACAGGATGAACGTGTGGCCTTGGGCCTCCATGCATGTGTACCTACTCCCTTGCTAGGTACGTATCCACCCATGGATATGTACCTACAGCCCTCTGAAACACGAATATTCATTTATACCTGATTCATTTTGGGGGTATCCCAATATTGAAAGCCCTGTGTAACACTAGAAACATGATAAAAACCGTAGTTGAATATATAGGTGGACTCGATATCTATACACACGTTCAAGAGTCCACCTGGTCGTAGGAGCCCTCAACACTTCGTGGACATGTCGGCTCATTGTTATCGTCAAAACCAAAAAAACGCCATAAAACAAACCTCCAAGGCCTCAATAACCGTCTACTCAGTATCTTTCTTCGCATCACTCTCGAGCTCATTGCTCTTTTGGATCAAGAATTCTCCAAGCACACGCAATGGATTTACCGGCCTAGACACAGTAAGCCCCATAATTAGCCGTAATGTCCTAAACCCAAGTCGCAATTGTCCACTCACTGATCTTTTGCCACGGACTTCATCCCTTCCAACAAATGCGGTACAATATTCTCATTCAGATACACACGAGCAGGCGCACCGCCGGGTCGAACCTGCGCCGCCGCAGCACTCGAAAGGTCCGCGATCGGGGTATTAGCGCCATTGGTGTCGCCCATGGTGGAGTTGGGATTCGAAACTCTGGGAGCTTGTCCGGCGTTGACGGGAGCGCCGAATTGGGGTTGATCCGTCGGAGCGGAGGGAGGCTGCGTAGAGAAGAAGATGAGATATGGAAATGGAGGATTGCGTGATATTGTATATATGTATCGTCCGAAGGGAAGAAAGGTAAAGCAAGCAAGCAATCAAGGAATTAAGCAAAAAAGTTCGGGGTTTGTCTCCGGATCAAGGTTGCGCAGAGCGGAGGAGCTGTGGAGCTTCCAGAAGCTCCCGAGGTGATGGGCAATGGTTGAAATCTAGAAATCTAAATATCAGGATTGGGGTTGGAGGTCTCTCTTACCATGTTATCAGTCATTGTGAAGTGAGTGGTTATGTATGGATAATGGAAGTCTTTTTTTTTTTGACTTCCTCTCTCTCCTCATTTCCCCTCATCGCTTCTTTTTGTTTAAGTGAGATTTAGTTCGCAGATGCAAACATGACAAACTCAACATATCCAGATCGGGCAAGATTGGTAATATCGCACGTGATGTCGTGTTATTCTCGAGTCTGAAGGCTTGAGTACTTACGCGCTCGCGAGAGAGTCAAACATTAATTGATGATTGGTTGGAGCAATTGCATTGAAATCCATGGCTTGGTCACAGAATGTCTTTGTTACATTATTGGGAGACTAAACGCCCTGTTAAGCGCAGAAAGACGGATGACAGCAATATTGAGCTCGATAGTAATGCCAGTGAGACGCGGCCACCGAGTCCCAGTGTCTCATCGGTGACAGGTGAAACACCCGTTGTTAATGAGCCTGAACTCCCGCCAAGGAGTAGCCAGACAGATCTCGAGATATCATTACCGGCTATTCAAACGGATGAACAGGCTATTCAAGAATACGAGGAATCCCAAGCTACGAGAGAAGATGAACCAGAGCCAGGCTTGCATGACAGGTTACGAGATGGGAGTTGGAAGAAGGGCAAAAGTTCCATTTATGTTGATGCATTCAATCTAGCACTTGAGACGGTGTTGGATGAGGAGTTCCACCTCTTCAATGAGGGCGAGATGGAAGTATTCACGCAATGGAAAGAACTCTCTTACGAGTCACAATATTTGTATGAGACCCCAGCCAAATCTCCCAGTATACCAAAGTTAATAATATTAGATATGTGCGACTATTTCTTCGCAAAACTTCCGCCTGGCATCGTGTCAATCGATTGGGTTATTATTCAGATATATCTGACTTGGCAGCTGTAGCTGCCGATCTCCAACGCGATAGAACACTGCCAAAATCCGAAGACCCAGATGCCGATAAATTTGACCTTGGAGAGATGTTTCGATTTGCAGATGGAACACAAGAAATTGTTACATTAGAAGAGGCATCTTCGCTATTATTGCTTGATGAGCTGAAAGGCTTCGCTCGTGGAGTCAAGGCACAAGGCAAAAATAAAAAAGAGCTGCTGGCAGCTCTTTGTGAAACCAGCCAAACACAAACAGGATTAGGATTCAAGAAGGAATTACACAGAAGCCAATCCGAGAATAGAGAGGGTCATTTTTTACAGAAGATCCTAGATTACACAGGTGACTGTATCCGGCTTTCTTCAGGGCCTCGTGCACTTTTTGAGCGTGTGCACTTGGTCTTTTACAGGTCAACTGAGTGGACTGAGAAGTCACTGACAACGATCATTCTCGCAAAGATTTCACGAAGAAATTTCCCTGAGTATATCGTTTCTCGATCAAACTCCATTTTCCCATCCAGATCAGCGCTTTTAGAATTCGAAACAGCCATCCGAACTCAATATGACATTGACAACATCCTGGAGTTCAACGGCCCACCAACTCCAGACTCATTACAGGCTATCATTGACCATGCAACCAAAGTATACCCCAGGTGGCAAGAACTAGTTCAAGAAGAGCAAAAGAAGGAGGACTCTATTTACGAAAGTGGGGAGGGCGCCTACCTTCGTCGATTCTCGCCAGCATGGGTCTATACACGCATCATCCACAAGAGCCTGCAACCTCTTGGCCGATTCAAGGAACATAAGCGCGAGCATGACTTGATTACGGAACTTCTCGAGCAGCGACTATTCCACGCTGCCCGTCGTGGTGCATGGTATCAGCGTAAAGCGTTACTAGAAGAACACTATATGTGGGCATTGATGCCTTCAGAGGGTCGAAACGAAGAGAAGCAGCGTAAACTCTGGAAACGGGTAGCACTGCGGACTTGCGAGGAGGGACTAGAAGATCCTCTTTCACATTTGATTTATCATTATGATCTTCAGAAACGGATTACGAAGCTTGAAAAGGCTCTCAGGATCGTCAAGCGGGAGCAGCATGATTTTGGCCATGTGATGTTGGGCAAGCCTGTTGAACGAACAATTGAGGGGATCCGTATAGATCGGGATGAACCCGTGAAGAAAGGAAAAGCTACAATATGGATTGATGAGAGGGAGGGTGGTGAGTGTAGGGTGGAAAGTATGTGCCTGAGCTGGTATCGTGATCATGGCTGGAAGGGGTATCACTCTGAAGGAGGGATTGTCCGCACGCTGGTGAGTATATACGTGCTCAAAACGATGCTTGGGTAAAATCTAACAAATTCTCGATGATTAGTTTGGATATCTCTTCTATGATATTCTTTTTACCTATGTTCCGAATGTCTTCCAGACACCCTTTCAGACCTGCCCTCTCGATCTACATACAGATGTCTTCTATCCATCGCGGGCATCAGAGATCAATCATCGACTGGTCGAAATCACAAATGGCGACGCAAAACGAATCATTCGGGATATTCATACCCGCGAAGCAGCTGCCCAGCCTTGTGCCATTGGCATCGACTGGTCGTTCGAGCTAGATGATCTGATAGAGATTGTACAGTGTTTCCGAGGTGAAGCTCTAGCCACAATTTGCAAAGTTATGGCGCAAGAATATCAACAGCGTGGTGGTGGTATTCCTGATCTATTTCTTTGGAACGTTGAGACAGGGAAAGTCATGTTCTCCGAAGTGAAATCGGAGAATGATCGTTTGAGTGATACCCAGCGATTATGGATCCATATTCTCCTCTCAGCAGGAGTTCAGGTTGAGCTATGCAATGCTGTTGCGAAAGAGGTGAGGATGGATTGATCAATCATATGTACAAACCTATCCATGAACGAGACATGTCCTGATTGATTCCATGCAATGTAAGAAACCATTTGGGTGACGTGAATATTTGAAGACCCATGTACATCCACCCAAAAATATACGAGTTAAAAGCGACATGTGAATGTCTACTATGTCTAAGAATTTCAACTACAAGTTACGAATGACCAAAAATGAAAGTAGTTAAAGAGGCATGAAAGGGGTATAACTCGTAATAGTTCTTCTTTTTTATCTGGCGTATCTAGCCCATGAAAGTAAAAGCCTGGGCACAACCCAGTATTCTCCTTCACGACCACAATCCTCCAAGACCACAAACCACAACACCGTGAAGGCGCTTATGCGACAAGGGTGGAGGCAGTGGCGCTCTCGTAGCGCCAGGTGGGGGGCAGGACACCGACGGTCTTGTAGTAACGGGACAGACGGTGGATACGGGACTCGATCAGAATGAGGCGGAACTTGGAGTCCTTGTCCTTGCGGTTACGCTCAAGGTGCTTGCGGACAGCGACGGCCTAGAAATTACATTGATTAGAACGATCACCCGGGAAAGGCTTTACGTAAAGAGCAAAAGGGTGAAGATGGCATACCTTCTTGATCAGGAAGTAAAGGTCCTCGGGGAGCTCGGGGGCGAGGCCTGTATTCCAAAAATCTCTCTGTCAGTTATATTCTAACCAAGCAGAGGCTTAGCTGCTGGTGCATTTTCTGCAACCAGAGTATGTTTATATGGAGAGTGATGGAGCCGTTGCAGGTCATGACACCGAAGAAAATTTCTTTCTCAAAGTATCATTTCCATACAATTACATCCAAGCACTTCATCCGATTGAGGCGATAAGGGATCGTGTGAGGGGAGTCGTACCGCTGGACTTCAAGATACGGAGGATCTTGTTACCTATAGCGCGAAGAAAAGTTAGCGACCGTCTCCCTTATTCGGATTCTCACGAAATCGCAGTCGAAGTCGAAATCCGCTTCAAACACTCTCATATCCAGAAATGCATACCAGTGACAATCTTGACCTGGGCAACACCGTGGCTGTCACGGAGGACAACACCGATCTGCGAAGGGGTAGCACCCTTCTTGGCGAGCTTGCAGATGTGGTCGACAACCTGGTCGGGGGTGGTCTTGAGCCAGGCGGGGGCGGTGCGAGAGTAGGGAATGGCGGAGGACGCAATGCCCTTGCCCTTGGAGTGAAGGCGACCCATTGTTGCTGAAGTGTCCGGCGGAGGGAATCTGGTCGGAGGTTGTCGAGGTTGGATAGTAAAAAGATCGAAGTCTTGTTGAGTGGAGATAATGAGAATTGGGACGGGCGTTGTGTGGGTCACGTGCTTCGCTTATTTCGGTGGAATTTTCTCTTCGACTTCAGTTCCGCCTTCCCTATTTAATGGGTCCATCCAAGCTTGCTTGATCACCACTTCAAGTTTTTGATTTCTTGACTTTTATGATGGTCCATTAGTCTTGAGTGAGGCTAAAATTGCGCCTCCGATTACATTCACCGGCACAAATATCGCCATTGACTATATTAATTATCTCAGGTCAGTTTTGAATTTTTCTCTCTACCCATCAACACCACCCCTTTTGCATGATGAAACACACATTTATTACTTTTTTCTGGTACCTCTTATGTCAGAATCCGCGTCTTCGGACGCGGCCTCGATGATCTAACTGGACTTCTGATTACATTCAATACCTTTCAATTGATTATCAATACATGGAGAAACTGTTGTACTGACTATTCTCTAGATTTCTTTTTTAGCATTATTATGAAAAGCCAACTATTTTAGTATAAATGAAATGAACGTGATATCTTTATTCTTTGACCTCTTGTCTATGAATTGTCTTTCTGCTCGTGGCTATAATTTTACATGATCCATGGTTGTCCATGTTGTTTGTAGTGTATAGTGTACAATATGCCTTTTGTAGGCCGTAGTATGGTTCCCCATCAATGAACAAACAGTAGAATTCCTCAGCGCCGGATTCTCTTGGACATCCTTCGGGTTTCCGTCATTTGCGAAGCATGCACGACCCCATCTGAACTCTCCTTCCGTTTCTTGCCTCGCTCCTGTTTAACGACTGGCTTACTGTCGATTTCTTCGAGCTTCACATCAATATCCTCCTGCTTCGGGGCAGTGATAGCAACCGTCGCAGTAACCTCTGTTTTAATCTCGACTTTGGAGTCCTCTTCTTTCACCTTAACATCAACCTTCTTTGTCGCCGCTAGCCGGTCTGCGAAAGACCTCAAGTCTGCTGTGAAGAGCACACTATGTGCCCACCCGGCTTCCTGACCCCAGAGCTTTCGAAAGTGGTTAGCTATAGCATCATAAGTTGCTTTTGTCAATGACTTATGCGACCCCTTCCCGAAGCGGTAGTCACGCTGTGCAATTTGCCATACTATGGACGAGGTTAGATCATGTGTAACGCTTGAACATTTTCGAGAAACTCACCATGTGTGTCAACAGGCACGGATTCACGCCATCCTAAGCCCATTAAGCATACGCAGTCTGCCACTTTGGGTCCGACGCCTTGTAGTTCAAGTAGGCTCTCATGGGCATCTCGGTAACCTTGTCTTCCCTCAGGCTTCATCTCATCGCCAGGTTTCGCTTCCACGCCAAAGGGGGGCGATTCAGGGTTACAGAGGTTGTCCAACCACCCCTTCTCTCGCTCTTTAGACACCATAAGGGCCGTTTGGTAGAGATACTTGGCTCGATATCCAAATCCCAAGCTGCGAAGATTGCCTTCTACATCTTTACCAGCCAATGCTTCTGGCGTGGGGAAGTCGTGATAAGAGCGACCTTCAACTGTAGCCACGAAGGGACCGTAATTGAGACATAGTTTCTCAACCATTTGGGAAATGCGCGAAATATTGTTGTTGCTGCTGCAAATGAACGATACCAATGCTTCCCACGCATCTTGACGTAATATTCGGATCCCTGTGAATTGGGCAGCCTTCTTCTTGAAATTAGAATCCTGCGCAGACCATTGCGTATATAGATAATTCAAGTTTGAAGAGAGATTGAGGTAATGTTTGATGATACGTAAAGTATGGTCATCTTTGTTATCGGCAATTTCTGTATCTGACTGCGCTCGCGAAGGAATTTCTGAGGCCGGCGGTGTGGGTAGAGAGGCAGACTGGGATTGATAGGTACGGTAGTAAAGCGTACTTAAATCTTGTTTCAAAGAAATCAAGCGCCCGTATAGTACGCATCGCCATTCTTCTTTTTCTGGGAGATTATGCCATCTGAAATTGGGGGTTAGTGTTGTTGATGAACAAATGCTTGTTGTTGTACTAACCGAAAGGATTGGCCACAACGAAGTGTTGTATTGATACATAGCTCTGACAAGCTGACCGGCAGCTTACGCCATTCTGAAAAAGCCATCGCAGTGTAGAGTTTCCAAGGTTCTTTGTTGTAACTTGATTGAATCCTTAATTCGATAGGACGATAAGAAAGCCGATTCTGCCATAATCAGTTTGAAAGGAAGGCGGTACCACTAACACCGCCCAATGCAGGAGCTTCCACTTTTCCCCTTCGTTTGATGCCAGCAAAGAGAGCTCTCCCAACTCCACAAGCTCACCATGAACGGCGACACATATTCATCCAGAGGTATTTAACAATCCAATCGCGTTTTGCGAATGAAACTAACAATTGCAGATTCTGGCCGTCCCCGTGACTATTACGTAAGTTCCAGCTACAAAAGTGGCCTGAATGCGACTAATTCATCCCAGCGCGACGAGCGGCGTGAGCGGGACCGAGGAGAGAGACCAGAGAGACCAGAGAGACCAGAAAGACCAGAAAGGCCAGAGAGACCAGAGAGACCAGACAGACCAGACAGACCAGAGAGAGCAGAGAGAGGAGAGCGACGTCGATCGCGATCTCCTCATTTCGGCTCTCGGGGCTCTCGCCGCGAACCCGAAGCCAATTCGTACTCTTCCAGTCGTGACTACCGCGCTCGTGAACGCGAAGACCGCTACACCAACCGCAGAGATGATCGGGAATGGGATCGCGGAGATCGTGGCGATCGTGCCGACCGTGGAGGTGGAGGCGACCGCGGTGATCGCCGCCGCCGAGACTTCGACGACCGACCTCGACGAGACTTGTTTGAGGATCGACCTCGCCGTGGAGGAGGTGAACGTGGAGGTGACAGGGAGCGTAATGACCGTGGAGACCGCGGAGACCGTGGTGAAAGAAAGGAGCGCAAGAGATCTGCAACACCACCGCGGAGGAAGGAGCCTACGCCGGACCTGACAGATGTGCCTTCTATCTTGGAGCGCAAGCGTCGTCTGACTCAATGGGATATTAAGCCACCGGGCTATGAGAATGTCACTGCTGAACAGGCCAAGTTGTCTGGCATGTTCCCTCTGCCTGGAGCGCCCCGGCAACAACCAGTGGACCCAAGTCGCCTGCAGGCGCTCGTCAACCAGCCTGCTGGCGCGGCGGAGAACACTGCTCTTCGACCTTCCAACTCCCGCCAATCCAAGCGTCTCTTCGTCTACAATATCCCTGCTAGCGCCAATCAGGATTCTATTATGTCGTTCTTCAACTTGCAGTTGAATGGTCTGAACGTTATTCACAGCGTTGATCCCTGCATCTCCGCCCAAGTTGCTGAAGATCAAACATTTGCTCTTTTGGAGTTCAAGACCCCTACCGATGCGACAGTTGCCCTGGCCTTCGATGGTATCACTATGGCAGACAGCGGTGACAAGGGTCTCGAAGTTCGACGACCCAAAGATTACATCGTTCCAAATGGAAGCGCAGACCAGGAATATCAGGAGGGAGTGCTCCTGAATGAGGTGCCGGATTCACCAAACAAGATTTGTGTCTCCAATATTCCAGCCTATATCCCCGAGGAGCCAGTTACAATGCTGCTTAAGTCATTCGGTGAACTTAAGTCATTTGTTCTGGTCAAGGACGCATCGACCGAAGAATCACGGGTAAGTATACGTCTAGACTTATTCTCATCTGAACTTTATCACTAACTAATCTTTTAGGGAATTGCTTTCTGCGAATATGTTGACCCGGCTGCCACTCCTATCGCTGTGGAGGGTCTGAACGGCATGGAACTCGGTGACCGTCACCTCAAGGTTGCTCGCGCTAGTATTGGAACAACCCAAGCGTCTGGCCTTGACATGGGTGTTAACGCCATGTCGATGTTTGCTAAGACAACCTCTCAGGACATGGAGGCGGGTCGTGTGCTGCAACTTTTGAACATGGTTACTGTCGATGAACTTCTCGACAACGAGGACTACGAGGAAATTTTGGAGGACGTCACGGAAGAGTGCAACAAATACGGAAGAGTCTTGGGCTTGAAAATTCCTCGACCCACTGGTCGTCAGACCTCCGGTGTTGGTAAGATTTTCGTCAAGTTTGAAAACCCGCAATCGGCAACCGATGCGCTTAAGGCACTCGCTGGCCGCAAATTTTCGGATCGTACGGTCGTTGTCTCTTACTTTGGTGAAGAAAATTTCGATGTTGACGCTTGGTGATTTGGGAGCGGGTTATCGATTCTAGTATTGTTTTCTTGATTTCCCTTTTTGCTTCCAAGGTTTCTGCGGCACGAGTCCAAATGTATCATAGCAGTTAGGTCCATATTTACTTGGTCACGATGGCTTTATTCTTCTCATTAATCACAGTAATCATTGCTTGGTGTTAGTGAAGACTCTCAATAGTCAACGATACTAGGATGAATTGAGTTAGTTGCCCTAAATGTGTGAGACTTTTTTTGGATTGCCCTTGTCATAGTATCTATAAGCCCCTGAGAAGCTTCATCTTTGCTCTATCCATAATTTAACCCATCCTTTCGTGTTTCAATTTGAACAATTTGTTCTCTTCGGAAGATGGACTACATTTTCGGATGTTACGGGGCATGGAATTGTATAAGAAATATTTGAATATGCAGGGGGAAGTAAGTATGTACACCTCTAAACAAGAAAACAGTAATGTATATTCTTTATCATTTATTCTTGGGCAAGAATGCGGGCAGCGGCGGCCTCGGCGATGACCATGATAGTGGTCTGAATGTTGCCAGTGGGGAGGTCAGGGTGGATGCTGCCGTCAACGATGAACTAGAAAGAAGAATATTTTGTTAGTATTGAAGTATTGAAGTATTGTGATAATTGTATATCATTTCTGGGAAGCTTACCAGGTTGTCCATGCCGTAGACCTTGGTGTTGATGTCAACGACGGAAGAACCGCCCTTGCGGCCATCGTCGGTACCCATCTTGGCGGTAGAAGTGTAGTGCATACCAGGGGACAGAGTGGAGATGATAGAAGAGACGTTGGTGTAGGTCTCCAGCTCAAATCCAGAGTTGGGGGCATTGAAATCGTTAATGAGCGACTGGATGAATGATCTAGCAGCAACACGATCACCAGTAGTCTGCAGGTATGGAGACTTCTCAATGATAGTCTTCTGGTTCTTGTCGATACCCAGGACACCGGAGGAAGTAGCACCATGAGTCATGTAGGTGGTGATATCCAAGACAGAGTCAGCACTGGGGGCGCAGGAGCCCTGGTAGTAGCGAGTGGTGCCGTTGATCTCGTTGGAGGAGAAGAAGATCATTCGGTGCTTGCCTTGGGTCAAGAGGCCATCGGACTTGCGGTAAAGGCTGATATCCTTGGTATCGCTTCCGTTTAAGATGGAGTCGTAGTCGGGGATACCAAAGTCGCCGGAGGTCTGAGCCATGATGGTGAAGATGGGGTGATCTTTGAGACCAACACCAACAGGGAGGTTAATCCAATCGTGCTTGGGAGGAACCTCGATACCGCTCTTCTTTGCGGTCTCGATCTGGCGCTTGGGACCAATGCCAGAGTTGAATAGAACACGGGGAGTACCGAGGGCACCACCAGCCAGAACAACTTGGCCGTTGTGAGCAAGAGTCACAACTTCAGTCTTGCCGGAGGCAGTCTGCACTTCCACGCCGGTGACTTGGCTTCCTTCACGCACAAGACGGACAACTTTGGTGTTCAGGCTCAGAGAGAACTTACGGCTCTGCTGGGCAAGAGGCAAATAGGTACGGACGGGACCAGCACGGACCTGATCCTTGATGTTCCATGCTGGGTGGCTGTAAACCTGGTACTTTTCGTTGGGCTGGGTGATCATGTCAACGGCAGTCCAGCCAAGATTGCTGAAGAAGTTCGAGAGGGTAGAGTAGAGACCCTGATCGTAGCGCTTGCCATCGGCGGAGGGCAAGGTAGTACCGGGGTTGCGTTCGTAGAGTCTGTCAGCAGCAGGCTTGAGATCCTTCCATTTCCAACCCTCGGGCCAGTTGGTGTTGTCGTCGAAGTCATGCTCTGGAGGGTGCACGAAGACCATATAGTTGATAGTCACACCACCACCGAGCACACAGGCGGCATATCCTTCAGTATCACTGCACAGATATTCATCCCAAACATCGAGGGAACCAACATCAGCAGACAGACCAGGGAGGTCAATTGATGTCAGGGTGCGGTTCCAGGGGAGAGTCTCATTTGCGCCAGTTGCAACAGTAGGACCGGTACCTTGCTCGAGGAGGAGGACATTCTTGCCAGCCTCAACGAAGCGTTCTGCAGTAATAATACCAGCGGGACCACCACCAACAATGATGTAGTCGTACTCGCCATTCTTAAAGCTAGAAGCTGAAGCCAAGGCCCCAGCAGCAGCGAGGAGAGCCACTTGACTACTTACTCGAGGGAACCACATAGTTACAAAATTTGAAATAGAAAATTACGAGCCTAGAACATTGACAGGGGGTATGTCGATCTTTTAATAAACCCAACAAGCTTCTCGTACCTGCACCAAGTGGCCGTTTGATTAGATTTCTAAGCCGGGCACCGAGTATGCATATTGTGTCATATTTTCCTTAGTCTCATGTCCACCTTCCCTGTGTAGTTAGAGGATTGCTTACTGGAGGATTAGAGATGCTGAGGAAGCGGCTTGAAGAATGGATATGTGGATCCACCGAACGGATCTTCAGGGCATGACGCCGACAAGGATTATTAGTTGAGCACATTAAAACTCTGGAATGATTCCTTATAGAGACTAGCTTGGCTTGACAGACCGAGATTAACGTTTGATTCGTGTTTTATTGATATTTTCCAGGGCATTCGGCTCCACCGGCTTCCCGAGAGACCGAAAAGTTCTGTTTCATTTGCCTGTCGTGTGAGACCGAACCATGTTTCTGGTCCAGAAATATCCTATGAAATCAATGACAGCAGTGGAGAGACCATCTGAATAGGTAGGGATCGTTGGAATCAATTTCAAAGTTGATCGAGTTGATCAACGGGTGCTGTGCGTTATCTGATTGAAATCATCGCAGCCGAGATAGTCGCCGGCTCTTCGCTTAGCCGGACAAAGTTTGACCTACGTCTTTTATGTGTGCACGCCATAGTAAGCAGGCGTTTTAAATGAATACTAGTCTAATATATATGGTTGCAAGGTTACATTAACCATACATATTTGAGATATCTGAAAGATAAAAGAGGAAAAGAGGAAAAGAAGGAAGAGAGAGAAAAATGAAAGAAAAGAAAAAAAAGAGAGAGAAAAAGAGGCAAAGCAGAACAATGATTTCGTTGACTAAGAGCAGTTCATTAACTAGATATTTGATTCTCGATCATTACAGCGCCATAGTTTTTTAATACCCCCTTGATCCCCACGAACAGGACCTCGCTCTGGATTTGGAATATCCCACAGATTCATATCGCCCGACATGATCTCCTCCTTCCTCCCAAGTCCAAGTTGAGCCCATCGGATATGCTCCTATCATAATAAACTCAGTGAATGGCAGCTCCCCCAATAACTTCCTAGGGTCCTCTGATTCAATATAATGTGCATCGCCCGTCAGACATGTAGCGTCGCGAGTTGTTGCTGTATAAGGGTTGTAAATTTTGTGCGTTATCCCAGAGGGGATAACAAAAACGTCACAAACATTCGCCTGCATATGCAGACTGCCCTCCTCATTAGCCCCTCCGTAAGTGTGATTCCCTGAGTCATCGTCTAGGTCTCTGACACCCCAGCGAATTGCACCTGGCCCAGACAACACGGCCATAACTTCATGAGCTTGTCCGTGGTAGTGAGATCGTTGGTGGCTGCCATATCTAGTGACCCATTGTGGATCCCATCCATTGCTCTTGAAAGTGTCATATGCGAGAACAGGGTCGACTTTGCCACCTCGATGGAAACAGCCGTTGAAGTGTATGAGTGGCTTTGGGGAGTTTGGAATGAGCTTTGTTGGCTTAATATCGTAGATGATTGGCTCTGGTAGTTCCATTTTGAGGATGGAGAGGGTTGAAAAGGAGAGAAATTTTCTTTGAGAGGTGAAGACTGGTAAAGAATTCCTGTAATTAACACTAGAAGTAGAGAAGTCGGTTTTATAATTGAGGTAGATAAAAAATCAGGTTGTGATGTCTACATATGGCAACTTATCTCGGGTAAAGACCCCGGAATTTGATATTGGTATACCTCGGTACTTGCGTCTCACATATTGGACTTGAATTTGATCACTTTATCCTACAGGGTCGCCTAAGACATCCGGCTAAGAAGGAATCAATGCGAAAGCGTCTCAATGGATTCGTCACTCATTCTCCCCGGTACCCCGGAGCGTTATCAAAGGTGGGGGACGATCCAGTCCGGTGATAATATGGTGATCTTTCTTGTTATGTACTGATTTTAAGATCTAGCCAAAATGATAGTACGTTTCGTTATATGCTAGATAAAGGAATTTCAAAATTGCCACAACAATTAACATGGAAGGTTCTCCATGCATATCCTGTCGTGATTCGGTAACGATAGCCGGTTGACATCGGTATTGGTTACCGACATCAACTGACCAACAGGCTTACTAGATAGCAAACAATAATAACTAACCAATTTGGTGATATCAGTACGAACTGAGGACAGATACGCTCAAAGTAGCATTTATCGGTAGAGGGCTCTTGTATCGCGCGGCATAACCGAAAATGAATAATGAAACCGCTTTGCAACGGCGTTCTGTTAGCCACGAGTGCATCAGCGTTAAATTGGACATATTTCCAATGATTTTATGCCAATATTTGTAAAACGGGGTACAGTTCAGTTTCATTTCATTTTTACTCTTTAGCATCACACCATGACACAGACCACTACAAGTACTGCTGCCTACGCCAACCACTTTCCACAGGTAGTAAAGACCAATGGAATCTGGGACTGGCAACTTAAGGTGAACCAGCCATCTCTTCGATCGCATCAGCCCAAAACTGATTCCAAATTCTGAGTCTCTGAGCGCTGTATGGATCAGGCAAGACTGTTGAAAGTTAATTATAAGTCCTCGCCACCCGGCGCAACTCGGGAAGAGCAAAAGAGAGGTCGTATCACGGCACTGTGGCCAGGAAGTGGTGTTCATTGTGTTCGAGCCTTAAGCTCTGTTAGATGGGAGAACTTTGAGTTGCAGCCGTTTGACGGTAATGAGTTGGGTTGGCTCGGTAATGGATGGACTCTGGCAGAGAAGTATCCAAGTGATGATCTAGAATCTCTGACTTGGTACCTGAACGATACGAATATTCTCAAGTATCGGTGAGCGAAGTATGGCAGCCTTGGAATCGATTTTACCTTCGATATGGAATAGTAGTCATCTTGTAGGCAAATGAGAGTTTGATAGTATGACTTGAATAGTACACAGCCAAAACCATTTAATATCCAGGAAATAAACATTGTGATTCTGATCAAACTATTCTATATTCCCATTCTCACTAAGTTTGAGAATAAACAAATTCAATTCTTGACCTATTGTATAATAATTCTAAAGATAGTAATTATGATTCACGCCTAGAAATCGAGTATTCAATGCGGCGAAGGATCCCCCGCACCAATTTGGTCGTTGGCACAAATTTCCTCTATCCCTGTCTTCATAATTTACAACCAGTCAATATTCACAAGAGTCTCGATTTATCTGGAAAATATCTAAATTTGGGAGATCTACGATGAATTCCGGTGAAGATCGGAGAATAAGAAAACGAAGTCAGAACGCGTATGAAGGCTAGCCGTTTTTCTTCTCCCCAACTACTGATATCACTATAGTTGCATTCGTTGCCGACGACAGAAAAGCAAATGTGGGGGCAAACATCCCCGCGAGCCTTACAAGCGACGCAGAATCAGATGTGACTGTGAGGCTGAGGAGCCCAAGGTCTTTATCTCGAAAAGGCATGTCTCTGAGCTTGAGGACAAAATAGCTCTGCTGGAAGCCCAACTTGAATCTTCACCCGGGACTGCAAGAATTCGCTCTACGACGTCGCATTCAGTCTATGAGTACACGCAATATCAACAAGCTTCTGGTGAAGAAGATGGCGATGAGCAACACGAGGATGTCCAGATATGCGATACACTCTTGGCCTCTGGATATTTAACGCACGTCAAAAATAAAAAAAAGAACCCCATGTGAGTCATCGCTTGCTTGATCTAGTCAGTGAACCCTGTCACTCGGACTAAACTGGGGATCAGACCATTTAGGCCATTCGTCGAATTACTCATTCACCCAGCGCATTTAACGTCTTCTTCATTCTTGTCTGTCCTGCGATCCCTATCCTCCAAGTGATTGGCATCCATGTGGATCATATGATTTTGGATGGGATAGACATGAAATATCCGTGGAAAGAAAAATTGGAGGATTGCCATCCAAAGACCATGCTCTATATTTAATCAGCGCCGTCAAATTTCGAGCAGGGCAGATATATCATCTTTACGATGAAGAGATTTTTATGCCTCAACTTGATCAATTCTACATGAACCCAGCGGATAAATTATCTAACATGAAAATATGGTACATCCATTTCTTAGTTCTTCTTGCCTTCGGAAAGGCGTTTATCGTTTGCGATGCCGACGGAGGAAGACCGCCTGGGTCAGATCTATTCTTACGCGCTTTTAAATTATTCCCTGAAGCGACTTATTTAATTTCAGACTTTCTCACTGGTACGGAGATCCTTTGCTGTATGGCATCATACTACCAAGCCCTCGATGGAACAGTTGCTGCATACGAGAAGGTACATGCTGTGTTCCAAACAACTCACTGTTCAATGAACTTACAATGTTAGATTGGACAAGCCACGAGATCGGGCCTGACAATGGGAATGCACACTTGCATGCAGCCAGATAGCTTGAATGCAAATCCTCATTCAGCGTTGCCGAAAGGTTTGGTGGACAGTGGTCGTCTAAGATCGCCAGATATCGGGACTTCTAGGGCTACCTATACAAGTTCGAGATGACGATATGACGACTCCTTTCCTTCTCTTCCCTGACTCAGAACAGCATGCAGTGGCGTTCAACTCGAGCCCTCGTCCAGGTCGTGAGGAGTATGCTATCTACCTAATTGTTTCTATTATCTGAGTTGACATATCTTAGCTGTTTATTGTAGCGATATAAAACGCGACGTAAGCTTCGTTTCACGAACACAGGATGCTCTCCGCTTCGTGGCTATTGTGGCACATGGACTTGATACCTATTTTCCACTTCCTGACCATGCATCAGGTGATGGCATTTCGCCTATTTCTGGTCACCTGAATATACTCTACCATCAGGTACGGTATACACTCCTTCAACTTATACTTCTACTTACACAAATTCAGTGTATAGTAGTCACCACGAGACCTTTTTTGTCTGTAGTCCTGAAGAAATGGGTAAACGATCCAGAGGACAAGGTCTCATCTCTGCTCTGTGGTGATCCGATACGTCAAATCCTAGTTGTGGGAGTCGAGTCCGCAAAAAAGCTTAGCTCCATTCTTTGCTCTTTGAGAGATCAAGACCTCATATTGTGTCGATTAATTTGAAAAAAAAATAAATTATATTAATTGGTTTGCAGAAACCTTCTTACCCTTTGAGTTAGAGAGTGCCTTTTCAGCTGCTAGGGTCCTAGAAATCGCACTTACCCATTTCCCTTCTATATTCAACTATGACGCCTCACTTCATGACATAATCGAAGTTCTACAAGTTATGATATCAAAAGGGAAGGCCCCAGCAGCTGAGCGACTTTCTGAACTACAACGACTAAGACAAACGCTCGACGAAACAAGAGAATTATTCCTTGGCCCTCATCCACCTAGAACCGAAGCTAAGGACCTCACACCGGTTTACAGAGACGAAAATAACATTGATACCCAAATATCTCCCACCACGCACAATATACATGGCAGCTTAGCCTTACCTCTGGACTGGGGGGAGGGTCTGTCTTTTGGATGGTTTTACTCGGAGCCCCAAAATCCGAACGCCATTGCAGAGTCATTGAACTCCTAGGACTCAACAGATTGGTTTCCTATAATTTCTGATGAAGTCTTTCAGGATTTTCCACCCAAGAAACTCTATATTCTCCGCGGCTATTCAGATAATGCTTCCTAGCGACGAGTCTAGTGAGTTCTTACTCTACTACCTGTAACGGCTACAAATATATACTCTGTATTGGTGCCTTACAGGTAAAAACATTATTGGTAAAAACAGTATTGGTATTTGAAGAATTCCTCAACCTGAGATTGAACAGTTTATCAAAGGCGGCTATTTTTCATACAGATCATCAACTTGCCCCCGAACCTTCGGTGCCACTCCGTAACCGAAAATGTTCATTCTAAGCCTGGAAGATTTTAAAGACGCCATTTATTTTTATGGGGGTCAATGTAATAGGGGCGAACAAAAAAAAAGAAAAAAGAAAAAAAGAAAAACTTGGAGAACCCTTAGCGAAACTACTGTACGATCACAAAGCCACGGCAATCATTTTCGATGCTGATAGGCTCGCAACTTCCCCGATATGGGGCTACGGGACGGTCTAGTACGGTGGATACAAAAGATCCGACTTCGGAGATAGCAACAACGCGTTGGCTTGGGGGATCTGCAAACCCCAACCCCCAGTGGCAGTACCGCGACGGGTTCTCTATTCGAAATACTGTATGTTGTGCATCGATGAAGAATCTTCTATGCATCTTCACGATGTTGAGAAATGTGAGATGCAAGTAAGTGCTTTGAGTCTCCCGGGACGACAGATTCATTTTGTCTAAAAACAAAAAACCACTTGAATCATTCGAGTCTGATTCTGGCAATTCAACCGACATGCTTCAACAAAGTTGCTCCACTTATCGACTGCTCGGTCATTTTCCATAAAGTAATATATGGGGACAACCAGTGCACGGATGACTCAGGCTAGTGCACTACGGAATAACCATAATATTTCGCCTCTCGGTCGCCCACAATGGAAGTCTCTAAGCTGTCAATCTCATTCATTCAAAAATAACGGGTTGAACGTTGTAGCTGGGGACATGGCTGAGGAATTTGACCCCGAAAATATCACACCCACCCAATCGCAAGGGGAAAAGGTGTCCGGTGCGAAAATAATCGCGGAAGATGCTGTATTCGGTGAAATTCAAGAAGGCGGCGTCAACTACCGTGATGTGAGTCTTAAAAAAAAGAAAGAAGGAAAAGAAGAATTCGTTTCAAGTGGACTGGGCTGATTAAACTTAGGTGGGGTGGAAAGGAACGACTGCTCTTATGGTGAAAACCCAGCTCGGGCTAGGTGTTCTTTCAATTCCTCAAGTCTTCGATACTCTTGGAATGATACCGGGAATTATCATTGTCCTGGCAATTTCCGGAATAACAACCTGGTCAAATTGGATGGTCGGCATCTTCAAAGCTCGCCACCCCGAGGTATACGGTATCGATGATGTGGGGAGAATGCTATTTGGCCGTATTGGCTACGAAGTGATCGGCGCTGCATACGCATTATGTGAGTAATGAGAGTATCAAATCCCGGATATCTAGTTCTAACATTTTTTGAAGTTTGGACTTTTACATCTGGATCTGCTATGCTGAGCATCTCAATCGCTTTGAATGCCCTCTCTTCTCATGCAACCTGTACTGCTGTTTTTGTGGCCATCACTGCTATTATCGGGTTCATGTTCTCGAGTATACAGACGCTTGCCCGCATTAGTGGGCTTGCCTGGGTTGGTGCCACATGCATTGTTACTTCAGGTATGCCTTTTACTGAGACAATTTGTTGGTTCTTTTCTAAAAGTTTGCTAGTTTTTATCGTTACGGTCGCTGTCGGTACTCAAGGCCGTCCTCCCCCATCTGCGGGCGTTGGGGTCAAATCCGATTACAAATTATTTGGCAACCCAAGCTTTCTTGAAGCCATGACTGCCATATCCACGGTGTGTCTAAGCTATGCAGGAACGCCAGCGTTCTTCAACATTGTTGCTGAAATGCGCGACCCGAGACTCTACAACCGGTCGTTGGCAGTCTGTCAGACTATCATTACTGTCGTTTTCATAGTCGTTGGATCGGTGGTATACTATTACTGCGGATCCTACGTTTCATCCCCAGCCCTCGGTTCAGCTGGGCCAACAATCAAAAAAATCAGTTACGGCATTGCTTTGCCTGGCTTGTTGGTTTCAGAAATAGTTCTCCTCCATGTAAGTTGGAATTCTGACTTGAAATTTAATACATCTTTTTCACGGAGCTAACTTGGTGATAGTTGCCTGCTAAACACATTTTTGTCCGGATTCTTCGGGGGTCTCAGCATCTTACAAACCATACAGCAATCCATTGGATTACCTGGCTTGGTTGCACATTTTCGGTAGCCTTGGTTGCATATATTATTGCAAGTGGTATTCCAGTCTTCAGTGGTCTTGTATCGCTTGTTGGTGCGCTTCTAGCTACCTCCTTATGCTTTCAGCCCATGGGGTGCATGTGGTTGTATGACAACTGGAGCCCAGGAAGACGAGAGCGATCCTGGAGGTGGTGCTTCATGGTGGCTTGGTGTATTTTTGTTATTCTGATTGGTTGCTTTTTGACAATTGGGGGGACATATGGATCAATCGTGAGTATCAATAATTCGTACAAGGAGTCAGGAGGGTCCGCAGCATGGTCTTGTGCCAATAATGACAATTGAGTAAGTAATGGTGCACATTAAAACCAAGGTCACTTACAATACTTGAAAGACTCAGGAATATATCTATAGATCCTTTCAAATGTGAGATCATCAATTGTATTATCAAAATGACTGAAAATAAAAAGGGTACAAGAGTGATAACATAAATTTATCGATGATTATTAGAGAAAGAGATATGGATGATTAGCTTCGAGGTTCTCCCGATATTTTGGTGATAGGAAACCTTTCTGCACAGAAAGATGTACATGTACCCCCCTAAAGTTTGCTGAAAATTGACATACAAGGACCTAGTAAGTGACACTGTCATTGGATAGTCTTTGTTGATGAGGACATTTTCAGATCCGAGCTGGCCGGATACTAGTAGATAATATTTTAGACCAAAGACTATAGGTACAGTTTGATTTATAGTCCAATATTTGAATTTCCATAATAAGGAAGACTAAAAATCACAGGGGCTTCTCAACCGATACACTAGGACCCTTTTGACGCGACCGTTGGCTGACAAACCACAAAAGACTAAAATGTACCAAATGTTTGTAAACACTGTATTGAGATTGGGGGATACAGTGTCTGAGTTTGTGCTCAAAGGGATGCATATATTACATATTCATGAGCTACTAGCTACAATAAATCTACCAATAAGATATAAAATTAGTTCATTCCGCATGGTGAGTATATGTTTTTATCTAGTCATTTGAGCATAAATTCTGATTTAGTCGAAGATAAGGTTCCGGGTCATGCAGATCAAGGGCGACAAAGTAGCAGAGCGTATGGAAGTCTCAGGAAAGTGTTACACAAGATTGGAGATAAACAAGATGCCCGATGCCCACCTGGGCACTTTTCAATACGGAACAGGATAAAGATTCGCTTTTGAGTCAAGCAATTCTGAGTATTTATAACATCTTCCATCCCCAGGTTAAACAGATACTACAACTATTCCACCTTCATCTTCAAGGTTCTCAATTTAAAAGCCCTCAAACAAAACATAATCAACACGCAAACATAATGCTCGTCTTCGTCGGAAAACTTAACTACTCGCCTTATGCCGCCGACGAGCTGATCACGGTTGTCTTCCGTGACAATGTTCAAGTTGGAGACAAGGTTGCTGTGATCCTGCAATGGTCCCAGGACGCTAGTGGACAAGCAAAGGCAAATGCTAGTGCTCATGGCACAGTCGGAAAGCTTTCTGCCGTTTCAAGCCCCCTGAACAAGAAATTTGAATTATTCTCTGATGAGAAGGAGAGCACTTACTATTGGTAAGAGTCTTGGCACCACAACCATCTTACCAGACTACAGTATTTGCTAAAGATATATTAGGTATAAGGGTGAGTTGTCTGGTACTAAATTAAATTTGGCCATGTGGAATAAGAAGGGCGAAGAGGTTGCGAAGAATATTGAGCTGCAGCTGATTTTCGCTTGATGGGTTTTCATGTTAGTAGCTTCTTCTGTAGTTATTCTTAAATAACACAAAATATTAAACTTTAAGCACCATGAAGTATTATTTGAATCTTGTAGTCACTATAATAACTTGAAGGATGATGTTCTCGTTTCAAGTTATACAGTTGAACGCTGCGATTGGATGATTTAGTGGATATTACAAGTGAAGGTGGCCACACAGTGACATGGTCCAGATGATCCGAGACATTGATTTATATAGTACTTCAAATATTTGAACATCAGACTTGGGCTACAAGATAAAAAAAACTTGAATAAATTCACATGTCTGATTGTAACCAACCGCTTCTATATACCAACTCTAGATTAAGAAATCTAAGAAGAAGTAGGAGTGATAGTAGCCTGGGCCGCAGCATAACATCTCTGGGTCCCTGGAACTCCACCAAGCGGGTCACAGGTCCACACAGAGCTCGCAGATTCGTTGTTCACAGAAACCGAGATAGTCTCCGATGCACCAGATCTTTTAACGACAAAGCTCAATTGCTCAATCTCGTCGACTCCAGCTGGGAACGAGAGGAGGTAATTATTGTCAGCCGACCAGGTGTCAGCGGGAGGCTGGCCGGGGCGATCCCTAAACATGATTGTCAGTTGAGTTCCGGGACTAGAGTTAGGAGAAGCGGAAGCTTACCAGTTCATGCTGAAGCTGGTACTGTCATCGTAGTTAGGATCGGTAAAGCTCAATTGAACAGATCCCAGTGTATCGCTCAGAGTGGCAGACAAGCTGTTGATCGTGACACCTTCGAATTCTGTAGCTCGCTTGGTAGGAGCCGCGACGGCAGTGGTGCCAGCAGCGAGAAGAATATTGAAAATGGTAGTGGCCTTCATTCTGATGAATTGAAATAGGAAGTTATAGTTTGGAATACTTAAACGGTAGATTGTTGAGTTTGAATGTTGATGAATTCATATATCCAAGTGAGAATATCCAAGTATTTATACTCGTAGATCGAATCTGAGAATAGGCGTTTCTCAGTAAGGCCCGAAGCCAAGTCTAGCTCATATTCCGCTGCGGTTAGGCGTCTACTCCAGTGTCTCGGTCCAAGACGCGCATACTGAAAGCTTCGCAAGCTTCATTGGGTACATTCGAGCGAGGGTACTCCCGCAAGGCCCCCCGCGTCTATCAGGCGTCCCAATGGTAGCATTTTGTTTGTATCATGTACCATAAGTATTTTCAAGTGCCGAGAGGTCGCGGTTCTATTCATGCAGATCGAATTGAACCAATAGAGTTACCATCTGGGATCAGCGGAAGGTCAGTGTGCGACCAAAGTATGACACAGTTCGACTTTGACCTGCTCTCCCCTGTCCATTGCACATTCCCCTTTCTCGTACTTGTTCTCTACGCTTATTTTGGAATTACAAAAGGGTATAGGCACTTCTAACTTGAATGCTAGTACATACGACCACAGGGTGTGGAGAACAGGGCTTCCCGTCCGCTCAGCCGTACTTAAGCCCAATCTTTAATAGGCAGATAATTATCTCGAAGCCGAATCACCCTATAGCAGCGTCGAAGGTTAAGTTAGGTCAGTATGGGTGATATGGGTAAGAACTTTAGAGTCTAGGTGAGAGAGGTGAGAACGGGGTGAGAACGGGGTGAGAACGGGGTAAGAATTCTCACCCACCGTCTTTTCCGATTTCGTCACGTAGACACCACTAGCCCCGGCTCCCTCTATATAAGTCCTCCCACTCCCAGGGCCCTTCCTTTGGTTTACTATAGCTTCTCTAAAATCTTAAAATATGCTCTCCGAGGCCGATTTATAGAAAGCCACACTGAAAGCCGCTGAACGTGTAGCAGCACGTGGCTTCACACCTAAGTACTAGAAACAGAGGGAGTCTAAACCTAATATTATCTCTCAAAGGTCTTATACCTACTACGACTATAAACTATCATGCTTTATAATTAATTTAGACATTATAAGTATATATCTTCTTGTATTGGAGAATATTCTATGGGTTAAAATTTATAAAGATTAGAACTAAATAGAGGCTTTCACGTGGCGAAGTAATTGACGACTTTTGCGACTTACAAGATCGTCCGGATCCGGATGTTCGGCTACTTAAAAGTTTTGCTGAATACTATATCGTATCGAGAAAAAATACCCCTTCTTAGAAGACGGCCTATAATAGGCTATACTATCTAGTTTTAAGCTAGTCGCGGGGTATATTACGATATATTAATAAGGAAATCATAGTTAAATAACGTTACTTAGAGGTAAGTCCAAATTTTTTTATTTCGAGATTAGGTATTTCATATTCTATTCGAGGATATTATTATTCTAGATAGTACTATCTTACTTATTTTAAAGTAGAAATCGCTATGCAAACATGCGATATTAGGTATAAATCTGATTGAAGTATTATTTCGGCCCTCCATTTCCCATTCCGCCAAGGCTATTGAGTTGGCTAAAGTTTGCCAATGTCTGAGCCCCAATGTTTGCTTTTGCTTGGCTAGGCATTGCTTCTGTAGTAAGTTGATAGCTTCGCATCCTGACCTGAATAATATTATATTTCCAGGTAAAGAGAGGTTTTCAATATTGTTTAGCCTGTTAGGATAGTCTGCGCCAAGCTGTGTCTTCATCACCTGCACAAAGAGGTGCCCGGCCTCCTCCCCGTGCCCTTTAAGTTCCCAAGTGCCTGACGAATGAGGTCAATGCTCGGTGCGACCTTTGGCCAGTGTTCTCCCAGCATCAACTCAGTCTTGGGCTTGCTACGAGAAGTAAAGAAATATGACCCTTGAGTACATACGTGTTGTGTGGATGAGGAGCTGTGTTTATTTAGTTGATCAAAGACTACATAATTATGAACATGACTTCTGAGCCGGTGAAACTTCTGCAGGGAACCGCTGAAGAATCCCCACTTCCCCGCATCCACATTATTTACCTTTCACACAACTATGGCCTTTTTAGCCACCTGCAATCTATTTAGCCAAATGCAATCTATTCAGCCAGGTACAGTTCATTTAGCCAAGTGAGGTGCCCAGACTGGTGGCTGCACCGGAAACATATAACTATAGAGCCGTCTCTGGCAATAGGCTCGAGCTCGTTCAACCACCAAAGGCGAAGCGGCAAAATGCACATAACCGGGACGCTTCGTCGTGCGGGGAAAGGGGATAAATACTAGAAGTATCATTTCGCAGAATATAAATAGAGTAGAACGGGCTTGCAATTTGAAGAACATTGACTAGCACAGGCTTCTCTTCAGACTCTTCCAGTTATACACATCCATTCACCAGCATCCAACTCTCTTCAATTATCATGAAGATCACTGCAGCTTTTGCAGGCCTCTTGGCCGCGGCATTCGCCGCCCCTGTCACCGAACCTGCCCTGGTGTCGCGAGCTGCCAATATTAACTACGTCCAGAACTACAACGGCAACCTTGGTGCCTTCAGCTACAACCAGGGTGCCGGAACATATTCTATGTACTGGCAGGATGGAGTCAGCTCCGATTTCGTAGTTGGTCTGGGCTGGACGACTGGTTCCGCTAGGTGGGTGACTATATCCTCTAATATAAGTCTAGGGTCTAACGTTTTTCAGATCTATCACCTACTCTGCCACATACAACGCTGCTAGCTCTGCCTCCTACCTCGCTGTGTATGGCTGGATCAACTCACCCCAGGCCGAATACTACATTGTTGAGAGCTATGGCACTTACAACCCCTGCAGCGGGGCCACAAACCTTGGTACTGTGACCTCTGATGGAGGCACATACCAAGTCTGCACTGATACTCGGGTCAACCAGCCATCGATCACGGGAACAAGCACTTTCACGCAGTACTTCTCCGTTAGACAGAGCAAGCGCACATCTGGAACGGTTACTACCGCCAACCATTTCAACTTCTGGGCGCAGCATGGGTTCGGCAACAGCAACTTCAATTATCAGGTCGTGGCGGTGGAGGCATGGAGCGGTTCTGGCAGCGCCAGTGTCACGATTTCTTAGAGATAAGAGCCTTAGTAGTCGAAAGAGTTGAAAGTGAGCTCTTATTTTCAGCTGGTGTGATGATCGGATTGGGTTCTATCGAGGCCGTATATAGTGTGTGTTACCAACTCGCACAAACAATCAAATATCGTTTTCTCTTGCCTTTTCTCGCTTATTATTCTATCCCCTGACAACATATTGCCACATCCTCAAATGAGCAGGCATCCTTCTGGTTGGCGTGTTATCACGACTGTAAAGGGATACTGCCAAGAGAGGGGTTCACGGGCAGAGTAGCCGTGATAGTCATAGCGTTTTCGGGACAGATTTCTAGAAAAAATCTCAAGATACAAGTGGTGAAACTGATTTCGATCTTGCCTGTGTCGCTGGTCGCGATGAAATCTCGAAATATGTAGTGGCGTCTGGCCTAGTGGACACCACCCAGTGCGTCTGGAACCAATCTGTTTATCACATCCCCACTCATTCACATAGACCAGATGATATGACTTGAAGTCCGATATATTATGGAGATAAAAATCTCGCAAATCAGCATACTGTTTCTTTGCTCTTTTCGTGCCATCTATGATGTAGTCAAGGATCCGCTATATGTTATGTCACGAATCCTCTGTAGTTTGGAGGGAGGGAGTCGAGGCGCTATTTTTGCGAAGGGTAGCTGGGGATTGATCATAGGCCTCGTTAAGATAACGGAGAACGGGTTTCCCTATGCTTACCCTGCTCACCCCTGTGCCCAGGGAGCAGATGAAATGATTTCTGATTGAACATCGGGGGGCGCTAGGGTATTGGGGAATACACGTGACTGTGGGGCATTGAGGTTCCTGGGAAGGTTGTGATTTCTTAGCAATCTAAAAAGTGTGGGCGTTGATCAGTCGTCATAATTAGAAACAGCCTATATATTTAACCTCTTAAATAGATTTCGTACTTTTACACAACTTATACCTGTTACGCAACGCTAACTGGTCGCAGTGAGTATCACTTCCACGGGGTTCGCGTACCGTCTCGATGCTCGACTCTGTAAAGTCCTGATTCGCAATCGTACTATTGCCAGTTGGTTGACCAGGTCTTATACGGGCTCGGATCTATAGACTAGACTGGATAGCAGAGGCGTCAATGGAGGTTGCTAGGTTAGGAGATACCCAAGTGTATCCTTTTCTATCGGTTAGTTGTCTTATACGAAACAGATAGAAAGATACTTGAACTAGTAGGTTTTAAGTAACAATGTATAATTGAACACAAAGAACTAAACGCAGATATATAATAACTGTCTCTTGTATATCCTTCGACTTCCTACTCCTAAATCTACACCCTATGGATACAGAATAACCTATGGGACCCTGTGAAAAGGATGTGATTCGGCGGACGTTGCAGGACACGACTTACCATAGGAAATGGGGGATTGTAGGGAATAGGACATTGCAAGATCGGGAAGATCCTACGACAGGCTACAAGTTGCAGCATCGCACAATAAATACTATTGTATGACCTAGGTATCCTAGTATATGCTAAGGTTCGGGATTTTACAGGATACTAGCTATCCTAGGAAGATAATTATTCTAAGATATGCTATAGTTTATAACAACTATAGATATCCTACAATAGTAAGGATCATAGAAAAGGAAAGATTGCAGAGAAAAGCACGTGACTGTAACTCTTAACCCAGCTCCTATAAATGACTATGAAGTGACAGGTTCAAAAAGATGATTCAAGATAAAAAGGTGGCCGAACTAACTTTGAGCGAGTATGCACTAGAAAAGACCATTTATTGCCTATGAAAGAAGTCAGGGGCCTATTTCATGAGTCAAAGAAATTATAACTTAGAAATCATTTATTCAATACAATAATATCATCAAGGAGAGTTTTTCAGCCACCATTTCTTCGGCGATTCTTTCTCAAACCCTCTT